CCAGTCGAACGCGTCTTAATAACACGAAATTACGCTTTAATATTGCATTTTCTGCACTTTATTATTTTGATTAAATTGGCGATTAAAAAGGAAACTTTTAACTTAATTACATTATTCTGCGAGAAAAGATAAAAATTAAAAGATTCCTATCGTATTTAAACTTAGTCTTGTCCTAGTTATATCTTATTACGATGACAGAAGTGAGAAATTATATGAGATATTTTCTTGCATTTTGCATGTTAACAAAAAAATTATATTTCTCGCATGTCATTATTTAGCATGATAAAATAGATTGATAAACTCTATTGAAGTGTTTCTTTCTTTAGCTTTCTTTAGATATATCAATTTAATCTCTATATATATATTGTGTATAAGCTACTTTATAAGAGGTTGTGTATACATATATATGTATGTGTGTGTGTGTGTGATTCATGACAATTGATCTAGCTATTTTTAAATTAAAAAATGCGAAACTGGGTTTTCACCACACTTTATGATTATGCTATCAAATGCAAGCGGTAATACGTGACAAAAAAATTGTTATCTCGAATATGTATCATAAAAATAAATAACGTGTATATAATTCTTCGATATATTCGATCATTCATTCATAGTACAATTATGACTTTAACTAACGAAATATTTTTTCCGCGAATCGAAAAACGTCGTTGATTTATGTTTATGGATGTCGATTTATTATGCAATTTAATAATAAAAAAATAGCGGATATCACAGTAATCCCTCTCTCTTCTACTTAGAGGGTTATAATATATATTTTTAATCTTCACAATTAATTGTTGATCGCCAGTGATAAATTTTTCACAAATAATGAGATGCAATTTAATTCGACCAAAAACTGGCTATTCATTTATTAAAAATAAGTACACACTACGTTTCGACCCACATTGTGGTCCTTTTCAAGTGCTAAAATACAAAAATACATAATACTTATTTTTAATAAATGAATAGCCAGTTTTTGGTCGAATTAAATTGCATCTCATATATTTTTAAATATATGAATCATACAAAAATATAAACATAAATGCATAATCTGACACGGGACAAAGAATCAGCGCGTTAATATCCCAAATATTTTCTTCGCTAATCGTGAAATAAAGCTCACTTTATCGCTTTTAATGAAATATTCTAATAATGACGCGGCACAGCCGATGTCGCGATACCATCCACTCTCCTCATTGTCTCTCCATTATCACTAATTATTCTCCCGAACGGGAACGCGCGGACGCTTAATCGAGCGCGGTGGAAAACACGGACCGTGACCGGAGATACGGAAAACCGCTGACGCACGTGAGCTTTCCACGTGGTCGCGTTAAACCGACACGACGAGCCGTCACTGGGAAGAGAAAGAGACAGATATTAACTCGTTTAAGTGAAGCCATATGTGAATCGTAAGAGAGAGAGAGAGAGAGAGAGAGAGAGAAAGAGAGAGTTGCATTTCGCCCCAACTGATCGATTTTTCCTTTGTTATAATTAAATACATTGTTGCCATTGACCACCATATGTTTACGATTACTTCTATCGTTATAGTACAAGGTTGACTTGACTCGACCAAGCTTAGTCACGGTCAATCTCGGTCAAGTATAGTTTCTTTGTGTTTTTTTTTCTTTTCTCCTGTCATGCACGTCTTACGTTAAACACATGCTTGTTGGTCTCTTATCTCCTTGGAACGTTGTATACGATAATTTTATCAGGCGTCATGTAACTTGAAGAATATAATAAAGCATTTTTTTATATATATACTTGTCGATTCATCGATTATCAACGCTGGTACTTTACCATGGAAGAAAAACCATTCCTTATCAATAATCAATATTTTTATTTTATTTGAATTGATTATTAAAAAAATTAGAGAAATTTTTTAAAATTACTCGATTATGTTTATGCAAATTTTACGATATTGAAAGAACGTAAAACTTTCCTTCGAAGATTTTCTCTCAGAGGAGTAATAGATAAATAATTTACAATCCGTGCTAGAATCGACGTATCGTCGATTTTGCTCTTAATGATGCGCGCCGGGATTCAATTTCTCGCAATAATTGCAATCGATTAAAAATAATAAAAGAGTCGATTATTTGGAAGCTGCGGGCATTCGAACAGCGTTAGTTTCTGACAGTAAACGAGATAAGACACCCCAGAGAAGAGCGGAGTAGTAGGGGAATTCACAATGGAATTTCGCGGCCGTTCTGATTAACCTGTGAATCAACTCCTGGGGAAAGAAAGCCCAGGGTGCGAATCCTCAGCGCCACTTCAAGGGCAATCCACCTCGATGAAGATCCCACTCGAAAATCAAGAGTGCGCTCTTTGTTTTCCGCCGCGTTAGTTCCGAATCGAATTTTCGCGCAAACGCCCTTCTTCGTCGAAATGCAATTGCAAGTCGATGATTAAATATCGGACGAGCGATCGAGATTGCTTCGTTTTAAAAAGGAAAAAAAAAACGAGCGACATTCGAAAAGAAAAAAAAAATAGAAGCTGCAATTTTTAATTTCACTAAATTATTCGATATACAACTCATAAAAAAAGACGAACCTTGATAAAAATACGTTATTTTATGCGCGTTAATTTCTTCGTTAGAGGATCGTTTATTTACTCGCTGCAAGTCCTCGCAATGATTATCGCGCCGCTTTTATCATTCGAATACGACACCGTGCTTTAATTCTACCGAGCGCATTGCTATATGTAACCGAGATGAGATGATACTTATCAGACACATAATTACGGAACATTACCCGATAAAGCGTAACGCAATCCGAAACTTGTCACGGACGAATGGGAAGTTTCCGACCTCTTCCACATATGATCGACGTGAACGCGTTTCATATTTGATGACATAACGAGAGTCAACGAACCCGCAGAATCTTCCGTAGCGTCTTCGATCTTCCAAAGTGAACCGGTTCGGAAAGAAAAGGAACCAAGCTCTCTTCGAAGTACGCCTGTTGCGCCGCGATCGCGTTAATCTGCATAACATGACCGATTTAACATGCTAATTTTCAGTGTCAGTCTTGCGAAATCATTTCGTGATACATATGCAAACGGCATACAATTATACGATACCACGATCGTATACATACAACGGTGCATGCATATATTAAAGGGGTTAATGCAACCTCCGTTCTTAGACACATTTGAACGTATTCAAAACACGAGAAATATCTAAATTGGATTGCGTAGGTGTAGTTGGATAGCAGTCCGGCGCGTAAAAGTGATCTCCTAAGTGCAACGGGAAACGTTGATTAATAGGGGAAACGTAATTTCCTTCCCCTTTTTCCGTCTACACCGGGGAATTTACCTGAATGACAATCGAGTTGCGCGTTCGAAAATATACAAGACGCTCTCTTCGTTGCTCTGGATATAAATCTTTAGGAGCAATCTCGCCGAATCGAGCGGAAATTTCCATTCGTTCGACAACTCGAATTGGAGTGGCTAAGCAAATTCACTCGCTGCCCATGACGAAGGTTATCGACTCGACGAAGCCACTCGGTATACTCGGATTTACTCAGTGTGAATTACGTATGTGTCAGCTTTTGTTATCCGAGGTATTCGTGTTACGCAAAAGCACCGATTCAGTACATTGATCGTTTAATTAATGAAGCTTTATATCCGGATTCTATACATCCGCGCAAATTACTTTATGTAAAATACATGCAGAGATTATTACTTACCATTATGATGAAAAATTCTGCCCAACCCGATACACGGGGATCGAATATTAGGATGTAGGATTTTATAAATTAAACCATCGTTCGTTCTCCTACAATTGAACCATGTGTTTATCCGGTATTCTGGTATGAATATTTGTTAATTCCCTCTGCATTCATTCTGCGATAGAGTTACCAATGAATACTGCGAATAATATTCAATTATCTTTGGCTTGTACGTCCTTTTTTTTTAATCTACGACGGTATCTAAAATTTGAAAAATGAGAACGAGATTAATATTGTTTTTAACGTCGAATTGTTCAAATGGGAAAAAAGGAATGAATTACGAATGAATAAGCGATTAGTTTCAATGAACTGTTCGACAGCAGCCTGCTCTAGAAATGCACGCGAGATACTGACAAATTATTGTTATATTGACTATACATGTTAAACTCGACCAAGTTGTTTGCTGTTCGATTATCGTGGCAAATCACCGTAAACGCCTCGCTATTTCTTCGATGATCTATTGAACTATGATGAATTGCCTTACGATTCCGTCTTATTTGTTAAATTACGAGTTGACCTCTTTACAATTATTCGAAAAAATATTTGACATAATAAATTTCTCATTTTCAAACATCTCTATTAAAATTTAACAAAGATATAAGTATTTTAAATCTATTATTTAATGCATTTTTCTTATAGCGAAATTTTTATCATCGAAAATTGCCTTACGATTCCGTCTTATTTGTTAAACTACGAGTTGACCTCTTTCCAATTATTCGAAAAAATATTTGTCATAATAAATTTCCATTTTCAAACATCTCTATTAAAATTTAACAAAGATGTAAGTATTTTAAATATTATAATGCATTTTTCTTATAGCGAAATTTTTATCATCGAATAAACATACGGACAATCCTCTATTATTAGGTTTTCATGTTATATTAGGATTTTAAAATGCAACTGCATTGAATGTTAAGTCTATTCTTCCTTTTCATAAAGCTTTTGAACATACAACTCGATTGTTGCTGTTCAGAAATAGTTTTCACTGCGGATTGCAATTACGTTCCGCGCAGCAATATGGTAGTTGGTGTACATATATGTATACGTATACGCGATCGAAACATATTCTTTTCTCCATTCTATGTATACATGTTCGATGTCGAAAACTTTCTACGATCTTTTTCGTGAAACCCACGACTCTCACTATTCGACAACGTTGCGCAAACACGAATGCACATTCCGCCGAAATATCGATTTCGCTTAATTTCATTGCCCGAGTTTCCGATAGAAAAAAAAAAATAAAACTAAACCGATTTGAACGAATAATAACCGTGTATCGTGTTTTACTTACCGTAATAAAAAATTAAAAAATCCCTCTATAAATCTGGATTAAATATGAAAAAGAAATATCGAATCACAAATCCCAAACACTTTTGGTCTCCTTGCTCATATAGAAACCTGTCAAAATATTTCGATGATCCGTTGTCGAACCTGTAACTCTCTTTACAACACGTGACAAGACGTCTTGCGACCGCAACATGAACCCTTGCTCCGTAAAATTCTCGATAAATCCCGTTCAGGAGAATATAAATCCACTTTCGCACCTAGCTCGTGTAGAGAGAGCAACGTTTTCTGCATTTAGAATCCTATTAAAAATGATCTCTCTAAAATATTTATAAACGTTCTCGTATATTGATCATTTTATTATTGGTGTTCCCGATAAATCTCCTTTGCTTCACCATATGGCCACTTGCCAATCGAATCTGAAACACGGAAAAACGATTTATCAGATATCGCGATACGTTTGAGAAAATTATTGCATTAATATGTCTATTTATTATCTCATGCCTCATTAAGATATCTCTGACTTAACTTAATAATAGAGTTCATTTTCTTTACTTCTTTCAAATTGAATCATATTAAGGGAGATTGTACAAATAAGGATAATCATTTATATTTTCAAATAAAATAAATTTTAAATAAAATTTCAAATAAATCGCATTTTCAAGTGCTATAATTTATTCTACAGCAGTGCCATAATGTGTATACATCAAATGAGATTACTTCATTTCTCTTCGCAATGCAAATATTTTATTTTTATAATGCTATATATTTTTTTCTCGTCATGTATCTTTCTCGCGACAAAATCTTATAGCTCCGAATCTTTTACTCTCCCACGTGTGTCGCGAGAGGTTAATTTGTCGAAAAGCTATTCGCTCCAATACTTTTCCCACACGTTTAATTTGCGACGTCGTCCGACTCGGATGTGACGGTCCGTCAGGCTTGTCGGCTGCTTCGTCCACTTTAATTAATGTCCATATTTGTTTCACATGTGCCAAATTAATTTCCGACCAACTAACATAATAAGGAGAGGTTCACCCCGTCAAATAGAGGGATAAATAAATCGTCGACGGAAGGAGAAATCGACGCGCGCAAACGCATTTTCTCATCCCGATTCTCCTAATTATCCTTAATTTCTAATATCGCCAGGAGAGTGACGTGATCCGTTTAAGAGCCTGCGGCGGAGTCTCCTCGTCTCGTGATTAATTTACGTAGTTTCTTATGACGCTTAGAACCCTGCAGCGCGATCAATAAGGTAGGAGCGAGCGGTGCAACCGTATATAGCAGGTACACGCCATACATACCGTTATATAGCAGTCTGTCTTATAATGGTGGAAACGCGAGTACACACAGGCCGTTATATTAATGGACTTAATTCGTCCGGCGGAATCGCGACTCGACACGATCGCGTCTCGCGCGATAATAAAAGAGGAAAATACGTGTCGAGTCCACTTTGCGCGCCGACTCCTTTCGCGACCACTTCCGTGAGTCATTTGCACAAAGCGTTTCGTACAAAAGGCGAGCGTAACCGTCTAAAAAAAACCCCGACGAGTCATATTCTTTCGCTTAGACGTTGCCGCGATACGTATAAAGACGAGGAAAAACTTTGCGGGAAAATTAAGCTCGGAGCTTGCGATTTTACGCCGTAAACTACGCTTTGAAACGATTAGCCGGAATGATGATATAATATCGGCGCGATCGGAATAATGGCAATCTCGCGGACAACGATCGAGGCTAATTAGATGATGAGCGGACATCGGTTAATGGAATTAATTACGGATATATTCGAAGCGAAACGATACTCACACTCATCGGGTACAAGCTGCTTTTCCACACTAACAGTTGGAATAGATGGATGTGTATGTAATATGTCTCCAACAACCCCTTCAGCTAACGATATCGATGCCTATTGACGGCTACAGATACTATGGGCTGAAAGAAAGAAAAATACAATTAACATAAATATTCGTTATAGCGATAAATATTCATTATAGTACGCGGAAATAATGTAACATTTTCGTGTAATTTTATGCTTATGATAATTCAAATTTCGAAAATTCTGTTAATTAACAACGAATAATTAACATGCCTCATTAAATAACATGTTGAACCATCGTTGATTATTTACAAAAGAAAAGCAAATTTATGTTTCTGCATTAAAATTGAGGAATAATTATATTAGGATGAGAATAATTATGTTAGTGAGATGGGACAGAGAGGTTTCATATTCTTATATTATCAACCTATTATATCGATTTATATGCATCTCGCATACGAACAAGCTTTTTTAAAATATTATTTATGTCACTTTCAAGATACTCAGTTGATTCGCGATATGGATGGGGAGATCCTTCGTCAAGTGTCCCGTCGCAAAAAATTGTTAAAGCTCCCGAAACTTCTCGAAACGACACGCGTAAGATTGCGACTCGCCTAAACTCGTAAAATAAAAAATTCTCTTTCACAAAAAATCGCCATCCGAACGAACGAGTTACAAAGATGCCGCGGAGTCGCATCTCTGTCAGTTACTACTGGGTGTCTCGCTCTTATTTGCATCTCAATCGCGGCCTAACGTCTCCCCTGGCAACGGCTATGAATTTTATTCCGGTCTCATATTTCTGGTCCCCATTGTGGAGGTTGCGTGACGCTTCCCGTTTTTTTTTTTTTTTTTTTTTTTTCTATCAATCATCTCCGTTACTCGCCACCTCAGGGCTGTATTCCGAACTTTTGCGCCGGGTCTTCGACGGCCTTCTTCTTCCCTTGCACAAATTTCCAGCCACCACATCACCCCTTCCACTCTTGCGGTCCCCTCGTCGCAAACAAGAATTTCGCAAACGCCCCCGGGGCCGTGAAATACGTGAGGGATGCGCGTCTAGACGATCCGGGGGATCCTTTCGCGAGAAAATGTAGAGCGCAGCAGCGATCCTTCCTCTTTATCTCGGAATATCTCGGTTAAGCATCGCGCGACCAGATATCTCGTCGGACGGACAGAACACACTGCGACATTCTTCGCATTTTCAATCTTTGTCGTCGTCTCGCTCCATTCGCATGAGTATCGCGGTCGTTGTTGATCGTTCCTCTTATGGGATGTCGGATGGTATTAAGTAAAGTCTCGCGAGCAGAATTTTCTCAGGACTCTCTCTCTCTCTCTCTCTTCTCTTCTCTTCTTTCTCTTCTCTTCTCTCTTCTTATTCTTTCTTCTTATCTTCTTCTCTTCTCTCTCTTCTCTCTCTCTTCTCTTCTCTCTGCTCTCTCGAGAGAGCTTCTCTTCTCTCTCTCTCTCTTCTCTTGAGGATTCTTTTCTCTTCTCTCTTCTTTCTCTTCTTAGATTCTCTTCTATCTTCTCTTCTTCTCTTCTCTCTCTTCTTCTCTTTCTTCTCTTCTTCTTCTCTTCTTTCTTCTCTCTTCTCTTCTCTCTCTCTTCTCTCTCTCTTCTCTTCTCTTTTTTCTTCTCTTCTCTTTTCTTCTTCTCTCTCTTTTCTTGGACGGGAAAGTTACCGTGGGAAATCTCTCAAGAGAGATCTGTTATTTAGTCGTGTGTACATTTCGATTCAATATATTGTTCCTTTTTTTTCTGTTTAAATATAAAAATTGATCATTTTGATCGTTATTTTACTCCATAAATTATGGAACATGATCAGCAGGTGGCTCGTACATTGCCCTTTAATCATCGTTCTTCCGTCACAAAAGCTCGAGCTTGAGCGGCAACGGCTCGGCTTCGATATTATCGGATAAAATGAAAGAAGCCCCCATAGTGGTAAAACTCATAATGCTCGTGAACGGGTTAAAGAAATGGAGGGAACACGGGGATATTGCCGGACCGTCATATTCCCCCTTCAATGAAAGTATCCTATCAACGTCTACGTAACGCCGCGCCGTCGCATTTTCCCTTTCTTTCTCGTCGTGACGATATCTCGTGGAAACGTGGGAGGCAAGACGATGAGCTCGTTTTCCCTCTTCGTTTTCCTGTTTGAAACCCTTTTGCAAAAGGGAGGCATTCGTATGCCGTTTTAGAATCGCGAAACTCGCATCGGAGAAAGTGCATTTTTAGACATCGAGTAGAATTTCACAAGCGAGAGAATCACGCTTTATCGGTGACGTTTTATGCCCTCGATTTTATGTAAAATATATAAGAACATTCTCTTCTTCAAAGATCTTTTTTTTCAAATTCAGATATTCTGATATTTCTGTATATAGAGTTCGATATCTGATAAAATATTTTGTTTGTTATTATTACCCCCACGAATATATGATAACTCGTTATTCTTTTTGATAGATAATTATCAACAAATCTTAGGTTCAATAAGCCACAGAGAAGAAATTAGAAAAATAGTGAAGCGTAAAAATATTTTGTTAAATTATATAATTATTAATCCATGCAATTAAATTGTATATCTATTGTCTTTATTTATAATAATTATGAAAATATTTGATTGTTTTTATTAATGTATAAAATGTTAATGAAAAATGCCTTACGTAACGTTGCGCATGATAAAAATATGAATGTAATATTCACGTTTAATATTCCTTCAAAATATTATAAAGGTAAAGAAGGTGTTAGGTTTGAACATTCTTGAATCAACACCTTAATGTACCTTTCTTATAATTAACTTATAATTACAGTTTTCTCACCCTAGCCTGTTTCCTTAGAACCTCTTAGAGAAACAATCTATTAATTATTGTGAAATGTTAAACATTATCAAAGTATTTAATAAACATAATTTGCAGTATTTCTATAAAATTTCTATAAAATTTTATCCAGCACTGAATGAGCCAATCTAAAATTTGTCTTATCAAAAATCTATTTATTAATTCTATTAATATATTAATTATCTTTATTTGAAGAAAAAAAATAGTTTTTCGTGTACGATATTTCAATATTAATTTAAATTCCTAAAAAGATATCGCCTTGAATGTCAAAGAACTCGAAGATGGGTGCGATGTACTTTATATAGCATATAGCATATCGGAGTATTATTATTACATAGCACTCGGGCATTATTATCTGCAATCGATCAATACTACAGAAATCTAAGAATATCACAAGAAACACTAGTGCGTGAGACAACTACCAAAGTATGCAAAATATCGCGACTCTAATCTCTCGAATTTCCTTTCGTATCAAATAGAGAAATCCTTCTTTTTCACAGTATTTTTAATATTTATTTTATTTGAGAACGCAAATTCGATTTCGAAATGACTATATAGGAAACGAGTTAATAAAAACAAGAATGAATTTGTAATTGTAACATGCGTATAATTATATAACACGATTGCATATATTTATTATTTAGTATATAAGAAATAGAAAAAAAACAAATAAATATAAAGATATATAAAAAATTAATGCGAGACATGAAAATGATCAATCCGCGGAATATCTGGCGATTCGAAAGATGCAGTCGCACCTACCGGAAATCTTCCAGACGCTACGATCGATAGCTCGTTTCCCGTCGCGAAAGAGATTCTCCATAGTTTCGAACAAACGAGAAGAGACTTTGCGAAGTCGGCGAAGCACGAATCGCACGAATGCACAGGTCTGACTAGTCGTTCGTTCGGCGGGCGACTCTGCCTACTTGTTTTCTTGGTTGCCACTTAGATATATATATATATATATATATATATATATATATATCGCGATTATACGGGCTTGCCCTTCCCGTATACTGCAGAAAGCCTACGACACATGCAATTACAACACGCTCGAGCGGGTCCCCATCCAGCGGATCGATAATTCTGAGATCACTCACGCTAATTGCGAATCTAAGGTCCGGCCAAAAGTCGCGCGTACATTTAAGCGGTCAAATATTAATGAATATAATATATATAATTTTTAAAATAATTATAAGAATATTTTTAAGTCAGCTCCTTAATTTTTAAAAACACAATCTACACTTTATTCATCTCGACCAATAGAGCCAAACGCGATGTTATATTGCGACAATTAAGAAAGAAAGAAAATTTGGAAACTAAGGAATTTGAATCCTATGGTTGGGATCTCAGAAATTCCCCTTGTTCCTTCTCTTAAGATACCCTGTAAAGAAATAGGCGAGAAAAATATTGGTTCAAAAATTTCCAAATTTTCTTTCTTTCTTAATTGTCGCAATAACATCGCGTTTGGCTCTATTGGTCGAGATGAATGAAGTGTAGATTGTGTTTTTAAAATAATTATTTATAATAATTATATTACGCATTTTTGTTACGTTTCTCTCTTTCCTGTTTTCCACGAACATTGGAGAATGATTTAATCGCGAATTACTCAACAATTCTTACGTATGGGTAACAAGTACAACAAAATTATGCCACCGCACTATTAAAGTTCGCTTATCGAGGGTGGCCACGAGGCTTTCGGCGAGGCATTGTAAAATCGATATCGTTCTGAGAAAACCGACATTACGCCATATAATCGATCCCGGCCGCGAGAGCAGAGCGCTGTCAAAAGCATCTTGAATATACATCGAACGCGCCGGGGAGATTACAGCAGATTCAATAAGATTCCCGGTTTCCCTAAAGCGCACACGACACATGCATCGCGCGTTTTCCCTCTCCGAGATCTCGAAAGGGCCAACTACGGAGCATCAGATCCGGAAGGAGAGAGACGCGATGTAGACGTCGCAAAACGTCACGCGACCGGATCCCGAAATCCCTCCGTAGACGTTTCCTTCTTTAAGGATAACGACATCGCTCGATTGTTAGACACGTTTCGCGAAATGACGTTAATGGAGGCGAATAAATATCGCTCGATGTACAGGGAAACAAGAATTCGCGTGTTATGTTACATGTTTTATAATCGCGATACATTTTCGTAAACGCATGATCGCGAGAATTGCATAATAAACAGCAACGGACGCATTCGTGTCTGATTAATGTTTGTGCGCGCGCGATTATCGAATGACGCGCGGTAAATTACACGCAACGATTATACACGTGGATAGATAAAACAAATTCATTAGCGGTTTTTTTTTTGCGACATTCTCTCACCCGCGTAGCCGCATTTTCGATGAGATTTCTCGGCGTGAAAAACGCATTTGCGTCCTTTGTAAATAAATTGCGGTGGAAATCATTGGCATCGATATGCATATATATATATATATATATATATATATATATATATATATATATATATATATATTTTCGGACGCAATCGTATCGTTTGAAGTCAATTTTAGGTGAATTGCGGGCGAAATTAATGCCGTCGCGGCCCGATAGTTTATTTTGATTATCAATATTTGCTGATAAAATGACGATCGCGGACAAATTTGTCAGATATTATATTATGCAAAGATGAAATGCAAATCAGCTTTCACGGAGGAGACATCATGCGTGATTCGCTGTACGATTTCGCGTTCGATATGACGAAATTTTGGCGAAATTATATTCGTCAATTAATTAATATGTGATGTCTAATCCAGTTATATTATGGATGAAATGTGGTTTCATTAGGAAACATTTTCACAATTAAACGTTGCATAATGTAAATGAGAGATGAACTATCTCTACTAATGAAACAAATTCAATTTGTTAGCGTATCGCTCGCGTGTTACACGAGAAAAATAGCAAAAAAAAATTGAAATGGATTTAAAACCTTGGTTATCCGGTTCACATGGGATAAGGCTGGTCGCTATTTTAAATCTACATATACAGCTATCATAAATTCACTCGTATACACACACACACGCGCATAATGTATGGTCATGATGCTAAAATAGGAAAGGCTATTTCTATATATTTGTGAAATCTTCACATCCGAAGAATACTTACGACTGTTTATTAGTCATAAAGAACGTGAGAATGACATCGGTTAATAGAACAAAAAAATAATTATGGAGTCATTCTTTGTGACGTGCTTTTTCATCAACGGGATTATAATACTGTACACACAATGTCTAGTTATTTTCAATAAAGAAATGAACTTTGTATCAGTTCTAGTTGTGCTAAATGTCGACAGAAGAGATACTGAAAATTATATTTTTATCACAAAGGAAAGGTTTGATTAAAAATAAATTTGTAGAAATAAGGGTATAATTATTTAACATTTAATTTTTCAGAAATCTAAAGATTTTAGAAATTTATAGAGATTTTCAAATATAATTTTTGTTATATTAAAAGTGAGGGAAAAAATTAAAATAATGATGAATGCTAGATAGCGAAATAAAATTTAATACTTTTTAATGAACTTCACAGACGATGTTTGTGCTAATATACATATATTCGAATATTTTGAGAAAAAATTTTAAGATTTAATTATTTTATAAGATCTAATATAAAAACTATAAAATATAGAAATAAAATAATCTCTTCAATGGCATATTAGGACGCAGCAAAATTAATCGACGGAATACTATATCTAACTAACTTCTTAATTATTTAAATGCATTCAGCACCGATGAATTTTTCGCTGATTGCAATTTTTTTACGTTACTTTCGCTCTCTCTTTCTCTCTCTTTTTGATCTATAAATTTAATAGCGTTAAATGCGCTCTCACCAAGTATCTCCGGTATTGAACTCGGTAAGCTCGCCGCCGAGTTATTCGTTTCGCACGTTCGTTCGATGGCACACGTTTGTTTGTTTGATTGAATTTTTTTACCGCAAGCTGCCCGCTCGGCCATTGATTTATTCGCGTGCAACGCGCGCGAGGCCCGCGAGCGGCGAATTTATAGCATACGAATCCATTTTCCATCCCCATATCGCGCTTGATAATACCAGCCGATAAGTCTCCTCGCGATCTGTCGACGACGCATCGTCCCCTGCGTATGAATTCGCATGATTCCTCGTGTGTTCCATGCGGGTGTTCCACCACGTGACCCACATTAGTCACGCAAAGGTCACGCACACGTAGGAACAAACGCAAAGACCAAAGACGTTTCATACGATTCGTATTGATTAGATTTTATCAACAATCTTTAACTAAGTTGACTAATTATACGTCAACGTAACATGAACTTAAATCTCGTATATTAAATAACAGTATTATTACATTTTATTTTCAATGTTTTACCAAGTTGTTTTCGATCTACAAGAACTTCTTACACGATGTACTTTCTGCATAAGTCTCGATGTATGTAAGATAAATGTATATTTTATTTTGACGACCTAATAATTATTAATTTTAGTTGATTTCGTCAAATTTATCTTTAAAAAAGATTTCGACATCTAGCGAGGAGAGATTACTAATGATGAAATCAAATTAAAAATCCTAATGATATATAAAATTAAATTAATTTAAAATTATCTACATTTAAAAAAGCATTAGATAAAATGGCAATCATAAATAGTATAATCGTATTTTATTTCTAAACTAAAATTACACCGGATCGCTAAAATCGATCGGTCGCTATAAAGATTCTCACGTCTATATCGTATACTTACTTTCTTATGCAGGAAGGTAAAAGAATTCGATAGCTAATGTTTGACACAACTTCTCGCGATAAAGAAATCCTCAGGTAGGAGTCTTCTTTTTTTAGATCACAATTTTTTTTTTAAAAGCACTTTAGGATTGCAGAAGGACTCCTGTCGAACAGTTCGACAGTTCACTCGACTGCGGCTCGAGACGTTATGGCTAGAAGACAGTTTTACACTGACCCCCTGCTAGTAGAATGTTTATGTATATCGTCTACGACCTATCGCATTGCGTGACTGAATGTGTATACATATGAATACATATACATATGAAGGGCCGCTTGTATATGTGTCTGCATGAGTAAGCTTGGCAGACGTAAGTGTCGGGTTTAGCACCCACGTCAGTAATGATTTGACAGACCGACATGTCTTTGTCCGATAAAAAAGTTTTGAATTTTACACGCAATGCGAATTTTTTCTATAATTTGAACAAATATTTTTAGAGTCTTAATAAATAAGATATATTTGTATTGTGTTCGCGAGTTAGTGTGTTAATTCTGGTTAATATTATAAATTTTTATAGAATTGTAGTAATAGTTATAACAAAGTAAAAAATGTTGTATATGTTAATAATAAAAATAATGAATTCTTATTTTTTTGTAATTTGTTATATTTTTAATGCACATTTTGAAAAGTTTTATCTAATTAAAAGATAAAAGTTGTATGATATTTTTGACCGAGTGTCTAAAAGAAATAAAAAAAACATAGTATCTCCGGATATTCTAGAACTTGGAAGAAATTTCGTTAGAGATCTGAAATACTTTGTCGGATGTCTAAACTTGCCATATTGTTTGAGTGACTGTACTACTATTCCGAGATTAAACATTTATTCTTTCGACAGAATTATTTTGACACGCACATTATTAGCAGCATTTAAAATATTCGATAAGAACATTAGCATTTGTGAAAGATTGTTGGAAACTGATAATTAAAAAACCCAAGAGAAAACAAGATTAAATAAGAAATATGTATAGAAATAATTTTATGTATGTATGTCAGGATTAAACGCAGAATTATAAGAGAATTCCATTTTATAAAAAACAAAAATCATGTAGAAAGATTAAGCTTAGTGAAAAAAATACGAGGAAATAAAACATGCGTTTTTTTAATTTTTCATTTTGCCCTGCTGTTAGAATTCTGCAACGTTAAAACTTTTTAGAAAGATACTCCGAAAGGTACATTGTACACCGAACTCTTAAATGTAGGTAACAATGAACACCATGGTGTCATTTACTGTGACACTCCGAGGTTTAGAAAGAGAAGAAACGTTAAAAAAATTTTATTTTTATCCGCTATTTCATTACTTTCGTCAACACCTTTGCGAATAAGCAGAATTTAATCTCGCGCGAATATGAAGACCGGTTACAAATATTAAACTTTGCGAAATACGCGAATAAAGGATGCGCGAAAAAAATACGGCGCTGTAGTTTTACATCTGGATTAAGCAGATTAAAGATTTTTCTACAGTGAAATTTTTTTGTTAAATACAAGAATTATATATCTATATCCGTAGTCATAAACCGATTATATTATGAACGTAATGGACACATTTTCCTCAACAACATTCACCATTATTTTCTTAAGTTAAGCTCATTACGTAAAAAATATATCTTTAATTTAAAAGAAACGCTAGGATACTACAGTCTCTTACAATAAATCATTTCTATAGATTAAATTTTTAGAACGAAAGAAAAGAAAGAATAGACATTCTCTCGTAAAGAAAATATTTCAAAGATTAAAGAACAATGAAAAATTACTAAATCTGTTTACTTAAAAAGTTACTACATATAGAAACAGACTACACCAAAACTATCACTTCGAATTTAATTTATTAAGTGTCGCGTTGCTCGGGAAAAATCAATATCAAGAATTCCATTATTTATCAGCTATTAGACGCGATTTCTCGCGTCTAATAGAATTTCCCATGTCTTTTCAATTACCGTCTATGACCTCGGCAGGGCGTTCGATCTTTCCTCCCGTGTCGTGCTTTCCTTTCCGACGTAGAAGTCCCCAAAATTTCTCGTAGAATTCTCTAGTCGACGCCCGCGTAATTTGCATACGATTAATCTTGATCAACGCTGCGGCACCCTCGTCCAGGGCCCATCTTCTTCGTTCGTGAACAGATTAAATGACGAACACCTACCGAGGCGCCATGATGGATCGTTACGTCTTGGCACAAGCTCAGTTCGCCAAGACGAATTCGGCATACCTGAATTGATCTAATTAAACGCATGCATTCACGCACGCACGCATGTTTGGGCGTATTCGAACTGATTGAATTGCGGTATGCAGATTTGCGTCAACAGCATGTTCCAATTGTGTTGCGCTCCAACGGCGGATATTCGCATTATGCCAAATTGAACTGCACGGGAGTCTAAAATTAAACATCTAACTTGTTTATATAACATTACTCACCATGACGATTTTATTTTTCTCTCATACATTTTTTTATCCTTAAATTAATACGGCTGTCATCCGCCAACTTAACGAGTATAATATATACATTTTTACATAAGAGACGGATTGATTTGTGAATATTTTTGACACAGGATATAATCTATTGCAAGAATTCAAAATTACATACCGAATTAAGATGATATAATTATATAATTTGGAGAGATGAATCGTCGTTTATAAGCATCTTGATTATATACCATAATCTCAAGACTCGGATTCCGTAGAATCGATACTAATTAGATTTGCTCAATTGTTATAAGGCGTGGAAGGAACATTCGTGTTAATTGAATTGATGCGATGCAGATTCACGTTGCGTATATACGATTAAATCAAATTTTGTTATGAAAAAAAGAACGCTGTTTGCTCGCAAAATCCATTAAAAAAGTTTTCCATATATTAAAATTCAATTGCGACGGTTCTGCGTGCGCTTAAAATATTTATTGCGTTATCTATTATTTTCTTAACACATTTGGCTGGTATATTCCATATTCGTGTTTTATATTAAAGCTCTAAATCAATATTCACGCGCGAAAATATAGCCTGCACGATCCGCAAATAGAAATTTGCAGTCCGGCGTATAATCATTGTTTATTTCCGCGTATTGCGGCCCCCCATCGTTGCTATCTTCGATACATGTATCTCTCGTTTTTTTTTTCACGCTCGTTACCGACGCACTCGATATTATTATGGTTCGGTGAACCAAAAAGCAGGAAACTCGAAATTTCCATTGCTAATGACGCGAGAGCATCCAGGCCGACGTGTTATCGTTATCTTCCACCAGGCTGTAAGCTCGCCAACACGCGAACGAATTTAATCGCGTATCTCCGAATTTTCCATGCGATAAAACTCGCCCTCAGCTCTCATACAGTGAATATTTTACTATCAAAAATAAACGGTCTCTGGCCGGGATCTAAAAGGAGTTTGTTAAAAAGATAACTGTATATTACAAGTTTTTCTGCAAAAGTAATGATGTCATTTCCATCTAGATAGTAATCCCAGAAATATTAAATTTTTATATCTGTCCGCCCATTATATACAGAAACATTGCTATGCTATAAGTTTTATGAAAAAAAAACTTTATCGCGTATTTATCGTTATTAACCTACATTTGCAACAGAGCGTCCCAGATTAGCTGTAATTTAGTAGAAAAAATTTCTGAGATCGATCTAAGATTTTCTCAACTGCAATATTAATGAAAGAAAAAATACAAATTAACATAAAAAAACATTATCGATTAGTTTTTGTATTATAAATTAATTTTAAATTACTTTTTTAACTTTGCTATTTTTTTATACACATTTAGTATATTATATATACACATATTCGAGTTGCAATTTTAAATTTTACATATATTCTATACACAAGAAATTCAATATAATAAATCTCTTGATATTATAAAACAAAATATTTATAATATAAATATTGAAAGATAAAAAACAAATGACAATATTATAAAATAAAAAAATTTTGATAATGGCATCGAACAAATATCTCTTTGAAAAATGAGTGAATTAACCCAAACGGAACCAAGTTAATATGCTTCAATTACACTGGATGAACAAAATGACTTCCTACAAAGTAGGGCATTTTCGTACTCCCATCTACTCTCTCTCTCTCTCTCTCTCTCTCTCTCTCTCTACCGTATATACAAACTTCAGATACAAAAACTATCCCATTCACCTGGTATTATCCGGCTCAAGTACGGAGGGCTTAATTTCGCCGACGATTGATCCTGAATCTCCATGTTGGAAGGATCTTGGTCGCACCGCGCGATCGCAGGCAGACAGATACGGCACGACCGCACCGTATCCTCGAAGATTAACCCTCTCGATTTATTTCCACCGATCTAACTCACTCTCGGTCGCCCGCTGCCGCCGAGAGGAATCTTTGCGGAGACACTTGAGGGACGTGATGCTGATAAAGGATCTCCATTCTCTCACGAGGAGCGACCGCCGGCGCTTGACTATGGCTGCGAGTTACTCGGCGAGCTATCTCGGCCACGTTCTCGTGAATGCACATTGTGCGCATTGCGTTGCCCGATGACTGTCGAGCTAAGGATACCGAGGTGAGATCGTAGCCACGTGACGCGCGTCGCTACGCGCCCGTCATCATTTATCTCCCTCTGAATTTCAGATATTTCCCGACGGAAGCGCGGCTCGCTGTCCCGTTATTGCAAGACAAATGGCGCGTAATTAACACGAATAATCCGAAATAAATGGTAGAGTTCGTGCAAACAGATGTCCGATCACCGATCGCTCGCGGCCAATTATACGATAGCGATTGCTTCCGTCCCGATGAGATTGCCAAATTGTTCAATTCGATTATATACATACGTGCGAGCCATTTTATCGCGATTTCGAAATATGGAAAGGTAATGAAAAAAATGTCAATTGCGCTTTTTATATACATATATATGTATATACATAAGGTGTCACGCTGAAAATATGCAAGTAAATCTTGTTATTTGGAGACAATTTTTTCTCTGCAAAAGATTGAGGCATCAATAATCAAGTTATTCGAGTTATAAGCGATTGAAAATAAAGGGTTTTTCGCAAACTAAGCCTTGTGGAAACAAAATATTAACAAAATTACATTCTCCAATTAATTTCAAGTAGAGTTTACTTTAATAAAATTTTAATTTAAGGTTTAGTTATAAAGATACATGATATGGTAAAAATTGAGGACATTTTGCTGAGGAAAAATCGTCTCCAAATAACGAAATCTACTTGTATATGCTCGGTGTGACACTTTATGTCAGACAACCTGTATATATATATATATATATATATAAAATTCTAAATTCCGGATGTATGCTTTTCGCGATAATATGTAAGTAGATATATGAGAAGCCGCGCATTATATTCTCGGATATAATTGCGCTAACAAGCCTAAACACCAGTTAGTACCAGACGGCGCGCATTTAATCCTCGCGGAATCGCAGTCGGCGCGTTCCACGTGTTTCACACAAAAGATTTTCGGTGCGTCTGCACACCGGTTGCGAGCTTACCCCTCGAGATTTCCTCAGGTATCATCCACTCGCCTTCTTGCTTTCCTCGTTCATCCTTTCGTTGTACCTTCGTCCCTAAAGTAAGCGGCGCATATTCCGCCGACGTCGTCGCCGCGCGCATCTGCGAATGACAGCAGTTGTTTCCAAGTTTATCCGAAGCTGCGGAACGTATTCGGCCTCTTAATTCGCCCTCGTCTACCGGCGATCCCTCTCTCGTAGCCAAGCGAGGGAAAGGCAGACACACATGCGATAATCGCCACTTATCCGGCAAAGCCAGGCCGGTCTCCCAGGCGTGGTCTCTGCTCTTCGTTACCTAAATTTATTCCATTATTATGCCGATGTGAACAGAGTAGCTTAACAAGCAAAACAGAAGCGCACGCACAGCAGGAAAATTTAATGAAAATAAAGTTCGAAAAATATCCGGATTAAATGCACGACAATAGGTATATTAAGTACACGAACAAAAATTTATATAATAAATTTGTTATAAAAAATTTTCATAACAATCAAAGTAAATGAATATCCGTAGAATAAATAACTAAGGTAATTAAAACAATAAATAATAATTGTTGTAAAATTTAAATAATTTATATTAAATTTGCGTTAAAATTTTATTTATTTTATTATAATATACTAATTGTAAGTATTATGAAAAACTATGAAAATTTGAGAGAGAGAGAGATCCCGCAGGCGCGTTAATTCATAGATTCCAATTTAGAGTAGTAATTCACACGAGAAGCGAAACATCACGATTTGTTTATATGAAATAGAAAGGGAAATAGAATTTTTCTATATTTCGTTTATTTCATGACATTAACGCCGAAACGTCAGGAATCCATTGCCGCAAACAATTCCTCGTTTTTGCCCTTTAGGCAAGGGATTCTACCCCCGGGCAAGGACAGAATTACATGCCATCGTATCGGGCGAAATTACGACAACTTAATCTCTGTCTTTATTTCCTTCTTCCTGCAATAGCGCTCTGTTGGCCGGTTCAGAAAGTCGTACCTATTCCGGACACGTAGACGATTGGACTAAACTTTTCTTTAATGCGTTTTGTATCCATGGATACACACTACTTTTACAAAAGTGTTGAAAATATTTTCGACGATTTTACAAATTTATTTTGTAATTACACTTTTTAATTTGAACGAAATGTCGTACGTTCAAAGCATTAACTCGCTATCAGAGAAACTTCGATCAAAATAACTATTCCCGTTTCCGAATGAATTTTCTTGATTCTTGAGCGAGAAATTACTTTTCCGATTCGTTTGACGTGATCAGCAAAAAAAATGTATATTTGCGTACTACGTTTTTTTCAGAATCGCAACTATTTGCGCTATCGAATCGTTTTCACCGACTTCCACGTGAATCGAATGGATACTGCGATGCCGTTAGTACGGAAGGGAAAACAGATTTCACATAGAAAAAGGAGGTAAGACAGTTTTGCATAGAAAATGGTACAATAACACTGTCCTCCGTTGTAATTTGCAACAAAATTTCGCTCTTATTATCTAGAAGTTACATATATATTTGACGTGAAATTTCCATCGAGCACGCGTTGTAACCGACGATCCTGAATAGCGAATTCAACCGACATCCAGGACGTGCTGAGCACGATAGAGAGATAAAGAAAGGTCGTTGAAAGGAAAAACTTGAAAATGAGGTTTTCCTTGATAGAGTGTCCTATGTTTTCCTCTTTTCATTTACGCGGAGGAATATTTTAGCTTTGAATTGTATAATTTTATACATTATAATAAAAAAAATTTGCATCATATCTATACAGTTTCTGTGTTATAATACATATACAATTGTCATGGATTTGTTGTTTACTTTTGAATAAAAGTTTTAAGAACTTATAAATAATATGACATATTTTTTACTCGTTGATCTCTTCTTTTATAACGCAAATTTTTATAATGTTGAAAAAGTATATTTCTTATATATACATTTTACACTACTTTTAATATTAATTTGAATATGTGTATTGTATATATATATATATATATATATATATATATATATACTGCAATTTTCCAAACTCAGTAAGTAGCAGCAGGTTCTGGCATTTAATACTTAAAAAGAGAAAAAAGAGACTTTGAATTTAATCAGGCGAAATGGTCTTTGTCGAGCTCGACCACATACTGTGGCTTGGCTTTTCATTCTTGGCTATGAAGTTAGGTTTCGTCGTCGACACCGCTGCGCGAAATCTTGTGGTCAGTAGTGAGGATCAGTCTTACGTCAGACGTGCAGCGTGACAGACATGTGGAGACGCGCGAGTCTAATAAAAGCAGTTATTTTCATCTATTTTTAAGTTTTATTTTTTTGTTCGCATTTTCTGTTAAAGATTTAAATATTGAATTTTTATGCATCGCGTAATTAATATATTTTTATGCATACATTGCAATTTTTAATATTTAATTATCAAAGAATAATAACTTTGCTTTGCATTCGAATTATATTCGATTAAATTAGAGAAAGATATATATCACCTAGTGTATATGTGTGTGTCTCTATTAAGAACTTGAATTCTAAAAGAACCTTATCAAAAGGACACAACTTGGAATTATCCTTGTATTTTAAAAGTATATGTTTTTGCATCACATTGATGCACCGATTATCACGAACATCTCATTCGCGACAATAAATTCCACAAACTCTTTATCACAATTGCTTTATCGTTACTTCACTCCTTTCAATTTTGCGCTATTCGTGATCGTGTAAACATCGATCTTTGTGTTTCTATGACATCGTGTCGTCAAGCGCGACAAATAAAAGCCCCGGACCCCCGTACATATGACACGAGTTCTCGCAGGCGATATTTAACCAGTCGGTTTGAGTGTGTCAAACGTACTAGTCGATAATCGCCTTCGGCGAAAATTGATGGCGGAATACCGTCGCCTGTGGAATGCACTGTTTTCGAAATTGCAATGTCAGAGCGACGACGAAATATGAGCGGAAGCAACGATGTCAACGCTAGTTCACGTTTCTCTTATTCGTGTCAATAATATTGATTTACTTATTATAGATATTTTTAATCAAATGGGTAACTACATTGTGTTCTTTCAATTATGTATAAGAGCGGCATTTTAATCAATTTCATCAATTATTTAATAAATTTCTCAACTGTGAATATAACGTACAATTATTTTTTACATATATATATTTCGTTGTAATAAATCCATCAACGAGTAATTGCATATCAATTGTATAAAATATTTTGATTTTAATGTAGGCAGCGAAACATTGGATAACTAATCAATTGACAATGTATTAATAATTATCTGTAACAATGTTTATCACTATTTTACTCGTAAAAAGCATTCTATAAGATAATCATAATAATAATGAGATATGTTATTACACTTATTTATATTATAATATTAAATCACATTAATCTACTTAATGTAATTACCAATATTTTCATTGACAAACGTTAATCCCCGTCTAATTACCTTTCTCAATTGCTACTTTCCCCTTTACCAAACCTGCAAAATAAGTATATCACTTTAATTCATCACGCATTGATTCTTATTTTATAAACATTCGTTCTGCTAAAAGCGAGAATCTCTCATCTCGTATCTCATTAAAACTACTTACATTTTTCTTAATTTTATAATTCTAAAAACAAACATACAATTTTTGTGTATTCTACTAAAAATATACTAATAATTCTATATAAAATCATTACTAAATCAAGATTAACCGCAAAAATACAATATTTACATTATTCAATCAAAGTAAAATTTATCATAAATTTCAAAAAAAAAAATCCATTTTTAAGAACTCGATCCAAACGTTTCATGAGTGAATGAATATGTAAATCTTTCGCTTCGGAAAAACCTCGTGAGAAATACGAAGCGCTCTTTTTCTTCTGTATAAATAAAACTTGTATAAATCGCGCTTTTCGTCGTGGCGTCGAACGTAAAGGCAAACTATCACAGCATTCGCCACGAGAACGCGCGGAATCGCTGGAGCGCATTCGACGAACGGGCGAGTTTTTATCAAGAGTGTAGAGACGTAAAATTTTAGTTAAATTTGTGTGTGTCTATTTTTAGTGAGAGCTAATTTTAGAGAGCTTTCTAGAGTTTTTATTTTACACCTAATTAAACAGCACTTTTAAAACGTGTCCATGTGTATAGTGTCCATACTGGAATACATGTTGGGCACGCTGCTGTTTCTACTGCTTTGGCCAAAGATGGTCGCGTCGACGCCTTCGTCGTCCAGCTCCTCCGAGAAATTTACCAGAACCTGCATGCATTTAAAAAATTTTAGCAAAGTTTAATATTGTGTAAAAAATTCGCTTTGATTAAATAAAATAATTTTTATGAAAAATTGTCTTATATACAATTCGCTATGAAAAAGTTTGATGGAAATTTTGAAAGTTTTAATTTCAATAATAATTATATCATTAAAATAATTTGTTTGTAATATTTTGTTTCAATACACGTTATATAAAAATATTGATATATATAGATATTGATTGCAACGTCACTTTTTTATAGCAACGCGCAGTTTCCGATCAAAGCTCGCGTTTTGTGATTATCGCGACTGCGAGTCGCGAAGTTCCTTTTCGCGAAGACTACGCGTGCGAACTTTTGATCATAGGGTCGTTGCAGTTTCGCGCGTGCTTTTCGCTGAAGCACGATTTCTGCAACGATGCGGAAGGGACGGAAGCGGGATGAAGGGCGAAGCGACTCTTCTTGCCATGAAGACCCATAAAAATCTCAAAACTTTTCTGACCGGCCAAGTTTGCCTGGTTATACGTACAAGCCCGTCGCGATGCAGCAAAAAATTCCCACTTTGTTTGCGAGATTGCCGTACCGTCTTTGCATCACGACAAGAAATGCATTTACATAATGTCCTGACGTAGCAGGCGACTGCTTGAAATGGATTTTTTTCGGAAAATATATACGCCGTGAATCTCAATTATTCGACAGTGTTCAATATTAAAAACTATTGACGCTCGTATTGCAATATAATTATTGTAACACGAGAGAAATAAAGTAAAAAAAATAAACAGCCTGTCTATAATAATATGCAAAATATCACACACCTTTATGAATAAAATATAGATTTTAAATACTTCTTTTGAGAACTGTACTTTATTAAATCTCTCATGAGTATAAATAAACAATTATATAAGATTTTACAATCTCCTGCTTGATTTACTAAATTGATTCAATTTTTATTTTTAGCAATTCTCGATAACTGACAGTTCTTTGGCTTTGTGACAGGATCAATATTTTCGTAATTTATCTTCTAACAATAAGTATATTTGAAAGGATATTTGTGATTCTTGCGGTTTGCTTCATATATTTTACCCTCTAATTTTCAATAGATGAATGCATGCATTTGCGAAACCTTTAAGAAGACATGCAAATAGTTTTCCAGCAATAGCATTGCAGCAATCTAGAACTTCTTAGATTCGGCCTGACCCAGTTTACTATATCGTACTTGGAACTTAATTTATATTCCGAACCGTGCTAACTTGAGCTGTTGCTATTGTCGTTACTGTAGAAGCTTACAAAACAACGGGGTTTATAGCAGCCCTTAATGTTCGCACGGACTAAGTTTCAAGAAGTAGGGATGAATACGTGACACAAGTTTATATTTAACGACGATTTAAATACACCTAGGAGAAGACAGGAGAGAGAGAGACGATTCCGAAGCGATGGCGCGCGTAAACTTCTTTCTCGTTAACAACAATTAGCAACAGTAATCTTGAAAGCGTTATATTGTATTTAAAAGAACGTGCGCAATTGCACGGTAAATGGCGGATCAATATTTTTAGAATAAACCAATTACGCAGAAATTGCAAAGTGTCACGATCTGATAGATCGATCGTATTATTTGTCGAGGAGCGATTCTATTTCTGAAAATGACAAAAAGGTTCCATAAAACTTCCACTCATCGTATTCAAGTACTGAATTTTTCTTACTCCGGTCGCTACGTTATAAGTGATCAATGAAGTTTTCATAATTCATCGTATTCGACGACGCGCTTCTTCTATGAATCTCTCATAATCTTAGTTCATTCTCGAGAATATTGATATTTTATTCGTAAGCATTTATTTTCATCTCACACGTGTCTTTTCCAATAGATTTCTTAAATTACGTAAATTTACGACGTTTATTTTCAGCCAAATTTTTGATCGGTTGAATTTTCAATAACGCGAACGAGAGCAATATAGTTTATAATAAGTTTTTAAGAAATAAAAATTCTCTCTCTCTCTCTCTCTCTCTCTCTCTTTCTTTCACTGCCGTTTCACGTTTCTCCGCGTTTCGCGGAAATTAAATCCCGCCTTTTTTATCACGGTCGATCGATCACTCAAGCGACGATTTCAATTCCCGCTTTTCCTCAAGCGTCGACGGTTCATTTCGATCTCGAGCCGTTTCTTCGAGTTTTCAGACGCTGCAGAATCGCGACGAATAGTTGGAAGTGGATTGCGCGCACACTTTTAGGGCCGTAAGATCTACATACCCACACCGGCAATCTGAGCTGTCGCGCAACTCGCGTGATTTATGATCTTTACTCGCAGCCAAGTCGCGAAATGCCCTGATTGATGTATTGTGAAAAAAATATACAAAATAAATAAAAATTTTCTATCGTTAATATTCCATTTCTACGCTTCTATTTTATCTCACAAATATTTATATTTGCGTATCACCTGCCGCAATAAATTCTTAATCTACGTGTGTATATAAACGATAAAAATCATTTTTCTCCACTACCAACGAACTAACAAAACGGATTAACACGAAATAAATTTTAGCAAGTAAATTGAGATAAAACAACGATGAATAATTTTATATAGCGTAAACATAAAAGGCAACTTGCTATAAAGTTTCATTCTAATTTAATTTCATTGTCTGTAGCCGGTTCAGAGTCTGTAGAGAGTCTGTAGACTTCTTTAACAAAAACTAAATTCGAGCAGAGAAAGCAAAGAAATTGCATCAAAAGCTTTTTGCGTCATTGTGGCCACTTTTTAAGTTAATATCGTGTTCCTCATACGTAAATTTTCTTTGTGTGCACGATGCAGCTAAATATTCCGCATTTTTCAGATTTCACTTATTGTTAGATATGTTGCAGTTTGCGCCGTGAAAATAATTAATAGCTTAATATTGCCACATTACATACATACACACGTACATCTTGCGTTTGAGAGCATGTTCATTAAAATTAACATTTTGATCGCGTTCTCTATAAGAATTTAAAAAGTTTTTTAATTAATTTCAAAATTAAAAAAATTTTCCTTTATTAACCGCCTTATGCAAATGCAAGCGGGTAGCCATTTTACGCGCGGTAAACTTCGCAAAGAGTCGCGAAAACGCGGAAGTTTGGCGGTAAGAAAGAGGGACCGAGCGAAATGTAAATTTCGACTATCCACGTAGATACATGCATCTTCCAAGAAAATGCGCAACCCTCTAGGCGCCGTTCGGACCATCTCGTATATACGTATATAACTCGTCCATTCGTAAATTGTAACACACAGGTCACTCACTTACACGTCAGTCGCGCGTGTTTGTCGTGTTTTAGAAATTTTTTTATTTCCGAGCGTAAACGCGGGAGTTTTATGCGCGAGAGAGAAAAAACCACGAGACGTCATGTACGTCCGTAAGTTTACGAGTATATACGAAGAGATAGGAGCAATTCACACAATTTTGTACAAAATGTGGCGCCCCAAAAAAAAGAGGCGCGTAAAGAAAAATTTGAGCAAGATGATAAAACGCTTTCTTTTTTTTTTTTTTTTTACAGGTATATTAACGCGCTCGTACAAAAGTTCGCGACTCATAATTTCTTTTTAAATTTAATCGCATATTAATTATCGTGCAAAGTTCTAAATGTTCGGCGAACGATATCGTTAAACACGCGCGACTCGAGAAACGATGCAGGTGACTCCGGTTCTTCGACATGCATTTACGATGGCGCTGACTTGCGTATGTATGTATATACCGACAATATATACCGATTTGCCGACAATGCACGCAATCCCCCTCGCATTGAAGCGACGTCGAAAGACAATCGTCGTTGTAATGCCCGATGTGCAAAGGCTTCGAGAATGCAGGCGGAATGTAAAGGAACGTATCGCGAGTATGAGATTTACACTCGGCAGTCTCGAGGAGATTCGGGCTTCATTATTCGGACGGTGAACTATTTCCAGGGCAGAGAGTGAGCGGTTAATTAACAACAGTTTTCGCAGAGACGAGAGGAGGCTGTGCGCGTTACAGCTATCCGGAAAGCATTTAGGCGAGAGCTTAGAAGCAGTCAGCCGGGTGTGGGCGAATTTCCCGCATCCCCGGCATTCTGCCACCATCCCTTTCGCAGCTTGTAAACCATCGCGAGGCTGTATGTAAGCGAACTACGAGACGGCGGATCCATTAATATCCGTCGAGATCGGTGGGACGAAAACGCGGCTCGTCTTTGGACGACAGCAGGAGGCGTTATAAACCGGCGGTGCATCATCTGATGCAGACAAGGCCTCAGAATATCCGCCGGATTATCAGCCGAGATTCGCGGCAATTATGCGTGTGCTTGAAATATTTTAAATTAGATACGATATAATTCGCGTGATGTTAATAAGTTGGGGGTTGAAACTTACGCAACTTGACGCGTATAATAAACTAATCCCCGAAAGCGTATCCGAAATAATATACGTCGCAAAGTTTCATGAGAGGCGAGAAGAAGCACTTGAAACCCAAAACTGTTGAGGATCCGCGAAACAACGCTGCTTTGTTGAATTGGATTCACTGACCTGATCCAGCGAGCTTTGTGTGAGTGTGTAGTCCGTGGCCTTAAGCTCCTCCGCCAACAGCTTCACCATGTTGAAGCTCACGCTGAGCGTCGTGTCTTGGCTCCGTGGTAGCAAAAGTCGGGCAGCCGTTGCCTGCCTCGAAGAGATCATCGCCTGTGGCAGATATTTCAAGATAGCGCTCCTAAGATTCGTAGGGGAAACTGGTTGGCCGAACCTCAGGAAGATAACGTATCCTTCGCCGAATCTAAAAGTCCAAAATGAGATTTTTATTTTTCGAGTTTTTCAAATTTTCGACACGCCTCAAAGCAATGTTTAAATTCATTCTGACGAAGTAACGACGCTAAAATTATGCAAGATTAAAAAGACGCAAGAGATTGCGGGGATAAAATTATAATAAGAAAAACTGCTTTCTTTCTTTTTTTTCTGATATTCACAATCTATTTGCTTTCCGGTTGCGTTCGATCGCATGGGACATGGATCTATATTTCAAAGTCTCGTCCTCGGACAAAAGACGCGGGAGATAAGCTTCCGCTGTGTCTTCTATACTATAACAAAGTGCATTCACTATTCTGTATCATTCAACGTACTCTCCTCGAGAGCGGATTGCAAGATGGGCTACTAACGTGAACAAGACCGAATCGTAAATTCTACCCTCGATGGCGAGAGACATCGCAGGAGAGAGAAAATCGGCGTGAAAGAGAAGATAAAAGAACACTTTCCGAGATTTTTCTCGAAATACTTTGGGTTGTTAGCAATTTCATATTTACGACGTTATTTTAAATGGGCTATGCCGAATGCATTTAGAAACTGAGATAAATAGATCTCTTTTTCTACATGTATACATAACTGATTTCGATCAGAAATAACTAGGCGCCTTCCTTATATTATTGTAATAACGCTGACATATTAATTAATTTATGTAAATACCGTGCAATTTTTTTATTAAGCGGATTAGAAAAGGCTTAACTTTTTTAATCGTAAAAAAGACTATTGTTATATAAAATTTTCCTGTTAATAAAAAAATATTTGTAAATCTAAGCCAGCGATTCTGTATAACGAATTTTAGCCTTCGTCTTCTCCACGTTTTATTTTATTTTGTGTCGCTTTTGCCTTTTCTCGTGAAAAGGATTATTCAACGGATGGAACGGTATAAATATAAGATGCTTCGATTGAGGCAACTTCGTTAAGCACAGAACATAAGTATACGCCCATAAGTTCTCGAGTCACTTCGGAAGACAAAAAGTTGCAAACAAAAATGGAGGATCAAAACCGGTGCTGAAAGCGCCGAGCTATACGGTTTACAAGTCTTCTGGGAAATATCCGGTCGCGAAATTAAAAGAAACGCGTTATTCTGCGAAGATATACCAAGTTCGATGTAATCTTACTTGTGCTTCAAATGTTGCGGCGTTCCTATACACCTGAGACCGGCCCTGGCGAGGATTCCTACCCTCGTGCAAAGGTTTTCGCATTCGGCGACACTATGCGAAGTCAGGATGACACATCCTTGATTCTTCGTCACGTGTCTTACGGCTCTGGCTACGAGATTCTTTGTGGCAGGATCCATTCCGCTAATGTACGCGCGTACAACAAATATTATTTTCAGATAAGAAATATATGTCGGCTCTCAATATTATTAATAATAATAATACATGAATTTTAAATCGGCCAATAGAGCCCAAGCGCGAAATATTATTTTACTAACGCAAAGAATTAAGCATCTACATAGAGAGTTGATGTAATGGTTAATTAACGGATAATTATAATATTATGCCGAGCGAAAAGTACCTTGTAGGTTCGTCCATGAGAACAATTGACACAGGTGCCATGACACTTACAGCGGCGCATAACTTCCTTTTATTACCGCCGCTAAGACCACTGATCCTTCGATGAGCGTACTTGAGGAGATCGAATCTCTTCAGCGTTGTCTCGACAGCCTAAAATTATTTCAATTCCGAGTTTTTATTTACAAATATTTGAACTTGATTTTTTTCTTCTGCAACTTGAATGTAAAAGAATCTGAAGTAATTTTTAAGCAACTTTATCTTCAAGTTATCTTCAGCAACTCTCAAAAAATGTCAAATATTACGAATCATTAATACAAACACATCTTCCCAGCAAACACAGTATATAAATGTTATATACTTAAGCATGTTACATGTAACGTATATGTTAGTTGTAATTTCCCACTCATAGATGTAACATTTTTAATATTACATATATTACATTGTAGTTATATTGTCATTATATCCCAAGATAGCACTGACTTATCAATACATCAATGTGCTATTTGGTATATAATTACAATATAACTATAATGTATTAATATATGTTATATTAAAATGTTACATCTATGAGTGAGAAATTACAACTAACATGGATGTTACATGTAACGTACACGTTATATTACCTGTTATATTCCGTTTTATTATAGCAATGTAACAATTATATATCGGTGTTTGCTGGGTTAATTAATACTAATTTAAATATTTTTTGTGAGATTAAACATAATTTGTTAATACCTTAGGAACATTATTCAGTCCGCAAACTTCTCCATGAACCGTCAGACACTCATGGGGAGTGAGAAACCCGTCCAAAGAATCGCTCTGTGGACAGTAGCCAACCTCGCCGTTGCACAGAGGTCCGGCGCCAATCTCGCTTCCTTTAAGAATAATCTTCCCGGCCGTAGGAATGATTTCCGTTGTCAGCATTTTGAACGTCGTGCTTTTTCCCGCCCCATTCACCCCCAGGAGGCCGAAGCATCTTCCCGCTTGTACGCCAAAGCTTAAATTTTGCACCGCGACATTTGTCCCGTATACGCTCTTATATTCCTTCCTCAGCTTCACGGTCTTCAGGGTGTCATCGACCATTCCAGCCTCGATTCTCAATCTTTCCCTGGCGACGTCGTCGTCCTCTTGCACGACCTCGTAACTAACCTTCTGTTTCTTCAAGTCGGGCAAGATGCGACACTCGATCATTATATTCAGCGTGAATAGAACCGCGCCGATGACAGCCAGGAAAACGTAATGAAGACCGAGAAGATCCCAGCCGAGGGGTGACTTGTAAGTGTCCATGTGAAATCTCTGCAGTAATTCGGAGGTGATGTCGTTCCTCGATATCTCGACTAACGCGTCGCCGAAGGAGTATTGCGGGAAGATCATGAAGGTGTAATGCAGAACGTTTCTCACGTCTTCGGCTGCTTTAGTTTTACCGACAATATCGAACACCAAAACTGTCGCTAGGCAAATCACGCCCATGAAAGTATTTACGCAGAAGAGCACCATGTTGGACAGACTCGAGTCGTCGAAAGCTTTCTCTGCTAAATGCGAAAATGGTATTGCCGCCCATCTAAAGAGAGAGAGATTCATAAATTTTATAAAAGCTTCTCTCTTTTTATCTCTCATGTTGAGTTTGTGTAAAAATGAAAAGTTAATCGTGCAAATACTTACGCAAATAAAAATAATAAAAGAACGATACCGCCGAGATTATCTTTTGCAACGTAGGCTGATAAACCGAAAATTTCGAAAACAATTACCGCCAAGCAAATAGCACAGCCAAATACCTAAAACAGAATATTATTATAAAAGTATTTTTTGAAAATGTATGAATTTTCAGTCGACAGAATACTGAAAAGAATTTTGTGCGCATGTTGTTTAATAACTTACTATGAAATCCCAAATTAAAACTGTCGTCCAATATGTAATAGGATGAACTCCAGCCAAATAGAATATTCTCTTTTCTTCTGATAATCTTTCTCTCACTAACTCCTTTGTTCCCTGAGCTCCAACTAAACTAAACGCTATTAAAAGTACTACGGCCACACCGACATCCGCCACATGTTGCAGCCTAAAATAGAAATAAAATACTATTAAATGTAAAATTTTTGAAAATATTTTTAGATTGACTTTTAATTCAATTATTATAAAATTTGAAAAAGTAAATTTAATATCCAAACATCTTATATATATATATTATTATTTATGTATTATACCCGTAATATTAGCCAAGAAAGGCAAACGAAAGTAGCATTATTAATGATGTAAGGTTTCAAGCAAGACTAGCGACTGAAGCGACTGAAGCTACGACGAAACGTTGAGACCGACTTGCTGTCGACATGAATACTAAACGACACGGTACGTTAATTAAAAGTAAACGAAACATCTACGCTGACGTGAGCTGATTCGTTCGTCGACTTATTCAGTTCAAAACTTTAACTGCGCGCAAACATATTCGCTTATCCGTTTGAACAAATCTGCCCGCATCTCCTTCTCTCTCTCCTCTCTCTCTCTCTCTCTCTCTCTCTCTCTCTCTCTTATTCATGTAGAAATCTATAATTGATTAATCTCCGAACACACGCGGCGAAAAAGTGGCGCGATAAAAATATTTTTGTTCGAGATTTTCTCGTAAAATTACAGATTTATCGCGGCATTAAAGTTAACGCTCACAAAGTAGTTCGGTTCAGCTGATCTCTTGATAGCTTCAAGGGATGATTGAGTGTAGTTAAGTGTCCTTGCACCCCGGATGCTCGTAGGATTGCCTCGTTGAGGGCGTTCAGATACGATGGCAACGAGTGGTGGCCCTTGTTATTGTACCAAACGACAAAAAGAGGATCCTCTTTAACAGAGTGTGACAGAGACCAACCGCCGTATCTGCAAGCCAGTTATTTCTGAAAAACTTTCGAAGCGAAATTCCCGAATTCATTTAATTCTTTCATCGCAAAAAATCTACCGTTTCTCTATATACTCTTGATGCGTCGAAACGATCCAGTCTAAAGTAGGCCGACCAGGTAAGGTCTGAAGGAGACCTTCGACAGCTTTAGAAACACCTCGACAAGATTGTTGACCATCCAAACATTCGCAGGTTCCGGTATCCTGCATAATAATTCGAAAGATAAAAATGTTTACAAAATTACTTTTAACTCAATTAAAATTTCTTTAAATTTCATACAAAAATATTATGCATTCGTACGTTAGGTAAAGTTTGCCATGCACCCGCGTAATCATCTCCGAAGCGATCGTGCAGTTGCATTGATACATGTTGTAGAAACGGATCGTTACTGTCATCAATACTGCAATGAAAACATAAAACAGATTTTTAATATCAAGAAAATGGAATATATTTGTTTAATAATTAAAAACTCCATGTAATATAGATATAAAACTAGTTAATATAATTTTTACGTATGACTTAATTATGAACTAGAAAGATAATAATAATCAGAGAGATCTTTATCACATTTTTGTTTCTATCTTTTCTTTTTGTTAAAATTTCGACTTCCTACCCACCTGTAAAAGTAAGTCGGATGAGTGTCATAAAGTTTGGGAGTCAAAACCAGAGGTGGTTCGTCCTCGGATGGTGGTCGTATTAGAGAAAATCCCATGGCGACTGCGACGAACATGGTCGGTAAAATGAGCGCTGCCAACGGTGCTCTCCAGTCTCTCGCGAAATGCCATACCTTCTTTTTTATCATGGCCTTCATTTGTCGTATCGGCGAGGGTTTTATTATCATCTCCGTAGAACTTAAATCGATGTCATCATTTGGCATGGGAATTTCTGCACATAAAACCATTCTTTCTATAAATGTGTATGTCGAAAATTAATTAAATTCTATTCGCAACATTCAGTAAATCTATTTTTTTCTGTTGTAATCTTGATTCATTTAATTAAATACCCGAGAAATGAAAACTTCTAAACTTTTACACATAAGATAATTAATATAGGTTTATTTATTTTATTCTTTATATTTATTTCTAGTCTTTCTAAATTCTCTCCAAAAATCGATGATAAAAAAGTTAACTTTTATTTTGTTTTTTATAAATGTTTTGCAAAGTGAAATTTCTTCTACGGCATGCATACATAATGTGAAACATTTCTCACCAACGTGCTCTATTACGGCGACACTATCTTCATTTGCTTTGACAATACTCGATTTGTTGTCTGCTCTCGTGCAAAGATCCAAGAAGACTCTTTCCAAAGTGTCGCACTCCAATGAGAAGTGCGAGAATCCCAAGAGCTTACGATTGTCTTCCAATGACTTTGCCGCTTGCGCGATGCTGAAACACCGGCTGGTTTTACTCAAAAGCAAACGCAGATGTTTAACCGATTTCGTTTCGAGCGTACTCTCGACTATGATTATAACAATTTCTCCTAAGATAAATCACGAGGCTTGAAACGTCAAATATTTGTAAAGCCGGAATGAATTACAAGCAGCCCGTAGCGTTACTGTAAATCATTGTAAAATGAGTAGATTTTATCTAGGACTTCTCAATCCTTATGTAATGTATTATACGCGAGTATATAAATACGCAAATCATATGCAAAACCGAATTGGAAAATGATGGAACATGATTCAAAGAATTTGAGCCTAAAATTCATTAATTCTCACACGATATTTATATTAAAATAAAAATTAATATAGTGCAGGTATTTACTCGTTGTTCATGCCATTTGTTCCTTGAAAAGGCAACGTGACGACGACCTCCGACTCGGATATTTCATTCATCGTGACATTTGGAACAACCTCCTCGACAATCGTGCGAAGAGTCTTCAAATCCTTTTTGCCGATTGGCTCTCCTATTCCTCCTATTCCTGCCTCTCCATTGGGACAATGCTCGGCCGGGAAGGATACGTTTAATCGGTATCCTCTGCCGTGCGTCATTTTCAAAGACAGTGGTGAACCAGTACACAGGATCTTTCCTTTGTGCATCACCACCACGGTGTCGCTCAGCATGTCGGCCTCGTCCAAGTGATGGGTCGAAAGGAGCACGGTCCTACCGATCCTGTGTTGGTCGATCAATCGCCAGATTCGTCGTCTAGCCGCGGGATCCACCCCGGCGCCGGGCTCGTCCAGAATCACTAATCGTGGCGAACCGAGGAAAGCGAGAGCTACGCAGAGCCGACGTCGTGTACCACCCGATAAACGTGACACGGGCTCGTGTTCTTGACGTCCGAGCTCCAACGAAGCCAGCATTCTGTATGCAGAACGAAGGAACTTGTAAATTTATAAAAATTTATAAAAATTGGAAAATTATTGATTTTCTAGAATTTAGAAGAAAGAAAAAATTAATATTTTTTCTAAATTACATATAACTAATCGAGAAAAAAAATTGTAAATTGTTTATAATTATATTATAAATTAATAAATGAAAATATACATATATTATAAATTAACGATATCTTACTCGTTAACGTGCTTCTGCATGTCAGCATTATTATTGCCAGATTTCTTAAGTTTCCAGTAAAAAATCATATGCTCCCTCGGCGTCAGAGTTCCGATGAGCACATTTTCTTGAGGACACACTCCTATATCGGGCTTGCAATTTTCTTCTCCATTCAGACGAATCTCGCCGCTGGTCGGAGCGACCATACCTGTGAGCATCTTGCTGTAAATAAAAAGAACGTAATTAGCGAAAATGTGTTAATATATTAAATTGTCTAATTAGCCGGGAAATTAACGCGCAGCTTAATTAAGACGATTAACGTACATAATAGTCGTCTTTCCTGCGCCATTTCTGCCAAGTAAACTTGTCACTTCACCCTCGCAGAGCTTTAAAGTAAAGTCTTCCACGGCCACAACGTTGCCTTGCTCAGTTTGATAAACTTTCCTGACACCCTCGAATTTTACGCCAATTTGCTTCTCTGTCACCGTCAAGCTGCTGATATCGCTCTCGTCATCTACATTCCGCAACAAGCGATAATTTGTTTTTACATCCAGTCTTACGATAAATGACGCTCTTGCACAAAAGCTCTTACCAATTTCACATGGCTATATTTTGAGAAAAGCAAGTTTTTGAAATCACTTGCATAAAGAAGCAAACTCTGTACTAACAAGTATAAATTTCTCTCTGAACATTGAACACAATTCCGATACTTTGAATCGCGTCAATTTCGGAGGACAAACACGATGTATAACTTTAACTACATTCCATGCGATGTGTGCATGTGACGTGCATTGCAGATATTGCGTAAACTATAAATTCAAGAGATATAATGAGAATAGAATAGATACGAATGCTCACCTGACTCTATAATACTTGCCAATTGTAAAAATGTATCTAATTAATACAATTAAAAAGAAGATTGAAAAAATGCAGCATTCACATAATAAAGCTCATGCGATTTATGTATACATATTTGAACACAAAATGCAACAAAACATGAAAAAAGCGTGATGCATACTTGTAGCAATAATAAAGGGGGTAAAATTATGTTTCGCTATGCGAAAAAAATGTCTCTAAATATCACAACAAACAATATAGCCGATCGAATATGTGTATATCGGAGAATAAGTCTTCTTCGCAGGTAATCAAATAACGCGGCGGGTCTTCAAGAAATACGAAAGTCGATAAAATTTTCATAAGGAGGTCAAAGTTTTAAATGATTATACACGCCGTATGAAAATTTTTCAACGATAATTTCCCACGCGGCCGTGCTCCAAGGGAACGAAGTTTAACCCAGTTTACGGCGCGTCTATCATAAGCGTTCTCCTTTTAGTCTCGTGCCAGCCGATATACGAACTCGTCGACGACATGCGAGCGCGAAAAGCAAGTCGAAAACAAACTTTCGTGACATGCGTGTGCGCGTAGGAGTGTGATACCTTGGTAAGCGGCTGAAGGATGGAGAACGTCGTTAGTGAAATAGAGGTTGTTGACGAAGGCGAGGTAGCTCGGTCTGCCATAGAGAGAAGGTGTGCCGGACCACCATAAGCTACGGCACCTCAAACCGTGAAAACCCCTGCCTGGAAAATTATCGGTAATGCTCGTCCATTTTAACTCACCAAACATCTTCATCGATTTCTCTTATTAAACGATGTACTCTCGTCATCTCGGGTTCGTCGTCTGGACTTTTCTGGCAGGTGTATTTTGTATTTATATGACGGTATATGAGAAGTGTATGTGTGCAAAGTTTATGAGAGTGTGATAGTATCGCATATCCAAATGATAAACGTGATTGTATCATTTATTATTCATCTGTACTTAAACCATGCGGAGAAAATTATTAGAATATTTTTACTGATAATATTATCAAATTTTATTTTAATTAAAAATAATCGCATAACTTACATCTGTAAAATATTTTTCTTGAATAAATATAAATTAATGAATTAATACACTTAAATATAAAGTAGGTTTCTTATAATTGTTTTTGTAAAATAATTTGTATAATTTTTAATATAATTAAAAAATTATTAAAAAATTATTTGTATGATCTTGAAAAATGGATAGTTTTAATTATTGAACAACATGTCATCGCAATTTATTTCAAAAATTTTCACCGCATGGTTTTGACAATTTTAGTAATTGTTATCAACGGAAGATTTGTGACAAAAAAGGGCATTAAGACACAGAAAAGTAGATATACAATTCTGAAATACCACCTGCACCGATAAGATTAAAAACTGAAAAATTTTCTCGTTAATAAAGTCAGTCAATCTTATACCAAAGAATTATATTCACGAGTATCAATCAGTTTTTTAAAAATTGTAAATAGTGTCTTTTTCAGTATTAGTCAATCTTTTCTAGTCACGCTTAAAACCTTCACCAGAAGTGTCAAAAATTTATTTCCGAACGTACATCTGAACTGTAGCGAACATATACCTGAATTTGTGTATCTGGTGATTAGATAGCCAATTACGGCATACAGACAACCGTCGAACGCGATCATTAACAACACCAATCCCAAAGACATTGGATCACCAGGACTCGATTCTTCCCACACGTGTGCCCATTGAAGACCGACACCTTGAACTTCCTTTCGTACGGCGTACAGACATCCGTAACAGAAACTGGTGGACATGCTTAAGCACTGAAAAATAAATCATTTTGTAATAATTAATTTCTATTGAACATTTATTTGACAATAGAATATATCAATATATTATTCAAAGTCTGTATGTATAATTTTATATTAGCGCATCATTTGTTTGATTAAAATATTAAATCTTTTTATTTGCATTTGTTCATTTTTATTTTCTAAAATTAAATAAGTAATGTGACTAAATAATGCTCACGATTAAAAGTTTATATCCAAGTCCGAATACAGCTTCCATAGCGATGACAATGACATACGGCATATAAGTTAATAGAAACATGACAACCGTGGTAACTGCGGCAAGACTAGCAGAACTAAATATCGTCGAGATCATATAGCTAAAAAATAGTATTCAAAATTTAAAGCAGGATAAATATATAATCGCGTATGCAAACATATGCAATTATTTCACAATAAAAAATAACATGAAATGGTTATTTACCAAAAAGTAGCAATCGAAAAGATGTAATCGAAAAGTATAATAAGTATTAAGAAAGGATCCGATTTAGGAAGGATTTTTCCAGCGAGTAAAATTAAACTAATGGAGATCATAACAATTGACAGTTCTACAATAGACGTTATGAACCAAGCCAGGGTATTTCGCCATGGCTTTAATCCCATTACGCTCATTACCTGAAAAATTAATCACAACACACAAATAATTAGATTGAATAATAAATACATTTAATAAACACCGATAAAAAATCAAACTTTATATATTAATACACGTAATCGTACCATGGCATTTTGTGATTCTCTTTCCCAAACAATATGCCTGACGGCCGATCCGACGCACATCATTAATGCGAAGAAAAAGCATACTTGCATACCTTGAGATTCATAAAGCGTTGTTTGAAATCTGTAAAATTTATTTTTTTAAGACAATAGATAGAAAAATTTTTGGACGTTAAATAAAGTATGGTTGTCAAAATTCAATAATTAGTAATTTACACCCATTTTTTCAGTATACAGAAATGAAACTGCAGTCACTGTCTCATTTGCTCATAATGCTTCACTTTATACGGACGTTTATTCTATTATAATAACTATAAACTACATTACTTGAAAAGGACCCAAAGTGAGGGTTGAAACGTTATAAGAAGATCAATAAATTGTCTCGACACATATTAATCAATTATTATAAATTATAAAGAGATCATGATTAATAAAGAAATTCTAATTTTGGCAAATTTATTTATTTGACACTTACGAAATTCTTATCGCACAAATTATGAAATTATTATTTCGATTTTTACTTACGGTATGTATTTCCAACACGGATATGGCATTTGTTGTATGAGTGTCTGCCAATTGAGATCCCTTCGAGCCTTTACCTTCACGATCGCACGATCGACCGAGTCCTGAAGTTGAATGAAACCACGAAGATACCTGAGATGTTCGAGAAAGCTGCTTTCAGGTCCAGGAATCCAAAATTGAGTCTTCAATCGTTTGGTGGATGGCACATAATCCACATCCATACGAATCTTATAGGTGATATTGTCTGGTAATTCGTAATCTAGAGATTTCTTCGCACGACCTGAGGTAGTGTCCAGAAAGATTACTCCGGCGAGAAACTCATTTGTGTCGGTCAAGCGTCTGGCTGCTACTTCCAGTTCCTCTTCCGAAGAAAATCCTATTGTTCTGTTTACAAGCACGCATCCCATCATGTCGTTCAACGCCTCGATCATCGAAATCAAATTCTTCGATTTTTTCAGCCGCCATGCAATCTCGCTGAGATCGAGCTCGGAAAAATCACCTGTATAAGAGAAGAACCATATAGGCTTCTTTTAACTTCACTTTTAAATTAAATCAAAAATAAAGTTTGAAAGTTTTGAATATTGAACAGTACCTTCAAAATTGCCACCACCCATCGTTTTGACAGCAACCTTCATGACGTCGGAGGACATTATACTCTGTAAGTCTTTCAAAGTATCGCCCATCTCCGAGAGACTGGCCAGAGACTTTAGAGTCTTCTCTAAACTATTCACCATGACGCTGAGATGTCCCATCTGCACAAAAGTTTCGTTCGCCAACGTCATAACTTCGGAGATCGCGATAGTATTGGGCGCATAAAGAATCTGACCGCGTAATAGAGGCTTAACGTATGACCAAATAATCTTTCCGACAGGCATACTGAGCACAGTTTTGTATGTTTCTTTGCAGAAACTTGCTGCAATTGAAAGAATTATTTATTTAAATATAATCATTTTTATTTAATAAATCTCAAATTTTTTTTTATTTTATCGCTTTACTTGGCAGAGACTCGAGTTCCTTCTGATCGTATGCCTTATTGGTGTCTTCCAAACTAGAGATAATTTTATAAATCTGTCCATTGTCTTGAAGCATTGTTTTCCCACAAAGCATTTCGCTACCAGTCTTTAGGAATTGCGTACCTGAAAAATATACAGATGCAGAACGTAATGAAAGAAATGGAAAATTGATTCACGAAGTTTAATTCAAAAATTCGATTTAAATATCGTGATGCGTAATATATTATATTATTGACATACTGGATAGCTTTTCTCCCGTCTCTTCCGTATTACTTTCTTCTGTATCATTTCCTAAGGAAAAGCTTCCCGATAGCTTGTCTCTGAAAAATGGAAATAGTTCCGCTGCAACGCCAAGATTATCCAATATAACTTTTCCTTCGGTTTCCGTTAGATTAGCGTTAGCCAATATATTTTTTACATTAGCGCTCATTAACTGAAATAAAGTAAAACATTTTTTTTTAATTCTTGTAATATTTGGAATTAAAATTATATGTGCAATAATTACATTTTTAAAAATATATTCGAAATTTATATTCTTCATCAATGTGATAACAATATTTTGCGTCTGCGAATCCTCCAATTGGCAAAGTACGGAGCTAACTTCATCAGCAGTTGTGAGAGTATTATTGAAGAACAACATATCGCCAAGTTTCTCGGGCGAACAAATAGTATCTTTCATACTAATAACACCGCGTTCTTGCATGAAAACCGCGATCATGTCTATCTTAGCCTGACTTAAAGTAAGCGCGATTTCGTTACTTATGCCAATTTTGTCGATTAAAAATGCTCTCACAAAGTCCCAATTGTCGAACATTTCTCTGATAACATCTGTAAAATATAAATGATTAGAAATAAAAAATTACAACACAATCCAACATGCGGAATATAATTTTTTACATTTCATATTGAGCAGTCCTAAATTTTTGAAAATCTCCATTGACTCCAATGCCGTGATCATGCTATGTAAATCATCGATTACTTCGTGGTCATTTATAAACGGCCTTACATCTTCGAGGAGGTCTTTCAATCTAAAAAAAAGTATTTGTGTACGTCTATATTTTTAAAATGCAATATTAAATTTTGAGAAATTACGGTAAATTACGATAAATTGTTAAGATGCATGCAGCAATATAAATCTGAATTTTGTGAGAAAAATTAATAACGTTAATCATCGACATAACTTTATTATCGATTCATATATTTTATCTTCTGGCATATATAAAATGGTATCAAAATATATATACCCGTCAAAGAGTTTGTCGACCGTTTTATCGTTCAATATATTGACTATGCCATCGGCGAGATCGGGGATCCCGAGTACGTTGGAGACGTCCTCGAAATCTATTTTACTAGCGACGTCCAACAGATTCCCGCTTTCTCCGAGGATCGAGGACAGATGACCCAGGATCTCCTTGAGCCAGGTGAGATCCCAGGAGGCTTGGGAACGCCAGAAGGCCTGTTGCCGATTTATGAGGTTCACGTCAAGGCTGCGAGCCAACAGATTTGAAATGTCGGACACCGACGGATATTTGGACGCCCTCGGATCGTATCGGAAAACCTTGCCAGCTCTTTTTGAGCTGAGAAAATTGTATAAAATCGTCGCGTTCTGACAGTCGATTTTTGTCCGGCACAAACTTGTATTCCGATCATTCAGTATCGCGTTCACGTTGATAGTGGCATTCGGCAGAGCAGCGTCGATGTCAGCGAGCTCGGATTTTTTCACCACGTCTCGCAACGGTCGCCAGATTGGTACGTATTTCTCGGACATTCTGGTTAAATTATTAATATTCTCATGGATGCTCGCCGAGTCGAGAATGAAAACGTTCTCTCGCAACATGTCGAGTACGCTCAAAAAGAACGTGATGTACCTTGAATTGTAGCGACGAGTTATTTTATCGTTGATAAAATTAATTTATCTGTCGCATATAATGTGTGACGAGAAATAAAAGATACTTACAATCCTGGTCGAGAAAACGTACGACCGCCGACGAATTTGTAAAAACAGTTGGTCACCTTGTCATGGTATGTCTCATTTTGGAATTCGATTATAATATCGGCGACGTAATGTAAAGTAGTTTCAAACACGGTTATAAATTCGTTTAGTGTCTTTTTCTTATTCAGCAGTTTATAATCCTTGATCTAATAATTTTTTTAATTAATTATTAGTGTATACTTTCTTTCGCACAATTTGCAATTATTATTTCTTACCATATTGCTCGTTTTATTCCAGTTAAAATCATTGATTAACATTTTGTGAATCTCCGATATATTTAATCGATTCATTTGACAAAATAGATTTGAATAGAGAGTATGATGTATCAGCTGGGAATTTAAGATCTCTAATGGAAGTGTGAAACACCACGTACAATTGCTAAAAAGTCAATAAAAATATCATATAGATTACTTTTGTTTCATTATTAACAAATTAAGCTTGATACTTCTTAATGATGTGTTTGCTTACTTGACATCAGTTTGAGTTTCTAAATAACTTCTCAAAAGCTTCACTGATTTCTTCAGCATCAAATCTGCTAGAGTCCTTGTGTCCTATCGACATTTTAATTTTATATTCATTAATTAAAACACAGTATTTTTTCACGATATTTATATATTTACATTTTATATTTATATATATATATGTACATTTATTAGATTATTTAATTAACTTGTATAGTAAATATTATATATATGTATATATAATATGACGATATATACCTTTTTCTTATAATCCGCGTTAAAGTCTTTTAAAGTGCCTTCCTCGAACGAGGTCCACCAAATAGGAATTTTTAATTGCTTGAAGCCTTCAAATAAAACGCGAACTAAAGTAGTTTGCAATCCACGTACCCTTTGCATCAATTGCATTTCATCTGCCGCTTCAGACATATCGGATGTAAGGCTATTCTGTAAATTAAAATTTAAGAGTATTTAAAATTTGACTCCAAAAACTTATTATTATCATTAACCAAAAATGGTAATCGGATATTACATTGTATTTTCCTTCATAAGGCAATAGATCTGTCCATATCAGATGACTGTCACTCATCAAGATCTTCTGACAAAAATTCGAAATGCTGGAAAGTAAACCCTTCTTCCTCATATAATTAGGCGGGATCAAGTATCGATCAACGTTGCAAGGGTGCACTTGGCCTAGGATAAGCTTGTGTATGAAATCGTCTAGCCTCTCGGACGAGACGAAGGTGTCGACGGCAGTGATTAGGAGATTAGGCGTGTCCTCCACGAGAGTTAACAGAGGCTTAAACTTCGACGTCTCGTGCATGACGCGAAGTTTCTGCCAGGTATCGCCGCCTGACGTAAGATCGATCACGGATTCCAGAAGTTGAAATAATCTGCTAGAGTCGACAAAGAAGCTCGAGTTCACGCGAAATCTGTACAATGAAGAATTTTGATTATTGTGGATCCAGGATTTCTCGGATTTAAGTATCAAGGCCCAGGTTTCATTGGAAAGATTCTTCCACGTCGTCGCGTTGAAGATGTTCGACTTGAGACTCACTCCTGGCAGCGCGGCGGTAAAATTCGAGACGTCGTCCAATAATTTTATTAATGACATGGCTAATGGCGTTGATGTTGAAAAAGTAGTTTTTCGACCAGTAACAACATCCTGATGAAAAAACATGCATATAAAAATATAATTGCAACAACAATTGAATATTTTTTCTTAGATATTTTATATTTACTACTAAAAAAATAAATTTTTAAAAAATTTAAAATTATTAAAATATTTAACCCCCATTTATATTTATGACTTTTAATTACGTGATTAAAATATTATTTAAATTATATATTTTTTGTCGCGCACGTACGTGATATTCGTCGCTCGTGGCGGTCTTCAACAGCTGATAGGGATCGAACGAGCACACTCTTTGTAGAAAATGCGTTCTGTTTGGCGTGGACCAGTAATTAGAATTAAAATGGAGAGTACACATGGTCCTTCTGATATCTTTGAAGGGCATGAATTTACCGGTCGTATAATTGAGCGTGCTAAGAGTAGCAATTAAAGCGATAGTCTCTTCGGGATTCTCTTCCAGAATCTTTAGCAGTTGACGCGTATCGCCGTTCTCCGCCAGTTTCCAAATTTCTAAATTATAGTTATGTATCTCGGCTTTCTTCAAAGCGTCGCCAATGTGCATCAAAACCTCCGACATTCCCTCTATCAGTAATCTATAATTCGACCATTCTTCATCCAATTTCAATTCCTAAAAAAGATAATCACTTGTTGCATCAGTTTGCATCAGAAATGTTCGAAGTGTTAAAACTGAAACTCCCATAAAATAACTTTGAGCATAACAATTATTGATTAACTATTAACCTTGTGAAAAGTGCTCTCTTCGCGCTTAATCTCTAGTGTCTCTCTCAATGTCTGCAACATATGATCCAAGTATCTCTTAGAGAAGGGTGGCTCGATGACTACTTTGTTTTTCATTGTGAGACTGATGCTTCTCGTAAGATCATACAAATCGCCGATCATCGAAGCTACGTAAGATCGATACTTGTTAACGGGTTTCTGCCAGATCGTCGTTTCCGCCATATAAAGATCCGTGTAGACGTTGAAATTTTCAGGATCAAAATCGCAAGTGAAATTTTTCAGGACTCTGTAATCCTCGGCGGTCAGACCGATTCTAACGTCGGACAACCAATCGAACATCATCGAACATGTGATTGCAGTGTTATTTTTCAGCGTCGTGACGATTTGATCGTCGATTACAGGATCGGATATTCCATTTACCAACATCGACAGAATATAAGGTAGCTGATCGTGAAAAATGCTGATAGGAGATTTATTATCAAATCCTAGCAAGGCTAATAAACTGATTTTTCCTACGCCTAAAAAGAAGAATAAATAATATCACAAAGATCACTCAATTATATAAATATTTAGCAATAGCAAATCTTGAAGAATCAGATTAATATTGTAATTAATATAAATGTTACTCAAAAATGCATTTACCACGATTCAATATGTTTGTTATGATACGTGAGCCTTTATGAATGATATTGGAAACGTATTTTAAAAGAATAAGAATGCGATCACTGGGATCAACTGATGGTTTCCAAATTTCACTTGCAGAATGCTCACTGCCAAAAGCTTTGATTGCTTTGTCGATCTCTAAATCGACATGATCCAAGGTATTTCTTCAACAAAAATTAAGGCTTTTAATAATTGTGCGAGTATAATAAATATAATAAAAAATTAAAATTAAATTTCTCTTCGAGCTGGATAAATTTTAAAAGTTAAATTTAGTCTTTTACTACGCTAACCGATTATTTTCTATTATGCAACGTAAAATATAATTTTTACCTCCAATCATTATGCATGCTTGGCATTCTTTCTTCGATTATATCATCTGCTTCCTCCGCAAGTGTCGTTAAGTACTTGCTCAATTGCGGTTCTTCCGCCAAAACAACTTCTTTAGCATCGTTTATTAAATTATCAAGTTTTGTAATCAATTGTCGAAATTTTCTATAGCCTCGAGTCCAATTGAATGCTGGTAAATCTGCATTTTCATCATGCTCGAGCTAAAAATTAATGTTACGTAAAGGTTCAATATAATTAATAATTTTTATAATTTATTAACTCGAAATTCTGATAAAGTTCTTTATTCTTAAAATTAGATTAGAGTATTGGATTAATAAATAAATACATAGGTATGTCAACTTACAATTTTTCGGACCTTCATTAATACCGGTTGTTCTCTCCACTCTTTAATAAAGAGACTCGGACTGCAACCGATCTTTTCAATCTGTCGTACAACTTCTCGACTTCCATTTCTTAACTCCAAGGCAACACCAACGCTATTGGTTATGACGCAAGGCCACATTGTTTCACGTTCTTTATAATCATCAAGAACCGATATCTAATAGCAAAAATTAGACACAAGATTTAAAATATATTTTGTAAATTAATGTGCGTAGTATTTTTTAATTAATGTTATTTTGTTTAGAATAAATTAAATATATATACATATTTGTAAAAATTAACTTACTAGAGAAATTGGCCTCAAAGTTATCATATCAACTATATCAAGGATGATCGGGGATAAATTTCTCAAGAACGAACCGACAAGCATCTCGGTCTGCGGCATTTCCTCCAAAATATCGGAAATCTTCATTATGTGATCATTCTTCTGGATCTGGTCGACGATTTTCTCGATGTTGTCGAAAATCACCGAGGTCGCCCACGCGAGTCCGTAAATCATCTTCCAATTTTCTCTGGTTTGAATTCCAAAAAGTGGGCTCTCCATTACGTTAAAGAGCTTGCAGATTGAACCTACGCTGCAGACATATGTAACGTGTCACTAATAATCTTGCAATAAAATTTTATAACATATCGATGACGACAACTTCTGAAAGACAGGTCTTGATAAATGAAATGTATAAAAAAATATTTCTTACCTGATCTCCCATGCGTCTTTCGCCGTTATATCTTTTGTCCACGAAGTTATAAAGTTCTGCTTCAATTTCTCCAATTTCTTTAAATCATAACGCTGACCCTCCTGCTGAACCAAGGTATCGATATATTGATAAATCTCAATTGTTTTCTCGTTGAAGCCAGTCCAATTAAATTCCTTCTGCCTGCGCGTGGTTTCCTCGTATTCGACGTTGGTCACGTTTAGTTCCAGATTCGTTTGCACCAATTTGGATAGATCGCACACCAGCTCCTTCAGAATTGTGCTGTTCGATTCCTTAGGAAAATTTAACAGAGCCGGCGGATTCGGATTCATGCAATACGTTCTCGTAAAATTCGAATATTCCAAGATCTGTAATGTCTATTTAACAAAAATCGCATTGAGACGAGAAAATATACAGAATTTTTAATTGATTATATTATGCAAATGATTTTAAGATGAAAGAAAACTTTAATTACATTTCACCCCAACTCACCTTTTTTCTATCCGTGACGGTGAGATAAAACGATTCGATCAACTCAGATTGACGATGACGTACTTCCTCTATCCAGCTGGTAGGATTAGTTCGTAGATCTTGCAGAACCATCTCGGCTAAAAAGTCCATATTTTCCAGATCCGGCCTGATTGTCATATAGGATAGACTAGTGGAACCCAGCAGTTTTGCTATGCTTAAATGAATTCCCAGACTAAAGAAAAGTACTGAATGTTAATACTTGAAATTATTTATATTGCGTGAAAAAAATAGATATATAAATTTATTTTATGCATAAATACATAATTACTCACATATCCAATTTTCCTTGAAGTTGCGTCTCTTTGAAAATTTTCGACCATTCGTCAGTGGTTTGAAAAATAGTCCAATTCAAATATGTTACTTTCCGTGTGTTTAGATAAGTTACGAATCCTCTTACGTCCCTTACAACGGATGTTAAGTTTGAACTTTCGATTTTGACAGGTCGTTTGAATGCCATAGTAACCATGGTCGATAAAGTTTTGGTCACCTGAAAAATACGCTTTGCTCATTGTGAAATCATAATTACTGTTATATTACAATTGATTGCTGTATGCGTACAATAGTTGCAAATTTGTGAAATTCGAAACTATTATAGACATCGGTAATTAATTTTTTTCCGTCATCGCTGCAGAATAATTCATCAATTTCGTTCGATTTGTCCTCAAATTCAATGTAATTATCGAATATCTCGTTCATTGTTTCTTTTCGACAAAATGCTTCTTCAAATTTAGCTTTTTTTAAATCTTCCAGTAGACGCTAGAAGAGAAATTTAAAAAATTATATTTTGAACAATTTGATTTAGTTTACAAGAAGGATAAGAGCTGTCAAAAATATTTTTAACTAAAGGAGAAAATAATAATACAAACCTCTACAAAATCTAATCGCGAAAAGGAATGAATAATTCTTTTGTATACAACAGGCTGCAAATTTATCAGCATCTTTTGGACTAAATTCTGATGTTTTTTAGAAATCTCGTATAATCTTCTCAAGATATCTTCATGAAGAATTGCGACGTGATGAGACATTTGCACGATATTATCTATCAATGACACAAGATATGTCACTGAATTCACTATATTTTCGGAAAAGAAATTTTTAAGCCCATCGAAAGTGTTAGCAGCTCTAAAAATGAAAGATTAAATATTACAGACATTTATAAATATTATTAATTTACTTGTATGTTAAAAGAGGAAACACTTGCAATTCAAAGTCATTTTTGTGACGATCGATAAGTTTATTAGTAAGCTTTAAACCATCCTGCAAGATCAAGAAAGACAAATCCAATATCTGCGTAATATTGTAATCATCTGAATTGGAGAAAGTCGATATTGCTCCTCCCAAACGGTCCATCACGCTGAAGAAATCATCATCTTCGGTAGAATTGAGCTTGTGGTACTTCACAACTTCTTTCACCATCTTTAGAAGTCTGTTTAATTTGAGAAATCCACTTCGAGCGAGCGGCCAATCATGTTCGTATGCAAATACAGGATCCAAAACTACGATGGCTTTATTGATGCTGAAATTAAGACATTTACATTCCTCCGGATATTAATGGTTTCGAGATATTGAATTACAATTTAAGGAAATTAGATTTTAAATATGAGACGCATGAACGCAAACTTACAAGTCCAGATCGATTTCCTTGAAAGTAACGTTTTGGAAGACCAAGATTATTTTCGGCAGCCATTCACGAACCTTCAAGTACTCGGGTATGTATTTCTGGGAAGTCTTTAGATCGAGGATGGTTTCTACCGCTCGTTTCAAATCCTGGAAAAAGTTGTAATCGCGAAATTTTGCCATTGCGCGATCGACCATCTCCAGTAAGCCGGTAAAGTCCAGATGCTTCGAAAGAGTCTCTAAAATGTCGGGGATTGCTGTCGAGTCGATGTTGCAGAGAACGTTCGAAATCTCTGCAAAGTCCTCCTCTTTAGGTAGAATCAAATATTTCTTCAGATTTGTCGGGGAGCAAACGACGCCATTGATGTCGGACGAACCAAAAGTTTTGATCAACTGTAGACGAAAATTAATAAATAAATGAAAATCAATAGAAACATCTTTTTTATTCGCTGCAATATTATGAAAATAATGCATACTTTTTGATATAACATTTGTACAAGACTGGAAAAAGAGAAGTGATTAGATAAATCTCGGCGTAATTAATATCATTTCTGTTTCAATATATAGAAGTAATTACTTACGTATATTAATTTTACGGATGATTCGAATAAATCATCAACCAAACCCTCTCTTGCTCTCGGCATTTGAGATTTTAATAAATTTTTAATTTCTTCGTGATTTTTAAACAAGTCACCCAAACGGATTCCTCTATCTATTAATATATTTATATATTCAATTTCTCAATCACTTGAAAGAAAACGTCAAATTAGATTTCATTGCAGTCATACCGAAAAGCGCCTTGATTTCCGGCTTGGTGAGGATCTCTGCCATCGACTTCAACAATTTAATACTCTGCGGCAACGTTTCCACGGCGGAGATAATAGTCTTATTATTGAGCATCGGTTGTAGTTCCACGATTAAAGGACTTAAACTGTTATCACGTAAAAAGAAAAGAAAAGAGAAGAATGAGTCATATTTTTCCAGATTTTGTCCAGAGAAGACGTAGTAATTGTAACGAATTAATCTCATGTACGAGCTTAATTAATTAAATTGCGAGACTAACGTGGAATTTTTGTACGATGGCACTTGCTCGTATTCCGATAACGGATCGCAGGGACTTCCAACGCTACATATGTAACTCTGCACAAAAGGTAGAAGCCCGTCCTGCGGCATCGACCTTGCGGGAAATTGACATGTCGAGTAATATTCCGGATCGACATTATCACGCACTGTGTAAAGAATCATAAAAAACCACTACTGGCCAGAGAAATATCAAGGCTAAGATTCCCTGAAAGAAATTTATACGATGTATACGAATCCAAGTAGAATAAATAGGAAGCAGACGTATCGTTAAATCGAATATAATAACTTACTGATTGTCGTTTCCGAACGATATAATTCTTCCAAAGAAGAAGTCCGAGCTGATCGATCTTCATCTTTTACAGAGCCGAGAAACTGTAACACTAGAAATTATTTCGAAGGAACATTTAGTAAATCAAGAAAATAATTTACAATAATATTTTCGATAATATATATAATCTCTTTTTATCTTTTCTTATAAAGGGTTTTTTTTATAAAAGCTTTCTTTTAAAGTTTTTTTAGATTCGTATTTTCGTAAATGTACAATTATTCTGCTCACACGCGACTTTCAGGATATATGTCTATATTTATTTATGTTTAAGAGTTGTCTCGATATCCTTACAAAATTATGCTATCTGTTAGTATACAAAGTGAGACATCGACTAAACGGGCAATAAGGCAATATACTTGTTATTGGTTTACAACGAGACACATTGATTGACTTAATAGGCGCTAAGAGATAATATTTGTTCTTCATTTTATTCGCACACAATAATGCAGCTATCATTCTTTTCTCTAAGAAAAAAATAATGAAGTTACATAACAGACAAAATATATAAGAATAATATTAATATGTATTAATAATATAATAAAGCTTTAAATATATATAAATGATGAATTTCAACTTTTGAATAATCAATGTGTGTGTGTGTTCGGGATAATTTTGTATATTAATATTTAGAATTTTTGTATACAATCTCTCTCATCGTTATGTTAGAAGAAGTCATTTACAATGTTACGATGCTCGGGGCAGACGCTAGCAAACCGAGATTTTCACCGGAAAAACTATACCGAAAATCTCACAATGGAAAGTTTTGCGAGCTCGCGTGCGGCCCCGCCGTATACTTTTCTGTCTAGAGTACTCGAAATGTGTGGAATCTACTTGAACCGAGTGCACTCGGAAAAATGCTGGCGGTGAATGGTTGAATTCACTATCAGAAAATTTTATCGCGGCCATGAAGAAACAAGCTGGAAATTTTTCACTATGACGTTGAATTGCATCCGCGTCTTACGGTATGTACCAAGTATATACCAAGTAATATACATCAAGAGGCGAATTATACCGAATAATTATGCGAATAATACCAGAAAATCCACTTTCATTATTCCACACTCAAGCTTAATGCATTGCGAGATAAATACTTTAAACATCGTCTCACTATAAATGAAGAAAATAGACAAGATTTGTTAATAGCTGTCTTATGGTTCTATCTAAAAAATGTCTATCTAAATATATATACATTATAAAAAATAATATTATAAAATAATATTATAAAACAAGCTATACAATATCTATAAAAATATTTTAAAAATTGTGTTCTGCTTTTGTCAGCAATAGAAATAATTTTTTATATCTATTATGTTCATTATTTCGCTCTGTTGCACGCTATTATTTTTACATTGCGTATTAGTTATATATCTTTCTCATTTAAATATATATTTTTTTATATTTATTTTGCAAAATAATAATTTTGGATCCACCGCGTATATACGTCTTTTAAACAACCAGTAAATGTTACATTACATGCCTATATACTTTGGGAAGAATTCTGTATTTAAATATATTATAAAGGGAATTGACCACTGTCCTTTCATGCCGGAGATTCGCACTACTGATTGTCCTCATTAACGCACAATACGATTTAATTCTATTTGCACCGAACTTTGAATTTGTTGTCGCATTGAGCATCCACGAAATTATTTTGATTTCTTTCGAAAAGAATTTTATTATAGGAATTAATTTTATGTTTGCATATTTATTGTTTACATATTCAATTAATTAGTAACAACCGAGTTAAAAACTGATGTATCATTTTTCTTTAGAGATATTTAGTTCAATAATATTTATCGTTTAGTGATGTTATATCGTTCAATTGTATAGTCCACGTAAGATACATAAACGAAGAAGAAGTAAACATAGCAGAAATCTATTTCAAATGTTTCGAAAATGTGAAAACATGAAGAACGTTTGTATACGAAGAGATTTCCTCTCATAAATTATCCATATCGTCATATTTTTAACAATATTAATTAATGAAAGGCTCGTATAAATTAACAAAATTAAACAAATCAAATATAGTGGGCCAACTAAACGAGCAAATAAATAAGATGTAAAAATTTATTAATAGTTAAATAATAAATTACATTCCGTTACAGAAACATATAAATCGTAAACGTTTCGACTGCACTAGTCTTTATCAATACATAAAAGTTAAATATTAAATACAAAGTTAGTTAAATATTAAAATATAAAATTAAAACGATTCTTCGCTGTTGACCAATAGATGTGCAAGGCGAGTGGTCTGAGATGCCAATTATGCGACATTTAACATGCTGCGAATATAATACGCGAATTAATCAATGTCAGAGAAAATTAAAAAATCGTTCAACTTACATTATCGTTTTAACAAGTCCTTTTTCCCGACTATTACAATGTTGGTTCCTAATATCAAATTGTCAAGTAGAGAGCGTGATGTATTTATTTATTACCAATGTTTTTCTAAACTATGATTCAGGCAATTTTTTAAGTATGTCAAAATAACTACTGTCTAGATAGTATTTTTAACATTTAACTTTGTATTTTATATTTAACTTTTATGTATTGATAAAGACTGTAGTGCAGTCGAAACGTTTACGATTTATATTGTTTCTGTAACGGAATGTTAATTTAATTATTTAACTATTAATAAATTTTTACATCTTATTTATTTGCTCGTTTAGTTGGCCTACTATATTTGATTTGTTTAATTTTGTTTAACAATATTGTTAAATAGTTTCGAAAAATATAGGTTTCTTCGTAAAAAATAATTTATAATAAATAAAACAATGATGAATAATGGAAAACAAATATGACTAGTATTAGAGAATAATTATGATTCGTCTTGCAAAAACAACTACCAAAGCCTGGATCAATTGAAGATATTAATTATTATATCATGAAATTTTACTTTAACATTCCTTTTTACAGATAATAATATTGACATAAATCAAAATAATAATTGCAAATGCGCTACCCTGTACATTTCAATATCGATTTATCAGCTAAAGTTCGAGATTGATAATTACGTTATTTCAGAGAAATGTGATATGTTACGAGTACTTCGTAAAAATAAAATACAAGTTTATCATCTAGTATCGAGGATGTTTGTACTATGAGCATCAAAGCAAACTCGTAAACAGCGTAACTAATTTACGTATCCGTCGCAGTTGCAGCAGGAAATGCGTAGTGCCCTGTCGCGTGCTGCATCGACGACAGGATGCATTATGGAGATATGGAGCAGTGAACTGAGCGGTTCTCGTATAAGGATAAAGTGCATATCAGAAAAATATAAATGTTCCTGTCTCTGCGTCAATCTCTCCTTCCGGGGAGAAATTACAAAGTATCGTGTGCAAAAGCCGGAAGAAATAAGAGGATCATTTATTTCCGGTCATTAGACGCATCTAATTTCAGTTTATAATGAATAATGCAATATAATCTTATATGAAATTAACGAAATATATTAACATTAATAATAGACATTAATAACAGAGCACATTCGCGAAATGGATTTATAATGAAGAGAATTGCATTGAACAAGAAAAAATTAACATATACATATTACAAAAGTTTTTATTACAATTATATTTATTATTAAACTATAAAATAGATGAATTGTTGAAATAATTTGACATAAACTATATAATAACTTTGACAGAATTGCAAATTCTGCAATTATGAATGAGGAGAATTTGATTAAATGCTTAAGAAAATTCTTGCAGATTTCTTCTTGCAGATTTTTAATTGCATGACCTTTAAATTAATCAGCATTCGTAGTCGTATACATGACGACCGGTCATTCGTAGACGATTACACGAGTCTCTCATGAGATAACAAAGATTCCTAGTAATTATTGATTTGGAAATTTTGTGGTGGAGTATATGGTTAACGTAATCATAGGTGACGTGACTATATTTATGGAAAGCTACATGGCCGTAATACGATTGCTCGTATACGAAAATACAGGCATGTATCGTCTTAAATTTATTTTGCAACGTAATCTACATCCCGCGCATGTATACATAGAATCCAGTAAATTCTAATATAATCAACGAACGACTGATTTCTTATGAAGACAGAAAGGAAAAATACTCCGCGAATTATTTTTTTTAAATTTATTACGCGATCACTGAAAAACCGTTTATTCTACATTTCTTAGTTGTGTCTTCTAAGTAATAATCTTCTTAACGATTACACTGTCGCGATTTAATCAACATAATATGCATACGAATACGTTTTTCTGCTAATGGAAGACAAACTGAAATATGTGAGAAATATTAATATACTTTGTGCAATAAAGTTCAATAGTATCGTCAAGCGTTTAGAGAATAAAATTAAAAATCGAGAGGCTCCAATGTTATATGTATGTATATTCCAGAAAAAGCACATGTTCTTGCAATGTGTTAAAGAGCACGTCAAAGTGTTCTTTGTTATATAATACTAAAAATCTTATCTGTATAATAGTGAGAAGATGCAGCCTATTATGAGACAGCATAATAAATATTTAAAGAACTTCCGATACTCGATACCAAGTTTACTTAAGTTTATTGAAGAATATCGAGAATATTTATATGACACACTATATTTGACATACATACGTGTGACATATATATGTGCAAAAATATAGAATATAAGTCTCTTGCAGCTATATGCGATGTATACTTATTAATGTTATGAAACTTCGATAGTTTTTTTTGATTAAACGGGCAATTAATTTATTTATCTTTTTTATTACTTCACGCATAGTTGGCGGTTGCAAAAGGAAATAATCACCGCCTTCTTCGTATATTTTATTCAATGACCATGAATTATGAGCTGATTATTGCTGTTTACATCGTCACGAGCAAACTTCTTGCTATGCAAAAAGTGAGGCATTCCGGTCTAGAGCTTCGTTTATTAACACCCCGCGAACAAACGTGCACTTTCACTGGATCCTGTGTGCAGTTATGCGAGCCGGCGGCCGAATAAACGTGAATCATTTCGTAACAGTTCGTCGCGTTCGTCATGTGTGGATTTAATTACGTCTCTCTGTACACAATACGAATAAATTCACGCGATAAATAATCTTCACTTTCTCACGGACGACGATTAAAACGTGTCGCTATCCCGACGCACGATCAATTAAAAGCGGAAGGGTCGCAATTTTTTTCAATTCACCATTTATTTCACTGACGAGAAATAATCCCTTTACTACTGCATATATATATATATATATATATATATATATATATAATACCTGCCATTCGTTATGCGAAATATGTGACAGTTGTACAATCTATAAAATGAAATAACTGACCGATAGTAAATGAGACTTTATTGCGCGTACGCGGAGAAACAAAATACGAGATATGTCCATTTAATTACGCGTTATTATAATTTACAGTTAATATTCCTGTGAAATGAAACGAGAGTGAGAACGATATCGCGGCAATGAGATTCATCAAGCGTGCGATGCGTCGTTTCGTTTCCACAGGTGAAAATCCGCGATCTGATTATTAATATGCCTGGCACGTGGCATGCAATCCGAATATACTTTAGTGTCGTTGGCACATAATTATTATACATGGCAGTGACCATCGTTACGACAATATAACCGCGACAACTGCAACTACAAAGCGATACTGTATGTATACTTTGTAAGCGTCCTTCCATATTTATTGCCGGTGCATCGATAGAATATCCTCGCCTCGTGTGTTAACACATTTATTGATATTGAAATAACAAATATTACAATGCGTGTTGTGTGAAAAATATCTTGTATTTATTTTTTAACCGATATAGAATATATATAACTCTCGAATAAAACGTATAACATTAATGCCTATAATTTTTGCAAATTGCTCTGATTTTTTTATCCTACCGTATCATTATCTTGTATTACGCATACGAATTACCGCCTGTTGTCCACGCAAAAACATCTCGAGGTCGAGCAAGGTTCAAGGTTGCTGACATCGAGAGACAATCATAAATCATAACTAAGCGCGCTGAATATTTCTCAGCATCTAAACGAGTAATTTACATGAAGTTGACCTTAATGTCAAAATGCGAAATTATTAAATAAATTTCTCAAAACACGAAACACAAGGACAACAAGAGAGTAGATATCTATTAATGCGTCGTAAAATATATTACGCAGGCTAGATCTACGTATGAATATATAATGATCAAATACAATCGTTCAAAACTAAACATTATTAACATTGTGCATTTACATTTTTGCGTAAAATTCGATGGCGGATTATCCACAGCCATAAAGTTACATCCATAAAGAGATAAAACTTGAATAAGAAATTTTCACTTAGGATTGTCGTGAATTAAACTTTAATCGTTTAAACTTATACAAAGTAAAAAATTTTATGATGACAGATTTATGATTAAAAATGTTATAATGTAAAATGATATCAGCACATTTAACTAAAAAAAAAATATTTAAAAAACAAATGTATTTAACAACTTTTTTGCTTTTTATTCTCGACTATTAAATATTTAATTAATAAATGGTTAATCAATTCTGCATGTTTTTCTTCTGCCTTCAGCATTAATTACTGACCTTTTCACAATGATTAAGCATAAGAAAAATAATGAAATTAATAAATCTCATATGTAAGATTGAATTGAATATGTAAGATTAAATGAAATAGATGCATGGATAGAGACAAGATGATAATAGGTCAAGAGAGATGTATTAAGGTATAAGACCACAGCTCTTCCGCATAAACGTTACATAGTCTGTTATTTTACTAGAGAGATAGAAATAAGTTCAAGGCTGCGAATAAAGTTATATAAAATATGAAGGCACGTTGCGTTAGATATATACAACACAACACTCTTTGATAGCTAAAGAAGTCTAGAGTCCAAAAAGAAGAAAATTAATCATAATAATTGCGATATATGGAACTGCAAATGAAGAAATAAAAAGGAAAACATTTGAAAAAGTTTCTCAACATAGCAATGTGTAGCACGAAAATTATAAATATAAATCATTAATTGTTAAAATTATAAATAAAAATAATTAAATATAAAGCAAGATCGATACAGACGAAATATGAATGTAAAAATGCGAGTCGCTCTGACAGAATAAGATACGAAAAAGATCATTCGCTGTCATTAATTGTCGTTAATTGTTATCGACGATCATCTACATTTGACAGATGTGAACTTTTTTTTCGAATCACATCACGTCTAATAGCCTTTATTCCGGAGAAGAAAGTTCAGAGTTGCGTGCAACCACATAAAACAACTGCTCAGACATCAGGAAGGATTGCATCCTTGCTTTTCTCAGAAACCTCAAATGATGATACCGTCAGCAGCAGCAGCTGGTCGAGCAAGTTTCCCGATCGTCTCCGGAGCCTCCTTAAAGGAGCGCAAAGGAACAGAGGAATCTAGTGCGTAACAACTCGCTCGCATTCTTCCACCAGAGTTTCTCTCTCGTTCTCCGAAAGCGAGAGCGAATTCTACGGTTGCGACACTAACAATAAGCTCGTTTTGAATTTTCGACAAGTGAATTTTCAAGAATCATGGAAGATTAAGGCGCGTAAATAATACGCGAAGCACGTTCTCCATAATAACACCTAAAAGATAGATGACAGATCAGCGGAAGGTCGAGTCATAAGGTTCTTTTCCAACGACACCAGCCAGGATTGCGTGATTAATTCGATAAATATCTAAAACAATGTTTTCCCGTACACCTTGGAAATGATGAGACGATAAAGATGTTAATTTGATCATATCTCTATTCTCAAAGTGTCTTTACTTCCGAAACGCGCAAAAATATGCGCAAATATTTATGCGCATTTTTGCTACGATCACGAAATGTCACAGATTTTTTGAAGATAATATAATTACTTTTATTTCACATTTCGATAAATAACAAACATGGGCTAGAACTTAAACATGTGGTTCCATTGCTTTATCATGATGTGTGTTAACCTTCGTAATTTCGAGACGCAAATAAAGAAGTTGAGCAATACAAAACATTAAATTATACTTCTGGAATTTTCCGAATCAATTTGTTCATATAAAATTATTAATAATACAGATTTTTACCTATGTAATTAAATTGTACAAACATTTTACGCATATTTGCGCCTTTTGTTAAATAGAAAAAAAAGTTAAATAAAAAGTTTGGTTTAAAATAAAAAGTTTATGATTTATATATTAAAAGTGTAATTATAAAAAACATAAAAAGTGATATTGTTTTTCTATCATTTCAATTTAAATTTCACACATATAATCAAATACAATATAATCTAAAATTGAAAAGTAAAATATTAAATATATAGTTTTCTTTTATTTTTAAATAAAAATTTTGCTTTTGATCATGTTTCTTTAAAACTTTTTTTTTTAACTTTTTTATCCTAGTACATATAACCATCGAGCGAAAATTTAAATTAATTGAACATTGAATAAAAATATGCTTCAAAGGCGATGATTTTCCGTAACTCCATAGAATAAATAAAAATCTCGAATAAATCTCAAAGTTCTCTCTTTCTTTCCGTCTCTCTCTCTCTCTCTTTGTCTCTTGACAAATATGACTAGAAGATTTATATCATACTTACAGGTTTGAAGCAAATGGTCACCTTGTCTCCACGACTGTATATAATATAAAAAAACGTAATGTCTAATACGTATATAAAAACTAAACGCGCGTATTTATCAGTGATTTAGCCTTATTAATCTATGCATTTGATTAGAAAAAAGATGCATAAATCGCACGTAAAATCGCGAATCAGGGATCCCCGAAGTGTTCGCCAATCTTTTCGGAGCACATTCTGTACGTGTACTCCGAATAATGGAGCAGACCGCTTCCGCAGCAAGGATGCACCGGCGAAGAGCAGAACCTGCCTGATTGCGGTCAGCGTGCGAGACTCATGCGGATCCACGAACGAAAGCGAACTTGTCCCGGCTTCTTTTCTTGTTTCGCGTTTTTCTCGTTCCTCTCGTCTCGGCGGTAGAGATGTCGACCGACGTTCATACACACTTGAACGACGGTCGAGAGACGACTGTTGCCACTACTGTGATCCACGACCACGTGGACCTTCGAAGTGTGCTACATACACTTGTTTGTCTCATGTATGTGTGTGTGTGTGTGTGTGTGTATGTATGTGTGTGTGTATGTGTGCACAAGCGTGCGAACGCGTGATCGTGAATCGTTTTCTTGATCGATTGACCGCGAGGTAGTGTCGGCAAAGTATAAATAGAAAACAGGTATAAAAGTTGCAAAAAAATTTTATGATTTTTTGGGTTAATTATTCAATTTATCAATTATATACCTACTATATTATAGTTCAACAGTAATTAATGATACATTTTATCACAGAATAATATTTATTTTTTTATCACGAGAATTTAATTCATTTTAATCATTCACGATTAATGATTATTTCATTAATATCATGTTAAGCAATATATAATTCTAGGAATTTTTTACTGGAAAATTATATGTGTATATATTCTTGATACAGATACGCATATATGAAAATTTCAATAATAACTTAATTATTTCGAGGAAGATGGAAATGTAGATTGTCAAGAATCTCGGAAGAGCATACTCCGATACGTGCGCGGAATCGTGCGAGAAATCACAAAATCCCGTGAGAAAAATGGTGAACTTAACATTCCTATCTCGTACAGAGTACTCACAGTAATACTGTTTACAATATCAATATATTTCGTTTAATCTAATAAGCAGGTCTAATAAATAGATTGAAATAAAAAGTTCATATACGCTATAATTTTATTGCATACAATTATAGTGTATATAAACTAGAATTATATACAAATCATATAATTTCCATATATAATTTCTGACCCGTATATAATCTTTGTATTTACAAGAAAAGTAATAATAAAACTAATTGGAAAATATAATAATTTTCTTTTTTTAAATCAAATTTAAAGAAATGTAAAAAACTGTTCATATATATATATATATAGTAATATATGAATAATTTTTTTCTTTTTATATAATTATGTGTGGGCAATTTTTTTCTTATTTTTTAAATTTTATTTTTTCTAAAAAAGCAATGTAAAATTATTTTTTTATTTATTTTTTCAATTATTCTTATTATTTTTCCTATATATAGGAGCAAAGATTTTACAAGAGAATAAAAACATATATAGATATACTTTATATATAATTCTATATTTTATATATGATTGCATAGACTTTTCTTCTCGTACACTAAATTAATTAGCAGTTTAATCTTAAGAGTATAAATATTTGGTTTATTAAACTTATCTTTAACTCGATGATTGAATATCAAGATTTGATTTACTACGAAGACTGATAACTTGATCTATTTATCAAACAATCGCGTGAATGCCAACGATAGGGTCAACCGGCTGACCCCTCGATTGACTAAAAATGGTAGCACGGATTTCCGATTAACGATTGCTCCGATCATTCGTAATGATGTAACATTTCAACCAGCAATTTATCGATATATATTACATACTTTGCTTGAAAAAAAGATACAACGAAACATAGGTATGTGTCGAAAAATTTCAGTGTCAAGGCAAAGCACATTTATGAATAATTAATTAAATCGCTAAAATAAAATTGAATGAATAATAATTATAATTATATGCATAATATAACACGTAACATGCTAATCTTATTGTTGTGTAATGCATAATTATTTAAAAATTCACAAATTTCATAATTTTTTTATTCTGTAATGTTTATTATATCAATGTTATGTGTACGTGTTTTAATCAAGCCACAATTAGAGCAATGAAAATATATTTTTCATCAGTTATAATATGCAACATTAATAAATGCAGTTGTGTTTAAATTTTCTCGTAAGCAATAATGCGACATTTTCAATGCGTTTCTCTTTTAATTTATTGCTTTTATCATGTTAAGAATAATTATTTTGCTTGCTCATTAGTAACATATGATCACAGAGGATATTCGCGTTATCAAAACTTAATTATCGGTCTCAATTTCACTACTGCACTTGTAATCAAATACAAATAAAAAAATTTTAAGATAAAGATTTCCAATAATTTCCAAAATATACATAATAGATAAAAATAAAAACATGGCATATATTGAACTTTTTTTTAATTTACATATTTTATGTATGTATGTTTTTAGTTTCCTTCTTTTAATAAAATGAACAGTACAACAAAGCTGTATTATACTGTTAAACTTTCATTTAGTCTCAAGAACTTTAAACAATTATTACATAATACAGAGACTTATTCGAATTAAAAATAAAATTGTGTAAAGATTAATCAAATATATTAAACATATATATTAAACATTCTCTTTGTTAATATTAAAAATATGTTACTTGTAGTGAAAAAAATCTGTTGTTAAAGATAAACATGACTTTTAAGAGTAAACAAAATTATATATTTCCTGCGAAAATTAGCAAATGTTAATGATATAACTCTGAGAGATATAAAATCTTTCTATTACTCTCAGATCCAAGGACTATCGCGACATATAGAAACGCAGGAATATAGGAATGCCGACTACCTGTGACTAATTCAAGGAAAAGAGGCGACTCCTCGTTTTTGGGGCACATCTAAAAATAGGGCTGGCATATACGCGGTATTTGAAAGAAAAAGATACAAGAAAGCGAAAAGCCGTCTGGCGAGAGTTGACCTGGTCGCCGAATGTCACATTCAACTTCATGGAAATTGAGGATCGCGACAACATATACATACATATATGCGTCGTGCATTATTCTACATATGCTAGCAATGCAATATTTGCATGACGCATCTCACGACCGGCGAAAAGGTATCTCAACATACGTTTCGCGAAACGCATACATATGCGCCCGCACATGTTACATATATTCATTATATGATGGTAATAATTGTTTACGTGTAAATTGGCATAATGTTAATTATGATACTATTAGGGAGCATTGCAAACACAATTTACTGGATGATCAAGGCCCCATTTATTGCATCGTAATAGTCGCTGCGAGATGTAACATTTACATCGCACATGTACGGAAACGCATGGGAACTATATATGAATAAATAATGATTTCGTGCATTATCGACGATTCAGTGATGACTCGACTACTAGGAGAGAGAAAATGGAAAAATCTCGTAAAATATATATTTTTCGAGGGACGCACATTTTCACTATTAAATATCTCACTTTCGATATAGTTATACAGAGTGTATAAATTCAAATTCGTGTATATGTATGTATGTATGTATAATAGAGTATATAGATTTAAAAATTTAACTACTTTTTATATAACGTTAATTTGCAGCAATATATCTCGTTCTGAATTAATTCAGTCATTATAACATTCAGTCAAAAACATAAACTCGCTATTTGACTCATTTATGTAGTTATTTTGTAACAATATTCCTTCTGATTTATAATTCAACTGTATATAGTATGCTTGATATAATATTTACTGCAATAATAAATACTAAATAATAACCAACAGCATAAATCATTACATTCAAACAAACAAGTTTGAGGCTAACATTGAAAAGATAGAATTATTTGCATGTCAGTATTTAAAATAGTCTTTGCTTTTATATAAACACATACTATATTTATAAAAAGATAGTATTATTATATAAACTCAACATAACAGTGATACCAGTATAATATACTAATGTATTAGTGAAATATGTATAAACACATATAAATAAAAAGTACAAGAAATAAAAGATAAAAATAAAATACAAAATAAAATGCAAGAAATTATTTTTATATTTAAAATCTTTGACTCTAAATATAATTAATTAAATAACTATATACAAATCAAAGATATATACTTACACATATTCATGTGTACATATAAATTTCCACAAACATTACATAAGGCAGTCCATAGAATTTCTTATAAAGGTTCGCGGTCAAAGATCAGAGGAGTTATCAAGATAAGAGGAATAATCGTAGTAAATAGTGAATGGTATTTCATTAACCAACTTCTCACATGCTTCCGCAATAGCGTCAAATATGTTCTGCTTACTACATCGATTTGTCACGATCAATGTCGATATCGCTTAATATATTATACAGCATATATATACAGCATATATATACAGCACATATATTATTCTTTGCGAGATACGATTCTCTAAATTTCACAGCAATCTGTTCATCACAGGAAGAGCCACCATCTTAGTTTGCTTCTTGATTTTCCATTTTGGCGAGATTTGTTATGTACGGCAATCTTTTATCTCAACTTTTAAAAACTATATTTTTTTAACGAGCAATCTGTTTTTTAAGCAATATAAATATTCCCTAATTTTATATTTGTGTTCAAAAATTAATTACAATCAATTTTTTCTTATAATTATCGACCATTATCCAAATGTCAAATTTTCTTCTTAATTTTCGTTATTAATACCTTGTTTTATACTTTGAAGATGATTCATCCTTCTTTTAAACGCGAAAATTCATCTCGAGGATCTAAGAAGTTCAGATCTCGTTTGCCATTCATAAGAGCAACATTTCCCCTCGAGCATAACACTTTCGCGAATAATTAAATCTTGTTAAGTATACATCTTTGCCTTGAATTAAGTCTTATAAACAAGATAGTGTTATTTTAATTTTAATCAATTTATATTACGTCACGTCGCGAACGTAACAGAAATTACAGCTACTTCTCTCAAAGAGGGGTATAAAAAGTCATAAAAAAAAAAAATAAAAAGCGTTAAAATATGTAAACATGTAATAAATATTCTTGGCTGCATATTAGCCAGAGGATATGAATATATTGTTTGAAGATATTCAGATTTATTTTTATCGCTTTTCTCGTAGATTTAAGTTTTAATAATTTCCGCAATAATACTTCCACGAAATATAGATAGCGAATATGAATTTTATCGCGAAATCTGTCAAAGAAGAAACGTGATGTTCGCGTTTGACTGATTACAAGTGCAATCGAGGAAGGAAATACGATCGCCATGCAAAATGTGCTGAAGCCAAAATAAACGCATGTATATAGGAGATGCACCGGGGATCTCTGGTTGCATTGTGAAATGTTTTTTCCGGTCGCAATTAATGAACACCGCATAACGGCAATTAGATATGTCCAAGATGGATAATGTTGGATACTTATTGCATCAATTCACAAGCGCATCTCTGGCGTAGAATTTTTCGTCTCTCTCATCATTCTACAACCCTTTTATATACGAACATATATGTTTGTATGAATGTATATATATATGTATATACATGCGCTTTATCCTCTCCCTTGAGATAACCTTCTACCCGATCGAAGATGACGGGATACTGGAAAGAGCAGGTTCGCTATCCGCGATACAACAAACTATTGCGAAAAGTAGGTTATCGTAATCGTGAGAAGAAGGAAAGACCGCGTATACGAGAGCGCGACTTTTTTTTCCCGAGTTCTTTCTTTAATCCATAAAACGGATTCCGCGTGATTCAATGCGTCGACCCGACCCAATAGGCATAAAGTAACGAAGCTGCTAGCAAATAATCAGCCGGTGCATTATCTTCATTTTACGTCATTACACTCGATTGCGACAGAACGAACTCTCTTTCTGAGAAAATTTCGCAGATACGGTTGTACAAGCAACCACTCGAGAAAAAAATTTAATTGGCTAAATTTTATACGTACATATGTACACATACTATAAGCGCGCTGCAAAATAAATCATCATTATTTTAATCTCAACATTGTAATTCAGACTCTTAACCACGCACTTTCATCTTGATACATTGTTTACCCCAATTATCACCATGCAATCTTGTTATGTTATTATTTTTTATGTACTGATTTTAAAAGATAATTTATACAAACTTTAAATTTTTGCCACATATTTTATCGCTACTATATATATTTTTTCTCGCAGAAACGTGAATAATATTATAAGTTTTTGTTTTTGTGCTATTTAAAGTAGGCTATGTCTCTTTCTCTTTGTATATGAAATTGTTACTTATATGAAACTGTTACAGAGACAGACCTCCGTCCGTTTCTTAAGAGAAAATGTAATAATGAACGCTAAACAGGAAAACCAGGATAGGAGACCAGGTATTAATTTATGCAAATTGCAGTCAAGAAACTATCGTGTGTCGCAAATGCGAGAAGACGAGAAAAACACATAATGAAACGCAGAAGATATTAAGCTCAATGTTAATGATTACTCGAAGGTCACGTCTGTCTCAATATCATTTCGTTTCTCTAATGACAAGTGCTGAATGTATTACGGCAATTATAAAGCTCACTCGAACTTCCGCGTGTGCCGACTCGCTTCAAAAGATCACTATGCGAGATACTAGAGGTTGCAATTTAACGACGCGCGATCGTTAGGCGAAATATTAGAAATTAGCGATAAATACGTTTGATATGAATATAATGCCTGGTTCACGGTAATTATGACCAAGCACACACTTCTTAGTGGGACAAACACAATTACGTAAACTAGAGTCGTAATGTAATCAAAGATATTCTCAAATGACAGTTCCGGCTTTTTAATGAAATATATATCATGTACAAAATACCTAAAAATAATTTGCAAATTAAAATGTAGTGAGATACGAAATAAGAGATATTTATGTATAATTAATTTTACTTTATTATAACTAAAACTCAGTATTATTTTAATAAATACTGATACTTTTTATTTCAGGTTTTTGATTTTTTAGTTTTTTTACTTAAGGGAATCATTAATTTAATAACAAAAGATGATTTGTATTGACGTAATCTATGTATAATTAATTTTAATTTATTATAACTAAAACTCAGTATTATTTTAATGACTTAGTATTATTTTAATAAACACTGATACTTTTTATTTTAGGTTTTTTACTTGATTTTTTTAGTTTTTTTACTTGAGGGAATCATTAATTTAATGACAAAAGATGATTTGTATTGACGTAATCTGTATAATTATACTCGCACTTTTTTTGTTTGTAACTTCAACTCACAATGCAACAGAAAAAGTATTTCAATACAACAGATAACACAATTACAATAATTTATATGATAATTGAAATACATATATTAAAAATATGAAAAATGTATAGATTATATAAGTAGTAAGATTTCTTACTAGTATACAGTTTATTCGTATAAAATCAGGAAATTTTATCTATGACGAAAAAAAGTCTAATACTATTTATACGTGTATTATTTTCAATTTTCTTTTATTAGTAAATTACAAATCAAATTGTTCGAATTTAGTTTTGAGAGAAATCTATGAGCAATTGTTTAATGTTAAATTTTCAAAATTTTCCATTTTATTATAAATCAATTAGTCTATCTTGTTTATAACATGGAGTTGGAACATTATAAACAGTAAAACAAAATTAAATGACTCGTTTACTTGGAACCTTTGAATACAGAATATTATTATTCTTATACATATGGATAATTGACACTTATTTAAAATTCATAAATAAGGTCATAGAGATCTCAAAACTCAAAAAATAATGTTTTTAATTAAAAATATTAATTTTAGAAATATATTAATATGTAATGTCTGCATTTCTCAAATAGAACTTCTTTGCTTTTTAATGTTTAATTTTTCAACATCGTAGAAATGAAAAGTCTTGAAGTTATAATTTCACTTTAGATGTATTAGATTGTTTGATAATATGCAGTTGAAATTAATGAAAATAGTGAATACTGAACAAGAGCAGCGTTCTGACAGCGAAGAAAATTAATCAGTGATGTGAAATTATCAAAATTTCCGGAAATTGCATATCCGGTGAGAGATTAAACGCGCATGATGGACGGGTTTCATTGTTATCCGGTATCATCATGTTTATTGTAATTATTATTAATAGTCATTACACTTATTATTCGAGCGCACGCGCGAGAAAGAGAGAAAAAGAAATAATTTCTATCATATATATTATTGCAATTATATGTACATATTTTTTGTTTATAATTTTAGGACGCATAATATTGCAAGCGTGATTTTTACAATAATCTGATATTTTAACAAGCATGTGTGTTTCTATATAATTACTATTACTTATACCATATGTTTCATTTTTATTTATTTATCATATAATTAATGATAAAAATCATATTGTTCAATAATTAAAAATAAAAAATTAACAATAATTTACCACAATATATTTAATATTCTTGAGATTTTTTTATAACATTTTTTTGAAATACCTTCTTTTGCGTATTTGAAAAATAATGTTGCTTTTATAATAATTTTGTCACTCTCAATTGAATAATATACATGATCCGATATCTGTCGTAAAGAGGAAAAATTAGAAGGAATTCTTGCAATCGACATTATAGGATCCTGCAACGGATAACAATGTATCGACAACGCATGAAGAAAAATCATTGATTAGGGGTGAAGAGAGGCAATTCGTTAATTTTTTATTCTAGCTTTTAAATTTTTTTATTTAAATAATCTCTACGTAATAATTAATTATACTTATGTACTGAAGCGAAACGATTTTTATTATTGTTTACAATAAATAAAAGCAAAACTATTTTTTCGTGTATTATCAAAAGCAAAATTAATTCTAAGTTTATTTTTTTCGAAGATTCTTATAATGTAATAAGTCAATTAAAATTAGGTATAATAGAATGACAACATTATAGTTATCGCGAGGCCATGTCATTAATATCTTTTCGATATTGCAACATTGCAGTAAGTTGGAAGTTTCTGAGCAGCCTTTGGCCAATCGAACGTTAGTCGCGCGTCACCCATCTCTTCGACAACGTGTGTCGCGTGTGGTGCCTCGTGATAAGTTACATTCCAAAAATCTCAACACGTTGACTTTCCGCGGCGGAAAAAATTTTAATTTATAATCCTTATTTTATTTTAGAGCAATTATTCTATTTATTTTAAAAAACAAAAATCATCAAAGACATCTTGTCATAAAATTTTTCTTTAACCACTTTTTACATCAAAGAGAAAACATATCTCAAAGATGGCTTGTCCATTATCAGACGATATTGCGTAAGTAAAACACTCTTTTAATCTGAAATATTTAAATATAAAAGAATATTGCTATATCATTTATCATGAGAATCGCAAAAAAAGGTTGCTTGAAAATTATTATCACGAATAGAATTAGTATCAAATAAACATGCTTACTTCCAAAAGTTTTCTCTAAAAGCTACTTTCATCAAATTCTGATTAATCAATGATTAATTTAATTGATAAAATTGCATCAGTTACATACTGTTATAAAAAATGCTAGGTGTTTTGTTAATCTGTATCAACGCTAGATGTTTTGCTAATTGTATCATTCATTCTTTTTTCCCTATATGTTATATAATAAAAAATGTATTATATTAATTTACTATTATGTATATATTATTTTAATTATATATTATAATAATTTTAAGTATATATTAATAAAATACTATTTTAATCAAATGCAAACATTATTTGAAAATTAAATAAATTATAAATAATCAAGATTTTGATCAAAGTTATTCTAATTCTTTAATTCAATATTCACTATTTTCTGATATAATAAAAAAATATTTGCTGCATTATTAAGAAATATTTGTTATTAAATGTTTTTAAGACAAACTACAAACACATTTGAATCCAGCATATTTTGCATTATTTTTATCATCTTTTCAAATCTATATTTTTAAATGATAAAAGCGTTTCGCAACGTTTGTCAAAGCGGATTACGTTAAGCTCTAACGTCAACAACATTCGATTTGATAATGCATATTATTTTTTCTTTTTATAATACGATCTTATACAACAAAAAGTGATAATAGCAAATGTCTTTTGAAGGCAAGATCATGATCAAGACAAGGACAAATTAAATCAAGGACCAGTGAAGCTGTACGGCGAATATTTGTGTTTAGACAAGATCTTGTCTGCACAAAGACTTCTCAGTACTGAGTATAGCGATGAGGTTCACGATGAACATCTCTTTATTGTCACTCATCAAGGTATTAATTAACAATTTTTAATAATAATTTTTATAGATATCTTTTATTTCTTCCATGTTGATAAAAAAAGTATTGAAAACTCAACAACATATAATATTAAATTAATTAATTGCTCAATCGCTTCATTATATTCTGCGTAAATTTTATTTTGATAGTAAAAACAGTTTTTTCAAGAATATTGTCTCAATTACTTACTTAATAAGATGTTTTTTCATTAGATTAAAAAGTGACATTTTGAAAAAAAAAATATTATCAAATTGTTAATTTTGGTAAAATAATTTTATGAAATACTTATATGAAATATAATATATAAAAATTGCTTACATTCATTTCGATTGTTGTAGCCTACGAGCTTTGGTTCAAACAAATTATTTTCGAGGTTGATTCCGTCAGGACGCTCTTCAGTTCCGAATCCAATAATTATGATGCATCCAATAAATCTTCCAGTAATCACTCGACTGCCAAACAGGATAATGGAGTTTCTCATATTTTGAACGAATCGAAAACTCTGGAGATTCTGAAGCGATTAAGTCGCATTGTACTCATCCTAAAAGTACGTTTTAAAAGCAAATTATTTTGAAAAAAATTATTGCAAAATATAAAATATAATTTTATATCTAACAATTTAATGTAATTAGGAAATAATAACTAATTAAATGTGTACTAATAAACTCACTTTTACAATAACAGTGATGAGCTGTGAACGGCCCTTAATTATAAGCCGATTAGCTCAGAATAGTCTACACGTCCCTTCAGCATAATTTAATTTTTCTGTGTCATCAGACAAAGCTATTTACTGTCACGACACTTGTATCGTTTTGCATGTTTTAAAAACATATCTACAATAATACTAATATAATATTTGTAACTGCATGGTATGGTGCTTGTAAATCTAAATTGTAAACGTAATAATCTACAAAAATAGGCAAATATAAACAGAGAATATATATATAATGCAAAATAAACTTCGGCTCGTATAAAATTAAAATATGTGATAAATTAAAAGGCCAACTTAACAAGCTAATAAGGTGTTAATTAAATTTTTTATTATACGTCATGAAGTAATATTACAATGATAAACGTTTCGACTGTACGACAGTCTTTTTCAATACCATTATCGCTTTGCTAATATGTCAAAGAATTAAATCATTTGGTAAGACCGAACTTATTATAAATATAAATTTTATAGACTTATAATGTGAAAAAACGCAGTATAAAATTCATGCTTGTTGACTTGAGTTAAAGCGCCTAATCTCGAACATCAGATTTCTGTAATTCATGATGTTATAATATGTAATACGATCTTTGTCGAGACGATAAAACTTCTTTAAAATATTTCTTTGTAAATAACATTATCAACAATGTGTACTTTTTAAGAAGCAAAATCAATATCTGTGAAGACAGATATTGATTTTGCTTATACTAGCAATATCTGTGAAGACAGATATTGATTTTGCTTATAATACGATCTTTGTCGAGACGATAAAACTTCTTTAAAATATTTCTTTGTAAATAACATTATCAACAATGTGTACTTTTTAAGAAGCAAAATCAATATCTGTCTTGATTTTGCTTCTTAAAAAGTACACATTGTTGATAATGTTATTTACAAAGAAATATTTTAAAGAAGTTTTATCGTCTCGACAAAGATCGTATTACATATTATAACATCATGAATTACAGAAATCTGATGTTCGAGATATTATAACATCATGAATTACAGAAATCTGATGTTCGAGATTAGGCGCTTTAACTCAAGCCAACAAGCATGAATTTTATACTGCGTTTTTTCACATTATAAGTCTATAGAATTTATATTTATAATAAGTTCAGTCTTACCAAATGATTTAATTCTTTGACATATTAGCAAAGCGATAATGGTATTGAAAAAGACTGTCGTACAGTCGAAACGTTTATCATTATAATATTACTTCATGACGTATAATAAAAAATTTAATTAACACCTTATTAGCTCGTTAAGTTGGCCTTTTAATTTATCACATATTATAAACAGAGAAAATAAAATGTTAATAATGCCATCTCATGCTTCGCACATTTAAGGCATAAGGTATATTTTTTTCTCTCGATTTAGGCATCATGAATAAGAATGTGGGAACCACAGTGATAGTTAAGTAAAATAATATCCCTACACGACATGCGATACCAGCCACTTGTTTACATTTGATAAAGAGAGAAGAGAAAAAAGTTACGTTAGGTAACAAACTCGTTACTCTATTTCAATATACCGCAGAACGAAGGTGTGGTCAATTTTTTCTTATTTAGGTTCAACAAAACGCCTCTTCAAGAGCGTTCTCGATACGCTTGAGAACATATAATATCAAATATCTTAAGACAGAATTACAATTGAAATGAGATCAATTCTAGATATTTATCACACACAAGTTCTCAATAACATGTTCTAAAAGTGTAAATCTGATAAACTATCCATGATTGTACACATACAAAATATTTGTATGAATGTATTAATTCACAAAAACTTACAAATTATAAGAACTTAATTAATCGATAAAATTATTTGTAAGAACAATCATCTTCTTACACGTCTTAAAGAATACGATTACATTTGTTCATTGTCTAGTGCATCCTGTATAATGCACCATGTTAAAGATGCATGTAGTTATATGCACCCTTTATTTACGCTGGTACCCATAGAAATGCGAACGCGGTCGTTGACAAATCAATGAGAACGTGTTAAGCACGTCCCTTCGTACTTACAAAACTCACTTTGCCAGTTTTATTTAATTGTATGTTTTTTTTATAATAGAGAAACTTTTTTTTCTTACTAAATTTGTTAATCTTAAACGCGCGCATTTAATCAATAGAATCCCGATTAAATGCAGAAATAATTTTTGCACAAAATAAAATTATATGAACATATTTCTCAGATAGTTTTGACTTGTCATCATTGTCATTTTTGCTCGTTTTGTTATATAAAATGCAAACTGTGTAATGATAATGATTTATAAACAAATATTTTAATTTGTAGCTATTAGTGGATCAAGTGACAATTTTGGAAACAATGACACCGTTGGATTTCATGGCATTTCGAGATTACTTGTGTCCAGCGTCAGGTTTCCAATCATTGCAATTCCGTTTATTGGAGAACAAACTGGGCGTGAAACAAGAGCATAGAGTCAAAAATCAGAGTTACAGAAGGGTCTTCGGGAGTGATCCTAAAGCTATCGAGGCAATTGAGCGGTCAGAAAAGGAGCATAGTCTCAGTATTTTGGTTCAAAGATGGTTAAGTAGAACACCAGGACTTGAGACTCATGATTTCGATTTTTGGGGAAAGTACAAACGATCGGTGGAGAAGATGCTGACCGAACAAGAACAAGCCGCACACGTAATGTCTAATCAATTCTGTAATGTATATTGTCGAATTATTATTCTAACAATTTTGGAGCTTTTCTTAGAAATAATTCTGATAACTGATACGACATATTACGAAATAATTTTAAAATCAAAAACTCTTTGCAGATAAGCCAATAATAATATGTACGAACAATTTTGTTTTTTAATTTCAGAAACAACCAAAGAAGCAAATCAAAGACTATTTATTGGCTAATATGCACTCGCGACAAGCAATTTTCGAAACCATCTTCAACAAATCACTCCACAATGCTCTCGTGTCACGTGGGGAACGTAGATTTGAATACAGTGCCCTTCAAGGAGCAATAATGATCACTCTGTATCGGGACGAGCCGCGATTCAGTCAGCCGCACCAAATTCTCATAGCATTAATGGATATCGATTCACTAATCACGAAATGGAGATGTAAGAAAGTGCTCATTACGTATTATAAAACGTCGCGCGAGATTACACATCTCATTTTTATTTCTGAATTCTTTAATTTATATTTCAAATTTTTCTCTTGTAAAAGTTTCATTATAAATCGCCATTCTTTCTTATAATTTCATCTTAAATTGAATTTTGCTACAACTTCTGTCTTTCTTCACTTTTTTAAAATCTTGTTATTTATATTTACATTTGATATTTTTTAATTTCTCCTTATCACTTATAATTTCAAAACGATGATTAACACACGGAATAACAAATTAAACAAAATATAATATCTTATAATATTTTTTTCGTTATGTAACACGTTGTTAATCTTTAAATTATGGACATGCTACTGCATATAAGTATGCTAACATTACATCGTCCAATCGTAATCTTATCCGTTTATACACATGAAAAGAATGTAATTTGTGTTATCAGATAATCACGTTATCATGGTACAAAGAATGATCGGATCTCAACAATTGGGCACTGGTGGCTCTTCTGGTTATCAATATTTGAAATCCACGCTAAGGTATTTTACTTCAATTAATTTCATAAATAATAATTTATTTAGTAAAAAAATATTGACATATTGTTAATATTGCGAATGCAATACACAACGCTTCTTATTATTTATCGCGAACACGCAATAGCGTGTATTATCGGTGCAAATTTTACATCATAAATTAATAAATAAAATATAAAATTTGTTTGATAAAAGTTATTTATGAATAACTTTTAACAAATTGGTTATTCAACATGTTACTTTAAAGAAATATATAAATATGTCACATTTTTTACGTTTACAAATCATGTTTGCAAATGAAGATAGACTTGAATAACAAGCTATTTGTTTCTTTTATACGTTAAACAGCGATAGATATAAGGTCTTCCTCGATCTTTTCAACTTATCAACATTCCTGGTACCTCGTCATATGATCCCACCACTGACGAAGCAAATGAAGATAAAATTATCAATTGCTTGGAACGGTTGGAATTCGGAAGAGTACCAAAATAAATCGGGAGTCTTAGAGAGAAACTCCTAAATTATTCTACGCACGACACAGCAGACTTCATAAAAAATTCTAACGAAAAGAGTTTTTATTTTCTTAATATAGTAGTCAATGCAAATGCACTTAATGCATATAACAATTAATCGAAGATTTTTAATTTTTAACGTAATATAGAGAATATTGAATTACTAGATATCTGAAAATTTGTTGAAAAGATTTTCAATATACTGTGCAATTCAAAATGAATTTATAATGTAAGATTAAAAGGAAAAATCGGGAAAAATCGGGAAAAATCGGGAATAATTATTATAAATTAATTGCAACTATTCACTACTGGAAAAATTGAATTTTACTCTTGGATCAGCCTTTATTTAAATAAGTATATATATTTAATAAGTTTTACATTACCTACTGCATTATATCTACAAATATCTGTATAGAAAATATAATATATGTATTACTGCCTTAAAGCACCTAATAAAGCATTTTATTATTAAGTTACAGTCTTATGATATTTTTGTTCATAATACTTTCTATAAAAAGGAGATATATATAGTATATACTATTATATATATTTAATTGTTCCTTAGCTTCTCGATCTATTTCCTTAAAAATGGAAATGTGATGTTGTGATCGTGATCGATTAAATAATATCGAGCGACGAGACTTGATTAGCTATACCTGCAAAAATATGATTTATTTATCTGCTGAAATAGTCAGATTAATTAGCACAATAATGACGCAAGCTATCCATTCGTAATTAGCCTTACCGCATAAATTTTTACCGATCGCAATGTGAATGTAACCTTTGTTGCCAAAAATCGAGCCCCACGAGTTTTTAATAATATAATACGGTATAGTCCCTGACATATCATATCCCACTATCTGTACCGCATGATTTAAATTTTGAATGAACCGTCGCAGTGATATTGTATTATACCGCCTAAATAATTCTGCCAAGATATGGCATTCACTGCAGCCGCCACGGGTCCATGAGTAACGAGCAGTGTCAAAAGTTCGCTTTCAGCATTCACAAAGCTGTAACAAACTCGATTATTCGAAAACTTATGTTGAACGCATACAGCGTGCAAAAATTTTCACAGCTATTGTTAATATTTATATAATTGATCATACAATTGACATACATAGTAGAATGTGCATACTTATATTCGCACTGTACGCATAAAAGATAATGAATAATTGAAGCTAAATAATAATGACTTACTTGTCGCATGTAAATTTTGTTATTTTAGCTCCCGATGTTTTTGCAGAAATTCTGAAATAGTATTAGAGCCTCAAGAACTATTGTGTAACTAATACGATTATATATTAATCTTTAGATCACAGATTACATCATGTTTTTATACTAAGCAAATAGCCTTGCCACTTGCATGCACTTACTTAGATAATTTACATGCACTAGTTTGCAATGTAAGAGGGTAAGAATTCTCGGACATAATTGTGGTCTTTGACACCAGCAGCCACGAGAGTAAACTGCATATGTGACCGCCTTCACATCCATAACTGCCTGGCATGCAATCGATCATCTGATTACAAAATAAAAATTAAACTTTCGGCTGACAAATTGATATATGTAGGGATCTAAAAAAATAATGAATTGTCCAGAAATATCTAATTTTGTTATTATAGTGATTTCTTTTAGCATATCGCGGAGAATTTTATATACAGCAAGTCTTTTTAAAATCTTAAAACTTTTCTTTAGTTCCCTACGTATAAGCGGTAAATTGCAAATTAAAAAATAGAGGGAGCTGCTGCAATATAAAAAAAAGAGCGGCTGTAAAAGTCGATATATATGCAATACATATGACGAATTTATTCGATGATGAAATTTATTTGTACGTGTTGTAACATATATGCATATATATAGGCATTTTCGGAAAATTTGCATTTTGCACGGGTTACGTGCCCTTTCCAGCAATTCCCTCATCTGTAAACAGAGAAACGTGTCAGGAATATAACGACCTACTTCCTGCACGCTAAAGGGATACAAAGTTCCGTTTTTGATGGCGTACATGGATTCGGCCACCCCGATAGTGCTGAATGCCCAACACGCACCACAACTCCCCTGGTTTTGAACTTGCCCTACGACCCCTTGGTCTCGCCAATCGAATTTAGAGGGTATGCCCGTTACCCTTTTCACGCGATGAACCGATGAGTTCGTAAAATGTTGATGATAATACGATGCTGTCATGTGTTTTTGACCTAATTATAACAATTTCTGTATTCGTATCAACGAAGAAATTCTAGACATATATTCACATCTCAGATAGCACCATGTCCAAAATGCACGCATTAAGACATTTTAAGATATTTTTAAGATGTCTTTGGAATATCATATCATAAGATTTCTTATAAAGATGTTTTAAAGATTTTTTAATGATGTCTTATGCGTACATTTTGGACATGATGCTATCTGGGATTCAACTTTATTTGTGGACTTTTCTCGACAAATTTTTGTGTTCATTTATTTAAATAATATAACATATAAACTGAATTTTAAAAGACAAATTAAAATTTCTTAGATTTAAGATTAAAACTTTTGTGTGTTGTAGTATTAATAAAATAAAACAAGTAGAGAAATTTAGTATCAAGTAGAGAATTTCAATTTTCTCTAAAAAAAATATCAAAATTATAAGAGAATTATTATTATACGTTCGCGCCTTTTAAAGTTAATCACAATTGCTCTTAAACAATATAGTATATTTACCTTGCAAAGGTAAATCTGGAAGAAGAGTTTGTTGTAAGAATTCATCTTCAGATAAATCAGAGAATTCCGTCAATCCATAATACGCACTTTCTTGGGACGTCCGAAAACTATTCATCTTTTCGATGTGTCGCAGTGATTTCTGCAATTAATTTTATTGTGTAATTAATATTACGTAAAAAAGGACTACATTTATATGTAAAATAAATACAAAAAAATTGTTTTAAATAAAAATAATTAATACACAACACATTTGGTATATCTATAAATATGCATATAGTTAAAATAATGTAATTGAAAATTATTATTTACTTACAAATACATACATATATATTAGAGCTTATATTTTTTTTAATTTCTGTGTATATTTTTGTCTATGTTTGATACAATATCAATAACTATAATTACAATAATATCGCAGACAGCATCAAATCCAAAATCGGCGCATAAGATATCTTTAAAATATGTTTAAGATGTCTTTTGGATATCATATCATAAGATTTCTTAAAGCTGTCTTAAAGATTTCTTAATGATATCTTATGCGTCAATTTTAGGCTTGGTGCTGTCTGGGATACATTTTGAATCAACTTGTATCAAGTTTCCAAAATAAAAAGATGCGGAAAGATGTGATATATAATTGAGAAGTAAATATCACGAAAAAAAAAGTGATAAAGTATCTAAAATCAAACAACTTTAACATTTTTATTTTTATCGCTTTTTATCGTTCCGTTGATTCCGATATAGAATATGAATTAAAGCATCGCGCGCATGTCATATAACAAATGAATTAATGACTCATAATATTATACTTAATTATGCATTTAATTAGAACATCTTGAACATGTAACGCTTAAAAAATTGTACATAATTTATGTATACAGAATAAATATAGTCATAACAAATTATTAAATATTATTATAACAAATATATATCATATATTAATACTTAATCCTTCATATTTAATGTGTGTATATACGTTTATCTGCGATTATTGCAATAAAATTTAACAAATCGATTTCTATCGTGTTTACCTGGAAGAGTTCGAATCGCTCTTTATATTCTACAGAATCATTCTTGTATGATTTATTGTATTGGTCAACATAACTGGTGAATAACTTGGCGTCCTCGACATTTTTGTCTTCATTTTTAATCGGTATCATAAAAAAACACAGACTTACGACCAACACTATCACTATCACAGTTCGCCACTCCATCGCATCTCATGCACGATGTAGAATGCTTTCGAGAGTTTCGAGATGTCCGCCTCGTCACATAATATCGACATAAACTTAATTAACAGAGCTAGAACGATTGTGTAATTAGAGATCTTCAAATAAGAGTTTGAATACTTGGACTATTCCGCCATATTTGATCGAACGAGAAAATTGGCCAATCGGTAAAAAGATAAAAAATATTCAGATTTACGTTATCAAAATTAAATGTAGTATAATTAAATCAATTTTATTTTCTAGAAATAAATATCGAATTATCTTCGCCGAAATGATTATCAGTGAGTTAAATGTTATTTTGATTTCGGAATCAATTTAAGATGTACACGTGTACAGGTTGGATATGCGCATCTAGTAACTGCTTAGTTCGTGGTCAATTTCGCCAGTTCCTTCTCTAAAGTTGAATATTTCGGTCCTTTCGTAAAACATGGAGAACCGTTCTATATCGAAGAAAAGGAAGGTTAGTGATTTTTAAGTGTTTATAATAAAAAATATGTAAAAATATGCTCATTATCGTAACGCAGGAAGCTGCTAGAAAGATATTTTATCAAATATTTAATGGATGCAATATCTGCAATATGTGGATGACATGGATACTTTCAGCGTCACTCTCGTGGATTTTACATTCCGCGTGGCCAGTTTCTGGAAAAAATATAAAAAATATAAAAAATTCCGCTAAATCAAATTGACGCATTTTGATTTTTTCAATAGTGTCTTTAAATCTCTATATCTTTTACATTGTATTGCATGGTTATGTAGACTAGGTTATATTAACCTCATTACACATTAATGTGATTAATCAATGGAAATATAAAAAAAGTCAAATCTGTAACAAAAAACAGTATATATCATAATTGTCAAATATAATTTTATATATATATATATAATTATACATAAAATATTTTGGAAAGACATTAGGAGGAGAAAGATATATTTTTTTCTTTAGTTTGTAGGAGACGGTGTCTTCAGAGCTGAGCTGAACGAGTTCTTAACTCGTGAACTCGCCGAGGATGGCTATTCGGGCGTGGAGGTCCGTGTGACACCAAACCGAACGGAAATTATTTTATTGGCCACTCACACGCAAAGTGTGCTTGGTGAAAAAGGACGCAGAATTAGGGAACTGACGTCTGTGGTGCAAAAGCGATTCAACTTTAAAGAACCACAGAATGTTGAGTTGTATGCTGAAAAAGTTGCTACGCGTGGTCTGTGTGCTATTGCGCAAGCAGAGTCTCTTCGATACAAGTTGATTGGAGGTCTTGCTGTACGAAGGTAAATTTAGTGTCTTATTTGTTCATTTGCAGCCTAGATAGTATAATATTTTATTAATTATATCTTCTGCAATTTTTATAAAACATCTCAATTATATTTAGAGCGTGCTATGGTGTTCTGCGTTTCATCATGGAATCTGGAGCAAAAGGTTGCGAGGTCGTCGTCAGTGGTAAACTGCGTGGTCAAAGAGCAAAATCGATGAAGTTTGTTGACGGCCTTATGATTCATTCGGGTGAGCCGACTAATGAGTATGTGAACACCGCCACTCGACATGTACTCCTTCGCCAAGGTACGATTGTATTACTATGACTATTTCAACTAATACTATAGTAATATGTTTATAGAAATCATTTATTATTGATATTAAAAATACTCAAAAATTTATATTTTACAATATATATATTTTTATATTTCAGGTGTACTAGGAATTAAAGTCAAAATTATGCTTCCTTGGGATCCTAATGGCAAGAGTGGTCCGAAGAAACCTCTTCCTGACTATGTATCTATTGTGGAACCAAAGGAAGAAGTACCCCCATCGGTCCCAATTTCTGAGGTAAAACCATCGAAAGATATACCTCAACCTGCTCCTCTTGCTGTGTAATGATCATTTGAATAAAAAATTAATACAGAAAATAACATGTGTTTTTTATTTTAAATATAACGTTTTGATATCTGAAAAGTTCAAAGAAAAATTATATAGTATTAAATAAAAATATTTGTTTTTCAAATATCTTTAAATTTTTCTTAGAAAGATTTATTGACCATGTTTTGCAATTATATGCTACATATTCGCATATTGATAATTAATTTCATTTACAAAACCATTTTGAATTACTTTTAAATGTGATAAATGGTTAAGTATATTAATTTGGAGATAGACAAAATTACACTAGAAGGCGAACAATTGACAAAAACATGTGACAAGTATTAAATTAAGCTTATTCCAAAGAGATGGCAAGTCGATTATTCTGTAATTAAAAATTAATTTTATATCTTGTACACCTTACATATTAGACAGTTTATAATACCAGAAACACCGTGCAAAATAAAATCTATAGATTAAAGAAAACATAACTAACAAATAATCAACATTATGAATTCTATTATATGTACCATTACCTATTTGTTACAAATTCGTGTTTCAAATTTGTATATTTGAAACTAATAAAGTTAGTATATGTGCATAGATATTTTTGTTCTTATCTATAATAATAGATATAAAGTATTCTGCAAAAGATATATAGAAGATATCTACAACCAAATTTACTAACCGAGTTATATAATTTTTTAAATAGTGAATTCTATAATGATAATAATTAGTTACAATAATTAATACAACGTATCATATTTTCTTATTTAATATTCAATAATTACTGAACATAATTATATTAATAATTAGAAATCGTTCACGTGTTTTGTTTTCACAGATTCAAATTATTATGCAATATACATTCACTATGGATTTTGATGTCGGCACCCATTTTGTGCTAACACTAATTCATCAAAGTGTTGCTTGAGTGGACCCTAGAACCCTAGGAGATCTGTCTTGAGACAATAAGAAAAAAATTTATACCTTAATATTCTAAATATTATTGGCGCACTGGTGCCATTTGTTGAGTCAGAGACAGCAAACCATCGATCATTCTTCGAACTATATCTGGTACCGCCGGTTTTTTCGATACCGAACTCAATCCGTTTCTAAGCTCATAAAATACATTACGCGTGAACGGATTTCTTTGCGATGCAAGTCGCAGTTTCAGGAACTGATAATAGATGAAAGGTGTCAACAGACCAGCACGTCCCCTAAAATAGAAAGATAATATATTTAATAATACTATCTCTTAGTTACGATTATAATGTATCGAGTAAAAACAGCAATCTTATATAATATACATACGTAAATACTAGGAGGACTGTAAATGGCAAGATGATAATTTCCGACAAAGCGCATAGGCGAAGGATATTTCGTGATTGAAATTCCACCAGAGATATTAAAAGGCGAGCACCCCACCAGCTATTCTGTCCTAGACACTGCACAGAAAGCATGACAAACAAGTTTGTATCATTTAATCACTATGTAAATTATGCAAAAAATGTGACTATGCATAATTTTCTCACATAAGAAGTAGATGATTACCAATTTTTTTACTTACATCTAGCAAAGTAAGAGAATAACTGGCCATATGCATCACAGCAAAAAGAAAAACTGGCGTCAGCACCACTATATATCGATTAAGGATTAAATCTTGTTATTATTAAATATTAATTATTTAAAAAATAGAGACTGTTTAATGTAAATCATGTAAAATAAATATAAAAAGGATACGTGTAACTGGTGCCGCATACAAAAATATCAAGGAGTAAAACAAGTAGTGGCATGAATCTTCCAATAATAATGTCTCTAAAAATTGCCTAGTGAGCTGAACACGGGGCACTCTTTGGTGAAGACGTAATGCACTGGTAGCTGCATTATTCATCAATACTTTATAGTATATATTGTAAGGATTCCTGAAAGAAAGCAAGATATGTTAACACAGTTCACGAGTTAAAAAATATTATTCTAATTAATAAATCAGGAAAATAAAAACTAACCCAAATATAGGAATAATATAACCAACGGTGAATATTAAGGTAAAGAGTCTAGTAACCCACAATCCGAACTTAATCTTATTTTCTATAATATGCTGTTTCAAAGCTGGCCATCCCTTTTCCACCTGTGGTGTTGAGTCGCTCGTTGCACTTGTGCTGTCCATATTTTGTGTTGTTCTGAAGCTAAAAATAAAGCAAAGAAACTACTTAGTAAAGGTAAAAAAAAAGAAACAGCTTTTTTTACAAGAATATTAACACATTTGTGTAGCTCCTCTGTTTCAATTAGCATTTGTAGCTCTTTAGAGCAGTCTAAAAAAAACTTGTATATTTCGTATGCAAATAGATACAAAAACTACGCAGAATTATACAAGAAAAAAACATCGTGCATTGGCAATACATGCATGACATCATGCGTTTCTAAAGTGAAAGTTTACCACTTTCCTCGGGAAAGCTATCCCTTTTCGACAGAAAAAACCACGACGCGAGAGCTAAAAAAAAGACGTCCATTCGCGGAAACTCGATTACAGACATTGAAAGAACAGCATGCGTAAGCGGTTTTTTTTTATACACAGCGATTATTACAACACGTAACACGACGATGCACGGATTTGTGACCAGGGTTATATATCGTCATTTTGATAACATCGCGAACTGTTGGGCCTAATCTTACATATGAAATTACTTACGCTTAATTAGCTTCGCACGATACGCACGATGTATTCCGATGCGACGATTTTCTCTTACACGTCAGTAACGCCAGTAAATAATTGCGCGGGTCCACCTATTCCGAACATCTACGTGTCTAACGAGCTCGAGATTCGAGAACCTCCGCAACATTGGTCGAGTCTCGAGTCTCGTTAAAACAATTCGCGATTCTCACCTGCAGATGTAGTGCGGAACCTTTGACGTGGCTCCATCTCAAGTCGATATCTGGATGGAAACGAATGACAGAAAGAGAAATTGTAAGGTTAGTTTTTTATTGCTGTCAAAACAATTTTATAATCACACATGTCAAGGATTTCAATATTTACTTACTTTGTTACGCACACATTTTATGTTATATAATATAGGTAATATAATATATGTTATATAATATTTACATCGAACTGTCATTAAAATTAATTCATTAAAATTCAATATATACATATCGATCGCTATATGAATTCAAAATAAAATATTTGATAGAAGCACTGACGAGTGTAATAGTACTCTTGTCAGTGATAAAAATAATATAATATTTTAATTCTCTCTATATTTTAATGATTCAAATAGAGTTGTTAATCGAATAAATATATTATATAACTACAATTTTTAATCCTGTCGAAGAAAATAATAACCACGTATACGATCAATATTTTCTATATATATTCTAAGAATATAATAAAATAAACACAAAATGAGAATAGAATGATTAATGTGCTTGCACATTTGTTTTTTTTTTAATTTGTACTTTTATTCGGTGTTACGATGATTATAGTATCAGCTGATATCGCAATAATAATATAATATTATATGAGATTGCTGCGTAATGCTTTTAAATTGTTTTAGATTTTCCCTTGCACGCGCGCTTTACGATAATTGTGAATAAATGCATAATTAATGCGCTTCATAAATTGTTGGCAATTTTACATTGAAAATTATTCTTCTCATTTTTAATGTTTAATCTCATAGAGAGAAATATACATTTTGAAAAGAAAAACAAGTGTTCAATATGAGTTATCTGTTAACATCATCTGTATATAAAAAAAACTTCTATAAATCACTCGAATATCTTGACGCATTTCCACTTTCATTTCACGTTCAAAAAAGGTTATATGTATATGTGTTAGTTTTTTTTAATTATGTAACATATGATATTTAGCAAAGGTTAATCTATACATTTTGATAAACGCTAGAGAATTTTTAGTCTATACTTTACATCATCAACGTATATTATTTTTATGTAATTACAGACGACAAATATATGCTAATAAAAATCAAAGAGTAAACTTGAAAAATCTTATTCTTAGAAAATATATAAAAATTTGTAAATGGAAATATTTTTATATTTTATAAATTGTTTAAAAACATTATTCCGCTTGTTTAGATAAAACAAATAAATTTACAATCTCATTTTTATTTAGCTAAAACTTAAAATAAAGAGAATTATTTTATTTAAAATGCATTTACATATATTTGACTTTATTTTTCTTTAGATGACTTCGAGATTATATATTTAAACGGACACTGCGATTGATGTTGAAGATTTGAAAAATATTGCTCATGCGACAATCACAGCTCCATCAGCTGTTACCTGTTGTATCAGCTATGTCAATATTCTACCAACAATTGTACGTATCTTGTGTCACAAGTTTATCTCCTTTTAGTTGAAAAGTTACAGAAATGTACCGAATATCAAAGAGATATTTTGAAAAATATGAAAAAATGCGTACGAGACTGCTGAATAAATCTTATTACTTATTCAAGAGAGGATCTCAAATTCACAAGTAAACTATATATAGTAACTTATTAATACATGTAATATACAAATTTTCAAAAATTATATCAAATTTGAAACAGTGCAATACATTCTCTTTTTAAATATTTTAAAATATGGAGTTTATCAAATATTTTATGATTTTTTTCTCACAGATTTATTTATACTACATATTTATTTGTTTTAAGAAATTATTAAAAATAGAGTTTTGTGTCTGTGTAAAAGAGGAATATAAATAGATTTGAGCAAAGTATAACAAATTTGTCTGTGCAAATGATTAAAAAAATAAAATGTGTTAAATATGCAATAAAAATGAAATTAGAATAAATATTTTTTTAAGAAGATTTGTAATTTCGTTTCTAGAACAAAAGCTAAATATTTATATATATTTTATCTTTTGAAAAATTGATTTAATTGATAGATTCAGATAAAAATATATGTCACAGTCACACTAAGGGGGCACAATTAATGATATTAAACAATTACAGTGTAATTATGTTTATTTAAAAACAGTCACAATTTAAAAAATATAATACAAATATTTATATTTATATTCGCATAATTATTTCAGCTTTATAATAATAAAATGAAGCAGAACAAAATTGTAAAAAAGAAAATATTTAGCATACTGTGTGTATATATTTCATGATATATTACATCATATATATATTACAAAAAAAGAAAATAAAATGACTTGCGAGAAAATGATTCAATATTTTTTTTATTTAACGATTCGATAAAATATAAATTGTAATTTTTGCTAATTATTGTAAATTAAATGATTGTTAGTTAAACTATATATTAAATATTTGTATTATATATTTACGTACTTCATTCGGAAAATTACATTAAAACATTAAGAATTATACATATAATCTTAAATTTTTAATTGTCACGGATAATAATAAATTTTATTAATATTTTATATTAACATATTTTTTTAAATAAAATAAGATATAGACAATAAAGTCTTTCAGAGACACAAACGTAGATGTTCTAAAGAGATCTAAAAGATATTCTTTTTTTCAGATTAAAATACAAATTATCTAACTTGAGATCAAGAATGTCTCATGTAGTATAAAAAGTATGCAAATATTAAGTTTATAAATGTAAATTTTTTGAAATAAGATACAAAGCTCTAAAAAAAAGACACATATACATATATATGTATATATGTATATGTATATATATGCTTCATGCGCAGATAGAGCCACGCATAACGGTTCAGAGGTAGTTGAAAAGTTCTGATGTAAAGTATAAGAGTGAATGTAACGGTAACTGGTTAGTCAAACAGGAGGTCGTCTCTTCTTTAGGCGTAGCACACAGATTTTTTTACGCTCCTAATATCTCAACGAAAATGTTATTCAATGTGATGACCATTTGCATCCTTGTTGCGCTCGGCGCGGCTTATTTTGTGCCGCGGAAAATGTGGTATGTAATCGGCATGACTTTGATCTACCAAATAAAATACTACTACATCGGAGCAATATATCATTTTGACGATATATTTAACGCAAAATATAATAAGACAGGTAAGAAGCAGAAAAATATGGCTTTATTTTGTATAAATTTTCAAATAAATACCTACTGTAAAAAAACTATAAAAATTGAACAATATATTATAATAAATAACAAAACTATATAACTTTTCAAAATTAATATTACTTTTTACAACAATTTTATATTTGCAATAAAATATTAAATATAGAATATAGAATTAAATATAAAAGTTAGATTAAATTAGATTAAATATAGAATTACATATAGAAATTAAATATAAAATTATCAAAAAATACAATTACAATGATTTATTTACAATCAATATAATTTTCTATATGTTTGTAATTTTTGTAAAATTTATTTTACAAAATTACAAAAATAAAAAAATTATTTTTTAAAACAATGATGTCTAATAATAATGATATGTGTATAGTATTATTTTACAATTTTAATTATTTTACAAGATTCAATTAAAGTTAGAATAGTATTTTGTTAATATTTTATTATATTTATGCAATAATTTTTCTTTTCAGATCTACCTTCAGTATCGAATAAAATTGCAATTGTAACTGGTGGTTCTAAAGGTATAGGAGCGGAAGTAGTTAAGAAATTGTTACAGTGTGATATGGAAGTAATTATCGGTGATTATCAGCTATTTATTTAATTATTGTCAGTGTAACATTACCATACACTAACATAAGCTTTTCAGAAATCAAATCTAATCTAATAATAATGTACTCTCTATAATTACTAGTAATACTAGTAAAATGAATGCTAAAATTTAAAAAACTACAAAAAATAGAATTGATTGTCAGTTTGATTTTTAAGAAATTCATATGTTAATACAACGAACTTTGATTAGCTTGTAGAACAACTACCGCGGGTGAAAAGCTTATCCTCGAAATTAGAAAATCTGGCATCACCAGCGGACGGGCAAAGGTTTACAAGCTTGATAATTGCTCTCTCGACTCGGTAAGAGAATTTGCGAAGAAAATAAAAGCGGATTATGACAGAATTCACATATTAATCAATAATGGTACGTCGGCGGCATGAAAAGAAATATAATTCATTTTAAGTATGTAGAATGTAAAAAAAGCTCGTACGAGACTAAATAATAAAATATTCGTTGTTTTCTTTCAGCTGGCGTTATGTTTATCCCGTATAGAGTAACAAAAGACGGTTTCGAAGAACAATGGGCAGTAAATTATTTATCACATTTTTTACTAACATCTCTTCTTCTACCATTAATAAAAATAGGAGGAAATCCTGATGATTGCAGTAGAATAATTAATATCACTTCATGCGCTCATTATATAAGTGATATAGACTTCGCCTCCATCAATAATAGCTCAAAGTAATTATGTGTAAAAGAATGTGCTATTTTTATCTATTTTCAAAATATTATTTCAGAATTATTTAATTGTATATAATACTTATTTTCGATACAATTATTTTATTATACCAGGGATACATTCTTGACGCTAGCAGCGTATGGACAAAGTAAATTAGCGCAGACGATATTTACAGTAACACTGCAAAAATTATTAACAGACAAATCGTTAAATGTGCTAGTATATTGCGTGCATCCAGGTATAGTAAATACAGATTTGTTCAAGGATACTATATTAGGCCGTTACAGATGGCTTATGATGGGATGGAAGGTAACAATATAACAAGAAATTAAAATTAAAATTTTTCTAATTTTTTAAAGTTATAGTTATAAATTAATTTGTTTTTGTTACAGACACCTGAGCAAGGAGCTATTCCAATAATATATGCCGCATTGAATAAAGATATTGAAAGAAAAGGTGGGATATATATTAGTAATTGCAAAGAATATGCTCTTCCTTCAGCAGCTTTAAAAGAGAAAATCCAAAAACAATTGTTTGAATTCTCCTTAAAACAAGTACGGTTAAGCGATTTTTTCTAATATTTGTAACAAAAATTTACAATTATTTATTTCATCATATATGTATGTCGATAAACCATTTACATTTTAAAAACGATAAAAAATTAGCATGTTTTTTACATTTAAAAAATCATGCATTAAACTTTATTCTAATTCTACTCATAAGAAAAATGTGTTGAATACTTTAAATATATAAAATATTTGAATATACTAAAACATGCAAGTATTCCAGGTTTCTGTTCTTTATGTTACAAGATAAAAAATAGCATTTATAATATCGTTGCTTTGAAGGATGCATTTTATATGAAGTAATTTACACAGATATTTATACAGATTAGATCTATACATAATTTTTTACGATCTCAAATTTGATATCATATAATATCATTTCGCAATTCTGTCCATTAAAGAAAAAATTAGTATATATATAAGGCTCAATATGATTTTTATTACAAATTGTGTGATTTATATTATTCATTATTAATAACCTACATTACATAGTGTAACAAAATGTATTATTGCATATATAACATAAATCTTTGGAATATAATTTTATTATTATTTATATAAACTAATAGTTTATATAAATTTGCCTGAATTTAAGATCTTAACTGTAAATAATAATAATAAAATTAAAATACAATTAATTTTATATACAAAACATATGTTATATATTTTTCCAAAAATTATAGAGTTTATTAATATAAATGCAAATTAAATTGTTTGAAAAAATGAATAAAGATTAGATATGTTTAATAATTTCATATTCCTCAATTTAATCGAATTTTTCTTAAAAAGATGAACATTTATCGCTGAAATCAATTTCAAAAGAGAATTCAATATTGAAAAAGAAAATCTAAATAATGATTGAGAAATAAAAGCTACAACTATCTTAAAAGTTCATAAAAAGTTCAGCGACAAATAATTTATAGCAATATGCATATTATTTATAACAATTGTATTATTATGTATAAAATATAAAAAACAGTGTGAAGAGAGACTAGAGCACTGTGCCAAAATATTAATACAGCACTAGCAATGTACAGGTATAATGAAGATCTTACTCTGTAGAAGCAAATAAAAATAACATTTTCACATTTTAACATTACACAAAATACAAATAGATAACTAATAATTAATCATTGCTTATAATCATAAATGTAAATACAATAAAAATCAGATCACATAAAAAAATAATTAATCTAGATATTCTACCATAATATCATATACATTTTGCAGTTCTTTCTTTTAGATTTTAGATTATTTAGATTATAAAACAGAATTCATTTATCTATTAAGATAAAAAATAATTTTCATTGATTATATATACTGCATGAGAGTTACAATATCATTTATGTTTTCATATGCTATTATGAATACATATACATATAGTGAGCTGCTATTTTTTAAATAGCACGTGTGTGTGTGTGTGTGTGTGTATGTATGATAAATACATATAAATATTGCACATTAGAAATAACTTTATACACTGTAGGCTTGTGTAATGTCTTGTAAAAATCTTATTATTATTATTAAGATTTTAGAAAAATTATCAAAATCCATATTGTGATAATTAATATTTGTACTTTTAAAGTAACAAAAAGTACTGCAGTTATGTAAAATGCATTTCTCTCTACGGCATATGGAAATAAATACTTAAATAATTTAACATCACACAGAGAAGCAGTATTACTTCAATATAATAAAAACTGATAATAAAGCATACCTATTTGATAATAGAGCATTAATTGCACTATAAAAATTTAAATATATATATGTATAAAATTTAATGTCCTATAAAAGCTAGTGCTTAATAATATATTTAAATTCTTGTCTCTTTGCTATATATTAAATATATCTTACAACATAGTATAATGCAACGTAACATATAATATAACACTAAACAATAACACTATCACTCTTTTTTAAAGATATATTAGATGTTTTCTATGTTATCAAATATTGATACACTTGATATTCAATCACCATGTCTATAAAAAAGATATATTGTATGTTTATATATATATATAACATACATATATCTGTAGGTGTATATATAAAACTAAAAATACCTGAAATTGTGCTTAATATTACATACAAAAATTACTTAAGAAAGTCTACTACAACCGCAATTACTACTATCACCAATTGATGTCGTTTTACCATTTATTGAAGTTGTATTCGTTTCATATCGAGGTAATTCCTTACAGCGTGCTTGCTAAAATACATGGTTATTGCAAAATATACTATACATGAAACACTTTAAAAAAAAATATGTTTACTTACTTCCATAAGTTCAGCTGCTATTTCCATAAATAATCTCTCTACATTTTCTGCCTCTTTGGCAGACGTTTCTAAAAAGTACATTCCGTGTCTTTGGGCAAAATCTTCACCCACATGTGTTGGTATTTCTCTATCTTCTCGATCAATTTTATTTCCTATAATGTTCAAGAACATATATTAAATATAGTCACAATAATTCTTACACGAGAGGGTCTCTTATTTTATATCTTCTAGCTTACCTACTAATATCCTAAGAACTTTATTACTTGCATATTCTTCAATTTCTCTTAACCAATCGGGTAAACAATCAAATGTTGGTTGACAAGAAATATCATAAACTAATATCAATGCATGTGCTGATCTATAATAACTTTGAGTAATAGAACGAAATCTTTCCTGACCTGCAGTATCCCAAATTTGCAACTAAAAGGAGATAATAAAGAGATTAGATATATATATATATATATATATATGTGTCATATAAATATATTAGATTTATATTAAGCTATATATACCTTGACTTTTTCATTTTCTACTTCAACGGTCTTAATCATAAAATCGACTCCAATTGTCGCACCTTGTCCAGGTGGAAATAAACCCTGCAAGTTTCAACAAATTCAATAAAATCATAGATATGCTTCCATGGATATACAATTCTGATTATTTTGATCAAATTGTATATGTATACTGAAACTATATTTATTCTCCAAAAATTATCATAAACGTAATCAATGTATATGTACTTTACTTATTATTTATTATTCTACTTTATTCCAACATATATATTCAGAAATTGTACATATTTATTTTTAAATGCTAGTCAATAAATAGGAATAAATTAAATCATCAACCAAATTAGCAGTAATTAATTTATTAATCTTCACAACGTTTTGACCATGTGGTTGTGGTCCTTCTCAAGTGAACGGTAAAATAAAATCAAGTTATAAGAAAAATTAACATTTTGTCGAATTTAACATTATAAATCTTAATAACAAAGTCAAGAAATTAAAAAACGAGAGAAAGCAACATCTCTCACAGCAAGGATAGTCAACAGTATATTAAAAATTCATTCATTTTTAATATACTGTTGACAATCCTCACTGTAAAATGTTGATTGCTTTCTCTCGCTTTTTAATTTCTTGACTTTGTTACTAAGATTTATAATGTTAAATTCAACAAAATGTTAATTTTTCATATAACTTGATTTTATTTTGCTGTTTACTTGAGAAGGACTACAACCACATGGTCGAAACATCATAAAGATTAATATAAATTGATTACTGCTAGTTTGATCGATGATTTAATTTATTCATATTCAGAAATATTTTTCTTTAAAAAATTTACAATATTTTTTATCATAATATACAAGATAAATTAAATGAACTCACCAGCACAAAAATTTTAAAAAATATCAGGCAAGAGAAAAAGAAAAACAGTGCGTAATATCAGGTAATCCATGAAATAACACAAGAGAAAAGGGCAAAAATTATAATACGTATGCAGGAAGAACAAGTATAAAAGTATTATGTTTTGAATATGTAGATGACATCATCTCTACAGCTGCATAAATAATGAACTTTCCACTCTTCCAGGAAACGCATCCGTGCGCGAAGAATTGGCGTGCCAGGAAGCTTCACGCGAGAAGATCGAGATCTATTTTCCCCTCGGATCGCCCAACCGAATCCGAAGCGAAGAATCATCCAAACATCACCTGACGTACCTGAGTGAATCGTCGCACTAGGCAAGTCTTGCCCACGCCGGCGTTGCCCACGAGCACGACCTTGAAGAGAAACTTGTAGTCCTCCATGTTCGCATCAGCACCAGGAAGTCAGGATCCGCCGACGAACGCGGGTTCGCGTTTTTCCTCCTATTCAACGAGGACGACACATCGGTTCGGACGAGAGAGAGACACACAGAGAGAGATTTTTTTTCAGGCACAACAGAACTTTCAGCAGGCGTTCACCGGTTGACAGATCGCAGTTGACAGATCGCGGCTGCGCACGTAATGTCGTAAACGCGTGCTCTCCTTTTCGGTTTCGCGGCCGAAGGAGAGGAGGGACGGGGAGGGACCCTCGGGGAGAAAACGACTACCTCGGCATCGTCGGTCGCGCTTGCCGCTGCACACGATTCCTCCTCACTGAAGAGTTTCCCGTTTTCCCTCGGACGAGGATGCGCGCGCGCGCGGCGCGAAAGTTCCATCTGGTTCCGTCAGTCGGCCCCCTTCTTCTCCCATTTTCGCTTGTCGCGTTCTCGTCTACCTTCCTCTCCCTCCAGAGAGTTGTTGAATATCCTTTTCCAATAGACATACGATTATTATAGCTACATTTGTGGATTTAAAGATGTTATTCCTCTTTTTAGGAAGCAATGATATTTATTACGCAAGGGGATATTTTTAAGTCAACTGAACTTCAATGTGGAAAATAAAAATAAATAGGTAAATAGTTATAGATTTTTAAATGTTGTGTTAAAATATCTTATGTAAAACTGTCGTTGAACTTTTAATTACTATTTAAGATAATTGAATATTTTTACGATTTTATTGCAATGACAGATGACAGATTTGATAACTTTGTTTACTTATACTAATTTGCACATTAAATGGTTGATATGTATTTTATTTAAAATGCAGGAAGTGTAATTGCTGCAACTTTCGAAGACGAACCTTGGAAAAGATTTTTTTCTCCTCGAAGATGATGTGATTTATCCGTCTGGCATCAAGAAAACATCATTTAACCCCACTTTTGCTTACTGTCATAATGAGTTATTTACTTTGTGGATAAAATAATTCATCAGAGAATATATTCCATTACGCTTTGATATAAATTATATATACTTCAAAATAATCAATATTGTATCTCGAATGAGTCATGAGAATTATAACTTTTTTATAAGATTACTTCAATATATGACTTTAACATAACCTCGACATCTGTCAAAGTTCTCAAGAGAATTAGGTTAGTCGAACTGTCAAACTTAAAGGAGAATAACAAAGTTATTCGCATACACTTATATATTTTGAGAATATAACAAATAATTAATTTAATTTTGATAAGACAAATCAAGAAAAAATGCGACGAAAGACAGGAGTGGGTGCGATACAGAAGCAAAAGTTGGAGCAGGAGAAATATCGGGACAAAGGCACAGAAATTCAGGAGAACCAGTTCGAGCAGATGACGAAGCATATGGAGACGTTCCGCGTGAATCTAGAGGAGTTCGCGTCGAAACACAAGAACGAGATCAAGAAGAACGCGCATTTTCGTCGTCAATTCACAGAGATGTGCGCCTCGATAGGCGTTGACCCACTGGCATCTGGCAAAGGATTCTGGTCGGTGTTGGGTATCGGTGACTTTTATTACGAACTCGCTGTCCAGATCGTAGAGGTATGCATGGCGACAAATTACAAGAATGGTGGCTTGATATCGCTGGATGAGTTGAGAACACGCTTGATTCAAGCCAGAGGACGCAGAAAAGAACATCAGGAAATCACCAATGAAGATCTGTTAGCCGCTGCAAAGAAGTTGAGGATATTTGGAAATGGCTTCTCCGTAGTTCCCATTGGTAGAGGAAAACACTTAGTACAGTCAGTACCTGGTGAACTCAGCATGGATCACACTGCAGTATTACGCCAGGCTAGTTTATCTGCAAATGCTTATGTTTCCAAGACAATTTTGTGCAAGGAATTAAGATGGGAAGAAGGCAGAGCGCAAAAGGCTTTGGATCATATGATGAAGGAAGGACTGGCTTGGTTGGATCAGCAAAGCGAAGATGAGATGTTATATTGGTTTCCCAGTTTATTCACAGCTTGCATTGTTTCCAAAGAATAAATGCTATATCAACATATTGTTATTAAATAAGTAGGAAATGTTTAAAAAAAATTAATGTTGCTTAAGATTATATATATATATATATATATGTCTTCATCAAATAAAAAATTAATTATTCTATAATACTTATAGCATATGAGATCCATTGTAATTGTTCCATAGTTAAGACATTGTCATCGGCAGGTCTCAAGTGATGTCACATAACTGAAATGACAAAGAAGAATTACAAAACATGCCATTTTTACAATTCTTTTTCTAATTGTAAGATTTCATAATACAAACCCAAATAATCGTTCTTTTGATACAGCATCTGGTGTATACATCTTTTTTTTTATATCGAGTAAGAGTTTCTTATTTATATCAAGTAAATTTTGTAATTCATCATTTTTTGCTTCCAATGTACGTATTGTTTCATTTTGTTTTAAAACTTTACGATGTGTAGCTTTATAATAGCCATGAAATTTTTGAATAAGATGGAATGAAGTTCTTGCTTCATGAATCCAGCTTAAAATAAAATTTTATTATACAATTATTCAAATTTGATTATAAATTAAATTTTTTAGATAATAGGATAAATTTATGTAAACTTTATTACCGTTTATTTAATTCGTCATGCTTTATTATATAATTTTTCATTTTCTTTATTGTTTCATCAAAACTTTCTTGTTGTTCCTTTAATTTCTCATCCAACAATGACTGCCATTTGGGATCCATATGTTCAATCCTGGAGAACATCAACTTGTTATAAACATATATCAAAAAGTAAGTTATTTATTTTATATAGCTATATGCATTAAAATATATATATATATATATATATATATATATATATATATATATATATATATATATAAAGATTCAGTATATATATAAATATATATATATATATAAAGTAAAATTATTTACCGTATATTCAAAGTATCTTTATTAATTGTATCTGTGCAATGTTGAGAGAAAACTTGTACTGGAGAAACACTGGTGCCTGGCTCATTCTTCGTTATGCATTTCTCAAGATTCATTTCGCATTTTTCGATTATTTCTTTCAACATACATTGTTTGTAATCTCTCTTACTCACTTTGTTATCAAAAACCGATTGCAATGATTTCAATTCTGTTGTTAAAGATTCCTTATCATTTGTAGCTTTATTTAATAGATTCTCTAAACAATTATAATGTTTGAGCATATCTTTTTCCTCGTCTAATATCAGGTTTTGTTGTTGAATTTGTTTTAGTTTATCATTTGAAATTGCTAAGTTTTCTTCTAAATTAGTAATCTTCTCCTGCAACTGTTGTATATCAGAACTATATTGCAATTTGCACATGTTACAAACATCCGATTCGGGATCTGCATGTTTAACTGGTTGGTCAACATTAGATTTTAATTGTAGATTTCCAAGAATATTGTCGGCTGATTTTTCCAATAAATTATCATAATATTGGCGCATTTTCTCCATTTCCATTTCTAGCAATCTGTTGCTTCTTTCTGATTGTTCCAATAAGGTCACTTTTTCTCGTAATTCTGACTTCAACTCTTTAATTTCTAATAAATATTTCTTCACATCACGCTCATGAGCATTTTTCAACTTTGCAATCTCCTCTCGCATCTTAATAGCATGTTCTTCAGCAATGGAAGCCAATTGAGCTTCCAACTTGGCATTTTGCTCCATAATTTTTGCCTTGCTTTCAAGCACTACATTTTTCTCTTTTATTGCAATTTCTATTAAATCAAGAGCTTCGGCCATTTTACATTTCGTTTCTTCATTTTTTGCCATAATATTATTGGCAATTTTCTTGCTCTCGCACAATTGTTTTTCTAAATGTAAATTTGAATCATTAAACTTCTTTATCTCTGTCTTTGTAACAAATAACTCCTTTGTTAGTGATTGTATCATATCCTCATTATTTTTATCTGTAAATAAAATTAAATAAAATTATTGATTATACTGTATATTTCATATTCAAATTATATTATATTGTAAATCTCTATACTATATATATTTAATGATTAACCTTTTTGTTGAGCATTTCGCTTGAGATCCTGAAGATTATTCTCTATTTTGTATTTTTCTTGTTTTAATGTTTCTATTGTCTTTTTACTTGTCATCCAGAGAGAGTGTTGTTTTTCAAATTCGTCTTTAACTTTAAGTAACTTATTCTCTAAAGCCATTATAGCTTCTGAATGTGATTGTTTAACAATTTCCAATTGCTCTTCATAATACTTTACATATTTCCATTCTAATTGTTTAATTTTTAATTTTTGTTCGGAAGCATCTATATCTTTTATCTGCAACAGCTGAAATGCAGAATCTTTTTCTGTTGTCAAAAGTCCAATTTGCTGTTTTAAATTTGCGATTACTTCATTTTGAACATTATTACACTCTTTATTGCAGTACTCTTCCAAATGTACACTTGAAATAAAATCACGCATGGTATTATTGCTATCTTTGCTTTCATCGCATAAAGTTTGTAGCTGGGAACGTATATTTTGTTCTACCTGCAAAATATTTATTTCATAAAGTTATCACTATGTAATTATTTAAAGAACAAAGTACAATTTAAAAAATGTTACCTATTAATATTACATAGGTTGTAATGAACAACTTACTTTGCATAATTCTACCTCTTCTTTGAGTTCCTTGGTCATATTATGAATAGCATCATTCTTTTCCTCTCTGGAATATAAAAAAATTATTTTTTATTCAATAAAATATAAAATCTGTTTGTTTTGCTTGCTACAGAATCTTAAATTTGATAAATTAACAAGCATACAAGAGAAAATAATTACTGTAATCTTATTAGATTGTCATTGTATTATTTTGATGTTAAAAAAAATTTTAATCTTTCTTTATACACTTTCATAAAGTAAATTAAAGTGTGGAGATTGGTTAAAATAATATTTTTAACATCTTAGGTTAGTGTTAGAAGTTGGACTATACCACGTACGAGCCACATGTTTCAGCCGCATTATTTTTTTTACAGTCAAATTTTATCACATATCTTTTCCCGAATAAATATTTATTTTCAATTCTAAAAAATGCAAGCAAAGCAAACAAACATATTCTTTCACGAGATTTTTCAACTTCGTACATACCCAGATTTTGACATGTGTTCCGACTCAAACATTTTATCGCACTCATATAGAATAATTGATTAACTTTTATATAAAAAGGCAATATTATATACTAATTTATAAAAAGTTTAATCTTGATACATTATTTTTCTGTAAGGCACGTAGCACGATTTTTTCGATACAGTGTTTGACTGTATACCTGAGTGATCAGAAAATACTGAAACTCAATATTTATACTGAAACGTATAATTATCCTAGCTTATCCTTATTGCCTTATATTTGCTCTATTTTGGTCTATTTCGACCTATCCTGGATCTATCCTTTTAAAAACCATTTGGAAAACTAGTCAGAAATTAGGCTATGTATATGTATGTCTCCGATGTGCGTTGCTAATGGCAACATGATACAGCTGACTGCGTAAACAAAAATATTAATCAGTATTTTAGACTCAATTAAATAATAATATATGTATATGTGATTAAGAAATGTCAATGATTTATTAATATCTCAATTAATTTTGATACTTAATTAACTTTAATTTTTCTGTAATAATTCTTATTTATGTCAATGATTTTATGTAATAATATGTATAAATATATAATATAAATATACACATATATAATAAAATGTTTAATGTGTAATATATGTAATATAATAAAATTTAATATATAATAATAAAATGTATATGTATGTAATGATAGAAAATAATGTAAATATATAAATATAAAGTGTGTATATATATCGATAGTGCCAGTTTATCGAACAAGGTATAATTCGAATTCGATTCACGTAGTATCGCGCGGTATCAAATTTGAAGTTGCCGCCATTCTCGAACCTTTCCGTTCATTAGCGAAATGTCGCCTGGACGGGACGGATCGATTGCGAGCGGCTTTGCCTTGAGATGTATATTTCGTAAGTAAAATGCACTTGTTTCTACATTATCATATTTGTCAAACATGTAACATGAGTTCGATGATTTGTTTGGCATAGATCGATGATTTGATGAAGCTCGTGATTAGCGAGATTAATTACTCGACCGTAATTTATTCACGCCAACAATCGACAAAGTCGACAACTATTCATATGATTTATATCTTGCATTTCGTACATATATTATCTCTAATTTTAACTCAATTTGTACTTTCGCAGCGTAATACATGCAAAAAAGATAGTGATAATGATTCTTAAATAAAAAATATATATTATTTGTTCACAGATGCAGCATTGACGCGGTGGCTGTTACGTGAAATTGGCCGCGGGAGTTTTGCACGTCCGCCATATTGGTTCGCGAGATAGAGTGCGAGATATCGCGAGTGCGAGATATATCGCGAGTGCGAGATATATCGCGAGTGCGAGAGATGTCGCGCGCATCTAGCGATTCGTAGTTCGCGCGCGTTCTTTCTCCCGCGTTATTCTTTCCGAGCGGTTGGTAGCTTCGCGCGCGTTTCGTTTTCCCGCGTTATTCTTTTCGTCGTAACGTAGTGAATCGCGTATCGTGTCGGAAGTGCCGTATAAAGTATCGCGCGATTGTTTTATTCCGTATATAATAATTAGTGCGCATGCGACCTCGTAATTAACCGCGATGTGTTATTTTCACGTGTAAGTGCCAGGAAGGAGGAATATGAAAAGAGGATAGGGAGGAAAAGAAAAAGATCCGAACGAGGTTGGACGACTACAGCAATCAAAGTGAGTAATATATATATTTATATAAAATTTCTATTGAAAATTGATATTTGCTGATAAAATCTTGTAGATATATCCTTGGAGAGCGCATTACTAATCCAAAAAGTAGTCGATAATATTAGTGTGTCTTTGGAGCATATTTGATAATGATCATAATAGGAAAATCTAGATCTAGCAGTCTTTATAATGCATGGCATTTATTAACAGAAGTAAACATGCAAAAATTCATAAAATATATAAATGTCAGTCACTTATTCAATATAAATGAATTAATTTTCAAAATGAAAAACTTATATTTCTTTATTGATATAATGAACTAAATATATAAATAATTTAATATATTAACAAAAATATATATTATTTAAATTACTTTCAATTTATTGATAATGAAAGTTTATATTATGCATAACTTATTTAAATGTATATTTATATATTTGATATAATTAATGTAGGTATTACATATTTTAGTTTAATTAATACAAACATCGCAATTATAAAATCAACAGCATAATACAACCATAAGTTTAATAACGAATAAATAAATAACTATAATTTATATTTTTGATCGATATGATTTATCTTTATATTATTATCAAAATATATTTATATAAGATTTGAATACATTAAAGTGAGATGATCAAATTAATTTAATTATATTAATTCAGTTTTAATAATATGTTAATAATTTTAGACTATTAAAATACACTTGATTAAATTAGCATTCAACATTAATTTATCTCTTTTCAATAAATACTGTATAATAAAAATGTTATAATAATAGACATAATAGAACATATAATATATGTATATTTACTATATATTTTAGTATATATAAAAATATATATTATTATATTCGAAAAATGTGTCTTTAAAAAATTTGATTACTTACAATATGATATAAAAATCTGAAAAAATAATATTTTTTTTAATCGGAAAAATAATGTAAAACTTAACTTTTATAAGACAAAATTTTTATGAATTATAAAAATTAAACTATTTTATATTTCTTTATTTACTTTTACATTCAAAAGTGTAAAATTTATTTTATATATATAATTTTTCATTACATTAGTTGAGATAGAAACCTATTTAATTAATTTGTAAAAGATTAACATATTATCATACATATTATCATACATATTACAATATCATGTCACGTGTTAGGGAGATACAAACTTTTTGATACTATTAGGGTTAAATCCTAAAGTTGCTTGCTACCGAGGGCGGTATCAGGGTGATTTGAAAGGGAATTAAGAGTAGCCTCAGGAGAGCAGCGAAACTTTCAGATCTCGTAGATCGGAACACGACGGTGACGACGGGAACCAGGAGGTTGAGGGAATTCTGGAAGGCGTTATCTATCCACCCGCATGATATCGGGGGGAGGGGGGAAATGGGGGTGGGAGGTAGTGCCGAGAGAGCGTCGGGACGCCTCGGTCCTCGCGCTCAGTCACCGCCCAAGCCGCGTCGAGAGCAATTCGCCGTGTCGCATGCCAAAGAAACGAAAAGAAAGAAAGAAAAAAGAAAAAGTGCATCCGCGCGCGTGTTCCTCTGCGGCAACGTGTACGTCGAATGCACCGCAACCCTTGTCGCAATCTTCCCTCGTATCGTTGCACTCTTCGTATAATTTCCCGTATCTCAATGATTATTCTCTCCGTTCGCGGGATCGCGATCGATCGGCTGCACGCGAGCAAGAGTGAGAACCCGTGATCGGTTATCACCTTTTAAATTTGAAGCTAACGCGAAAAAAAAAAAAAAAGAAAAAGAAGTGGTGGTTTCGTTGTGTCGTGGAGGTGCATTCGCCGGCGCGGACCCTGAAGGCAACGCGTTCCTCTGGAGGCGCTCAGGAGACAATCAAGATCCATCGCTGCCCGGAGATGTCGGAAAGTCAAGGTCAGTGCTGTGATGCTGCGACCGCGGTGTAACACGCGTGCTTGCTGCACTTGTCATCAAGATGCACGCGGATGCATCGAAATTTCGATAAAATCAAAATTTGATATTTATTGCAAGCGGAAGTTTTCAAATTAAAATTAGTAATTATTATTTAAAATTGATTGAACAACATGTATACACGTGCACACACTGACATGAAAAATTAATAGTTATTTTTTTAACTTACTTTATATTTCTTGAAGTACAAGAAGGTATAAAATAGGAATAAGAAATGGATGAAGATACGAAATATCAATTTTTTGACTGATTTTTTTAATGAGAATGGAAGAGAATGAATTGTTTTATTAAGAGCTTTTTTGCTTTTCTTTTTTAAAACCCTCGTTTCTCGAAGAAAATATGTATAGTGATGGCAAATAAAAGATATTCCTTTCTGAGTGAAAAGTTAGTTTAAGTGAAAAAGTAGGTCACTAAGAGAATTTTTAATAACATTAACATTACGATTTATTCTTCGATTTCATTTACTTGCCATTATAATATCTCTATACGTATATTATATAAAATGTTTAATTTTCACGATATTAATTTTTAATAATTTTCTTAAATTTTTAATGATTTTTTAACAGTCTTTGTAATGAATGTTTGATTTATCAAGAATATTGTCATTAATGATTGTAACTATAGCGATCAATATTACATCCTGTTTTATTAACCCCTACGGATTCATCGTGTAATCTCCAGGTATTATGCCCCGCGAAATCATATTAACTTATTTGCATTCACAATTGCAGTCTGTTTAAATTTGTAAACCAGCAGTTTTCACAAAATTTGTCCAATTCATAATGTTATTTATTCAGCATAATTATTTGAGGTCTTATTTTATTTATTCATTAACAATCTTATAAAAATATAAATTATATAATTATATACAATTTAATTATAATTATACATTATAATTACAATCAAATTATAATATATATTTATGCAATAGTATATTTACATATTAATATATTTTATTTTGTTTTATCTTAAATATTATATATACAATATACGTATACACAGATATATATATATATATATATATATATATTTATATACATGTATATATATGTGTATATGTAATATATATTACATTTATAATTAAAAATATTTATAAATATTAATAATAATTCTAGTTTCTATTCTGCCAATGTAATTATGTATTAGATGCGCGGATGTGTATCAATGCGCTTGTGGATGCAAATGACATAATCTGAATAATTCATCGTTCTGTTGTTAACATGGATCATGATCGAAATATCAGTATTGATAAGCTTATTGACAATTAAGCTAATTTTTTTTTTCTGAAAAAATTAATAATGATTCGAAAATTATTCGCGAATATAAACGACAAGACGCATGCGAATAAGAAACGCGTTTTTATCACACATTCATACTTTATGCGAATACTCGAAGTCCTCGTGAATCTTGCAGCAACGCTTTGCAAACTTCAACCTTGTCTGCTTTAATTAAGAATACATTTTATCAGACAACACATGCGCGACACACTACCAAGAGACAAAAAAGAATTGTCGGTTCCGCGACGTTTACGATCTCGTCGCTACAACTTCTTGATTAACATCGCTGGATCGCGCGTTCATAACTGCAGTTCTTCCGAAGTTTCTGTCATAGGGGTAATTTTGTGGGATTTAACTTAGTTAGAGCTCATCTTCAGCCAACTTTTGAAATTGTACTCTGATAAATACATTCCTATTTTACCTCTTTTTGATGTTTTTCCCTTTTTCTTGTTTACTGTGATTTCACGCCGTTCATTGTTTTCTCGGTTTTTGATGTATCGAAGAGAAAAACTTTGAGAAAATTTTCTTATGCGTAAGATTGATTAAACTAGCTATAATACTGCCTGCTGCGAAGTGTCGGAGAAAGTTAAATTAACTTCCGACAGTTACTAGTCCTTAGCTCTTATTGTCATGAAAATTGTCAGGAGTTTGAGTTCCGAATATCTGGACCAAGATTGTAAAATGATGTTAATATGAAAGATGATATTCAATAAAATAGGAAAGATTTTAATTAAATTAAGATTATATTATTCATAAATATTATTATGAATATTAAAATGAAAAGAAATATAATATATAATAATCCTGATAACGAAAGATTTATTTTGCATATTACGCAGAGACAAATATAAAAAATATGTTGTGCAAATATGAAAAAATGTTAAGTTTACTATGATTATAATTTAATATAAAAAAATGTTAAGTAATATACTCTGCTGCCTTATATTTCGTGTTTTAAATTTATATTCTATGAAAAACAAATATATATATAGCACATTTAGATTCATATTTTTTAAATTAATTTTAAAGATATATAGTATGTAATGTATAAAAGCGATTTTTAATTTATATTTCTCGAGAAACTAATTAATTTTTGGCCAAATTCTTATAAGTAAATTCTAGATTATGATAACTTAAAAATCTAACATAAATTTTTATTGAAATTGAATTCCATCTATACGAAATGTAAGAAGAGTAATAATGCCGTAAGTATTAATTAAGCTAATTTTGCAGTTTTCTGTTCATATATCTTAGCCGATTGACAAACGCAACATAATTTTCTAATGGTAAAAATATGGTGTACATGCATTTGGGAACCGCAAGTATCATAAATTCACTCATCTAATTATCTCACCTTTCGTTACACGTCTATGTATCGTTCTCGAGAGATGACGAACAAGGATCGTGATGCATGCAATGAGAAAGGGGAGATTCGCGAAACCTGAAATCCTAACGTGAATACTCGCTTTCCAGAATGAGCATTTCCTTAATTATCTTTTTAAATTGTACAGAGTATTCCAGATTTTTCGTACTTTCCTTTATCTGTAGATTCACTTCAGATTTAAAATCTAAAGTGATTAAAATTTTAATCATTTCCTGGATTTAAGTTTTAGAGACTTAAGTAAAAAAAAAAAATTTTATAATTTGGTTAATTTCACGCAAGTACATATATCCTACTACTAGAATAGAATTTTTTCACTTGGAAATTAGTTTTAAAAATATTTAAAATTGAGTTAAATATGTTAGAAATTTGTGGATGAAGATAAAGTTCAATTAAACTTTAGTTTAGTTTTAAAAAATTGTTAAAAGAAAGTATAAGATACTTAAAGCGTCTTTTATATAGACTGTTCAAAGATTTATCGTACCACTTTTCAACTACGGATTCTTTGATGAACTTGAAGTCAACTTTTTCTTAATGTAAAGGTGACAAAAGACCATTGTTTTCAACTTGATCATTGCAACTTTTTCCTTTGTAAGTGATCAATTATCTTAATCATTACACTTCAAAAGTTAAATCTGTTCAAATTTTGTTAAGGTAAGATTTAGTCGAAATCAAAAAAAAATATTCTGTTATATTTGTTAAAAAATTTTTAAAAACTTTTAATTTTTAATCAGTTCTAATTAACACTTTTTTATGTGAATTATTGAATTAATTTTTACGTAAAATAATAAATAAAAAATAATTAAATTTAAACAATTTTAATTTTGGATAAGTTTGATGAAAAATAGAAGAATTTTTAAAAATTCTCGTAATATTTTATTTGTTCTCGGACAAGGACTTGCTTTCTTTTGAAAGATATGACCTTCGCGATTTGTTGTGTGAGATTTTGGATTTATCTTGATAGAAGAAAAATATCTATTTATTTTCACTACTTAATATATAAAAGAAATATATATCTTTCTCTTTTTTTAACGTTCTATTTCATTATATTTTATCTTATTTTATTATCATTGTACTATATATTTATATCTTGCATCCCTCTTACTCCCTCGCTCTGTGACTCTATGTATGTCCTAAATTTCTTAAGATATTTCTGTAGAAGGTACGCGAAAATTTCGGTCATGATCACACGGAAGTAAAATCGGAAGCTAAAAATACGAGTAATGGAACGGTGGAGCCTTGATTTATCGAAAATGCGTTCTCAAGATAATCGAAGCGAATCACACATCGATTTGTTTATTTGTATGCATACGTCAATCTTCAGAAATACGTTTGATCGATTTCGACATGTTTGTTCGAACCCAAAGGGATCCATGTATAGGCGTTTCCGGTAAAAGTGTTTGTTTATGAATTTTTTTTCCTTTGAACTTCACACATATACGTACACGTGTAGCGCGATTGAGAGATATGCTAAATTTAATACGATACTGATATTTTTATATAAATTTGTCTTGCATTAAATGCCAATATACTATATTACACACGCACATACATATACGCATTATATCTAACGTTTTTTTTAAACATATTGTTTCGTAGTTTGTAACGAGAATTATGAAGGATAAAACGTTTACAATCTCAACAAATAAACATTTTTATGAGAATTTTATCTTTATTATTTCTAAATATTTTATATCGTGACTTAGTCGCGTTTATTCTTAAGTTATGTTTATATAAGACTTTATATAGAAGATTTTCCGCGTAACATCTCTTTTAAATTTACATATTACAGAATAATAAAATAGCGATGTATATTTCATGTATTCCTTTGCTCATATTTTCGCATTTTGTTGCTTTTGTGCTTTCAGACATGACTAAATCGACTGATACGATTTAACAGCTCTCTCTCGCTGCCCCTCTCTTTCTCTCTCTCTTGCCAGCAAATAATGCGCGCCATAAGCGATTCGCGTTTATGCATCCTGAGTATCACTATGCAACATGCTTTCACGCATCAGTCTCTTGCGACTTTATCACCCCGTCTTTTCGTGTTCCACCACATTGCAGCTCTGTTCGATAATGTCTATAAACCTTATTGTAAAACGTGTTCTACATCATACGACTTGTAATAGATCCTTGAAAAAAATTGCATTTTGTTCAAAAATTTAATTCAATTAATTCGTACAAACGGTTGTATTCTTTTAATTATGAGAAACTTGATTTTTCTTCAATCCTTTATAAAATTTAGAAGACACTTTACTCAAGAGAGCATTTAAGCTTTGGAAATT